TATGGATATTAATTTAATGATGATAAATATTGTGGAACAATGATGAAAAATGTGAATGGAAGTGGCGACGTAAAACTGACACAAAACAACAACAAACTTTTGCCGAGGCAATTGGAGAGTTTCATCACCAGCACGTGGTAAAAACCACCAATGAGCGCTCAGCTCGAGATACCAGCGAGTCGTTTCCCATCAAGCATTTCGCTTCCGCAGCCCGTGGAGAGGAACTGCGCCGCCTCGCCGCGCCTCGCTCTCAAGGCTGCGGGCGTCTTTGTCCCGCGAGATTTCAACGTCTCATGTAGGCGGGCCTCCAGAGCAAGTCGGACAAAATGACTAACCATCATGCAACGCACTAGCAAGACGTTGATCGAAATTGCGCAGGTCTGCGCAGGTCTCGCGTGTCTCAAACAAGCTTAGGGTCTTGTTTTTAGACAAAGACTCTTAAAAACACCTTACTTTCAGTTGTATCTCAGATTAAACGTTTTATTTTACATTTTTATTCGAAAATCACCGACTAACATCACAAAGCAGACAACTTTTGAGCATTTGTGTCTAACTTTGTAACACAACATTTTTCAAATATAGTTCAAAATACGTTTTCCCAGCTAATTACAAGATCTGATTTAAATACATATCCCATCCTATTTCAGGAAATCTTACCAAGCAAATATTCACTTCTATTGGCAGATGAGTTTGACATAATACAAGCGAGAACACCTTGTTTTCATTATTTGTTTACTTGTTTTTGGAGCGGATTTTTTTTTCCAGTGTAGTAAAAGAAAACGCCTTAATTCAACCTGAGTTTCACCTTAGAAAACGAGGGGTGAGAAAGGATCGTCTGCTTCACCATTGACTCTAACATGTCTTTTTTAAACATATTTTGGAGAGCCTCTGCCTAACGTGGGAGGTTGAAAGCTGGCCGTCAGTCCGATGACAACAGGTGGCTTTCTGCAACACGTCATGGTGCTCGCAGCCTCTCGCTCCACAAGCTGGTCACCTCTTTAGCCCCCACACAAGGCGACAGACGGCTGCTTAGACTGACACCATCCCATAATGTGCATCTGCCCCGAATCATCAGCCCACTTCCCATCCACTCCACACTGAGCCTAAACATAGCCTATAGCTCACTTTCCTTGGCTTCAAAGGCTCTGGAAATAGGCCTGTAGGATGTAACGGTTAACTTGTATGTTGTCCGTGACTTTCAAATATTGCCAGCTTTGTTGGTTCCTCAACAGCTCCACCAATACGGCAGATTTTGCATGTGGTTTCTAATCCGGCAGAAGCATGTGGTGGCAGCTGTAGGAGCACTTTAAAAGAGGAAGGTTCAACCAAGAGCTGCCAAAATGAGACTTGTGATGCAGCGGACTTTAGAGGAGAAACAAAGAGATAGAGAGCTGGTGTGTTTCACTGCTTCCTCTCCTGCCAGAGGAGCATGCATCAGTTTACGTCGAAAATACGATTTATAGCCATCCTCTGAATGTGGATATCATATCCCGACACATGTAGATCTACAGTTAGGCCAACAACACTGACTTTGCTGTAAAAGAAGAATAAGCAGTGCTGGAAGATGTTTTAAAATTGCAATACTGAAGTTAAAGTAGCGATGCCACTGTGTAAATGTTTCTCAAGAGTCTGAGCAAATTTGAGCAAACTTTTTATTTATTCACATGCATTATAATCTTCATTCCCATTTGTATTTGTACATTCAGCTACTTACTTTATCATGTTTCTGTTATTTTTTAATTATACTGCAACATGTTTGATCCTTTTATTAACTCTTACCTTGTCTGTGTTTCACTCTTTGTTTCCGGTTGACATTCGAAATAAAGGTTTATCTTATCTTATGTTAAAGTACCAAACAATTTAAAAACTTTAATTATGCTATAATGATAAATGCATTAAAGGTGGGGTCGGTAATTTTGGAGAAACCAGCTCGAGTGCGCTAGAATTTGAAAATACACGACCGAAGAAAATCTGCCTCTTCCTCACAGAGCCCCTCCTCCAACACACGAACGCGCACATGACCAATGAGGGCACGAGATCAGTTTGTGCCCAGATGGAAGGCTGACAGGCAGGTAGGCCATCCAGTTACTTTAGCCGGGCCGGCTCAGATGATTGGTCGTGCTTTTTACAGCGGCACGGCTTCCACACTGATGACTTTTTTTTAATGGATTTTTTGTCAAAACACTTCAGATATTCATTGCTATCGGGATGTTAAGAGCATTCCATGGAATATAACAACAAGTGTATCTCGAGCCGGTTTCTCAAACTTACCAACTGTACCCCACCTTTAATGTAAGTAGCTTCACTCATATTACAGCTGCTAAAGATGGAAATATTTATATTTTTCAATATGCTGTCTGGAGCTTAATCCAAATATAATAGAATACATCATTATTTATTTGTTGATTTATATTTTGTAAAGTACAAAATACCTTACACTTGTAATTAAGTACAGTACCTTAAATAATGTACTATTAAGAATAAGTGATTATGTGACATTTAATCCAGCTGTTGTTAGCACAGTTTGTGTGTGTGTGTGTGTGTGTGTGTGTGTGTGTGTGTGTGTGTGTGTGTGTGTGTGTTTGCTTGTTCTAGATAAATAAAAAGATCAGAAAAAGTGGATTTTATAGAATAAAACTTTCATCATCTCTGAGGAACTTGGGATATTGCAAAAAAGAAGCAAATATGACTATAAATATGGCTGTGAATATGACTAAGAGTGACAGAAATTACAAGTACCAAATATGAAATATGTTGCGGTGTGACGTGATTGTAAACTTGTGAAAACAGCATGACATGAGTAATAGATGACAGGGCTTCACTGCGCAGCGACAGACATTTAACACAAAGCTGATCTGTAATCATTTCCCCAAACTTAAATACAGCCCTGCTCCAGTGTGTGGCGAGTCCACCGCCATCCTCAGGGCGGCTCCGCTGTGGCAAAGGCCAGAGGAGGGAAGTAGTGCAGTACAAATACTTTGTTACTGTACTTAAGTACATGTTTCTGGTATCAGTACTTTACTCCACTACTTATTTTTCTGACAACTTTTTACTTTTACTTCTTACATTTTGAACTCAAGTACCTGTACTTTCTACTTCTCACATGTTGAACACAAATACCTGTACTTTCTACTTCTTACATGTTGAACTCAAATACCTGTACTTTCTACTTCTTACATGTTGAACACAAATACCTGTACTTTCTACTTCTTACATGTTGAACACAAATACCTGTACTTTCTACTTCTTACATGTTGAACACAAATACCTGTACTTTCTACTTCTTACATGTTGAACACAAATACCTGTACTTTCTACTTCTTACATGTTGAACACAAATACCTGTACTTTCTACTTCTTACATGTTGAACCCAAATACCTGTACTTTCTACTTCTTACATTTTGAATTGAAATACCTGTACTTTCTACTTCTTACATGTTGAACTCAAATACCTGTACTTTCTACTTCTTACATGTTGAACTCAAATACCTGTACTTTCTACTTCTTACATGTTGAACTCAAATACCTGTACTTTCTACTTCTTACATGTTGAACACAAATACCTGTACTTTCTACTTCTTACATGTTGAACTCAAATACCTGTACTTTCTACTTCTCACATGTTGAACTCAAATACCTGTACTTTCTACTTCTTACATGTTGAACACAAATACCTGTACTTTCTACTTCTTACATGTTGAACCCAAATACCTGTACTTTCTACTTCTTACATTTTGAATTGAAATACCTGTACTTTCTACTTCTTACATGTTGAACTCAAATACCTGTACTTTCTACTTCTTACATGTTGAACTCAAATACCTGTACTTTCTACTTCTTACATGTTGAACTCAAATACCTGTACTTTCTACTTCTTACATGTTGAACTCAAATACCTGTACTTTCTACTTCTTACATGTTGAACACAAATACCTGTACTTTCTACTTCTTACATGTTGAACTCAAATACCTGTACTTTCTACTTCTTACATGTTGAACACAAATACCTGTACTTTCTACTTCTTACATGTTGAACTCAAATACCTGTACTTTCTACTTCTTACATGTTGAACTCAAATACCTGTACTTTCTACTTCTTACATGTTGAACACAAATACCTGTACTTTCTACTTCTTACATGTTGAACACAAATACCTGTACTTTCTACTTCTTACATGTTGAACTCAAATACCTGTACTTTCTACTTCTTACATGTTGAACTCAAATACCTGTACTTTCTACTTCTTACATGTTGAACACAAATACCTGTACTTTCTACTTCTTACATGTTGAACACAAATACCTGTACTTTCTACTTCTAACATGTTGAACACAAATACCTGTACTTTCTACTTCTCTCATTTCCCAAACAGCTGGTTCCTTTAGTCTGAATGTGTGTTTGATGCGTGATAATTATTCTTTAGAGTCATTGCGTGCCTATTGATCTGAACACGATCCGTGTATCCATCATTTCCTGGTCTTCTCTAAAGAAGAGGGACCAATGGAAACGTTGTCATGTTGCCGTTGTTCAGCATGGAAACATTCATTAGCTAACAATGACATTATTGTTCTATTAATATAAAGGGAGGTCAGGTACTCTTTAAAACAGCTGCTAGTTATGGGTACTTTCTACTGAAGTACATTTCAAAGCCTCTTTACTTTGACTTGAGTAAAGAAGTTTAGTCAGTACTTCTACTTTTACCAGAGTATTTTTAAACACGACTATCTGTACTTCTACTTGAGTACAGGATGTGTGTACTTTTGCCATCTCTGCAAAGACCGGACACTTTGGGCGGGTTGACAAGAAGCCATGCCTGTTTCTTTTGATGGGCGCAGCTTTAAAGCAGAGGGAAGGAAAAAAAGGCCCAAAATATCCAGAAAGTTGCGTCTATAATTGGCTGCGCCTCTCAGCCTTTTTTATGTGTGAGCACAGCCCAGTGAAGAACAGTAGAAGCCACTTGCTCCCCCAGTGAAACCCTACACTCCCCCCCCCCACACACACACACTGCTCCCTCCCACTCTGTCCCACAAGGTTGCTGAAGCTCACCTCACCTCACTTTTTGACAACACTCAACACTGGATTGTCTCCCTGGATTAAATGATAATCTATTTGTGATTTTTTGACACATGCAGGGGGAGATATCTTGGATTATTATAATCACTTAGATAATGATGCTGCTCACCCGGTGCTGATTCAGGGTGTAGACAGAGAGAGAGAGAAACACCTCAGGAACGCTCACTAACAAGTGAAAGGACAGGTAAGAAAACAATTAGCATCATAAACTCTGATTTCCACCCTTAAATACATATTATTTTTTAACATTTTGGATTTGTTCGCATGCTTTTTTTGAACCCACAGATGATTGACGTTTTTCTCTTTGGTTGCACGTGAGAAATGTACATTTTGGGAATGACAGATGTGGAGCTTCTGCTTTAGACATCTATTGCATTCCCAGGTTTCACCTTAGAGAGAGGAAGTGGAAACGGGCCTGATGATACACACTCACCGTTTGTAAGGAATCTGGCCTCAGGTTCAAATGTTGACAGAAGCAAAGCAGCTTGTTTTCAGCTTTACCTCGGAAACTGTTTTTGCTTATAATATCAATAATTGCAGCACTGGGAGAGACGTACAGCGCATTTAAATGTGATCAGAGATGAAAGAGAGACAAATTAGAATATGTACGACTTGCGCAAAGTTGGGTAAAGATGGATTAGGAGCATGAATACAAATCGTGTTCATCTGCTTTCATTGGGCGGCTGTTTTTATTCCATTGAAGTCTCTCTGTGCTGAATCTCTGAGATGTTAAATGAAAACTAATTTGGGCAATTAGAGTGATTCAGCTAGTATGCCTATTATGCTCATTATTAGTACCGGTGGAACCAAAGTAGCAGAAATAACCCAGTGGAGAATCAGATAAGGAAACTTGTATCTGGAGGCCAAAGCACTTTTCACAGTAAATAATGCACTCTCTATTTCACAGACGTATATAGGCCAAGCCACAGTCCACAGGTTGCTGTTTTTAAATTGGCCGTTTCCTGGAATAATGTTCCGCCTAAATCCCTTTCTATTTCAGTTATACACACATGCAATCACTTTAATTACATAATACACTTTCATACTAGGTCTACTGTACAGAACTGAACTCACCTGACATTTGAAACAGGTGAAATGTATGAGTTTATATCACTAAAGCACAGTCAAATTGAATCACATAACTTCTGAATGATTAAACCCCTATATATAAGGTTAAAACCAACTTAAAAAACTAATAAAAACATGAGCATTTTTGTCAAGAGTTAGATGAGAAGATTGACACCATTTACATAAAGCTTCAGCAAGGAGAGGGTTAGCTTAGCTTAGCATAAATAGGCTAAACAGCAAGCATCTGTCCAATGAAAAAAATCTGTTGCTAATACAAATCTAGGTTCGTGTATTAACCCTTTGTTTCTTGTATGTTTACATTTGGGGACAAAAAAAAGTATGTAAGAAAATAAATCTGTGGTTTTACAGGAGGTTATATGTTTAAGGTATAATCGTGGTCGCAATTTAAGTCAATCTGCTCAACTAAGCATGTATTAAGACAAACTGGATACTTTATTCAATCATGGAGCCTTGTTTATTTCTCTAAAAGTTGCTCACTGGGTGCATACTATAAAAAAAAGCCTCTATATTGGAGCTTTTTCATTGTAAAAGCATCCAGTGTTGGCTCCGTGCACACATGGAAGGACAAGGTGATAGTTTGGCTTCTATAAATCACTAAACTTGTGATGCTAAACATTTATTACAGACAGTTATTCTCTGTCTTACAGCCACTCCTTTCCAAGATTGTGTATACATGCAAAACAGCTTTAATGCCAGTGTGCGTCATGTAATGATTGCCAACATTGCAATACCTGGCGCGGCCACAAGGCGAATAGCTTCATGTGTCTCAGTCCGTTCTTGACTGAAATGCTTTTGGCCAAGATAAAGCACGTAAGTTACCCACCTGTAAAACCTTTCAATTCATTTTTAAACCTCAGCTTTTGTTCGTATGAAACTAACAAGCTTTAACATGGACAGAGCTAACAGTTTGCCCCTGTTCCACTCGTTATGCTAACATATGCTAACTGTCTCAGAAACGTAAGCAGTACCGATTGTCTCCCCTAACTCTCGACAAGAAAGCAAATAAAAGCTTTTTGAAATGTCAACGTTTCCTTTAAATACATTATATTAAGCACATTCTGTATAGCAGCCAGTTGGTTTGAAAGCATTTAGAAAACACCTATTTACCATAATTCAATGGACATGTCAGGAAGCGCAGAGGCGATGATGTATGGAGAAGAACTATTCAGAACTCAAGGGACTCGTGTTATTTCTTTCCAAGTCATGCATATCTCAGACTTTCCTCTTCCTCCCCCAGGCCAGTGCCCCCCGCAATGAAACCATTTAACAGTCACGATGAGTCCTTGTTATGGCTACGGTCAGTCAAACATCAGCCCTAAAGGCTCGCATCACAACCACCGGTGTACAATAAGAGCAAGAATAGTTTTGTGTTTATATAAACGGGTTCTGTCAGTGCCACCCAGGCACAACGGCCTCGTAAATGAATCCAACAGAGGCTGAGTTATCGGTCCTTTGCAACATCTTCATGGATAAAAAGCTGCATAAATGTCACTCTAGCAGCTGCAAATGACAACTACAGACACCTGCAAGGAACTTTAATACATCAGTATGGAGAAGTTTTCCAGTGCAACATCAGCATACTCCCAACTCTCTTATTTTACTGTCTTGTGGGTGGATATGGTGAAAAGAATTGTATGGCTGTACTTCCAACAATCTTCAGTGAGTCCAATTTTCTCTGGATGAAGTATTCACTTGCTGCTGTAGAGAGATGTGTATTTCAGTCCAAGGGTTTAATTATCCCGTCCTGAGAATGGAGAACATTTCCTGCCAGCCTCCATACCAGAAAGAAATTCACACAGGGGACACAAGAAAACCTGGACAATAGGTGGGATGAGATAGAGAGTTCTTTTTTATTTTGGAGTACCTTATACTAGACATTTCTTAAAGTGCAAAATGCAATCTGAAATCAACCTTCCACAAGTCCCTTCTCAATATGTAGTAGAGATGTGAGAGTAGTTCTTGTAAGAGTCCCGCTTCTTCTTTTTTTCTTCCACCGCAATCTCCCTGCACAACAGGAAGTGTTTCATCCACTTTGGTTGCGCCGTTGGAAAGAAATAATCGAAAATCCTGTTCGCCAAGGGACAGCTTGGAAAACAGGATTTCGATTCTGAAATGTCTTGAAGGTCTGTTGTACATTTGCAAAGTAGCTCACTAGTGGCTGCTGCGTGAGGCCTTGTAATAGCATTGTTGATGTTTCCACTGACCTTTTCCGCAGACTGGACAGCTTGATGGTGGTAATAAGTTAAACTAAACAGACCCAAACCGAGGACGAGATGGAATTACGACTGGGATGTAGGATCACCCTGGTCTTGGTCATCCTCGCCTTGACTCTTTCCGGAGAGATGGTGGAAGCACAGAGGGCAGGTAAGACCATTATCAAGGACCCGGATCCAAGTACACTTGACCCCAAAGTCTAGTTTGTTTGAAAAATGTGAACATTGTTTACTGTACCTTGGCACGGTGCATTGATCTGTGACAGGGTTTACTCAAAAAGGTGGTTTCAAGTCAGATTCATGGTACACTTCTGTACCAGCTACATAGCCAGTGTTGACTCCGTGCACACATGGATGGACAAAGTGATAGTTTGGCTTCTCTAAATCACTAAACTAGTAAACTTAGGATGTAGGAGGGGCCAGATCCATTCGCAGCATGGTACGCAAGTACCAGTGTCTTGAAGTGGATTCTAGCAGTTACCGGAAGCCAGTGAAGTGAGCGGAGGAGCGACGTGGTGTGGGAACATTTTGGAAGGTTGAAGACCAGACGACACTTGACCCCAAAGTCTAGTTTGTTGAAAAATGTGAACATTGTTTTCTGTACCTTTGCACGGTTCATTGATCTGTGACCAGGTTTACTCAAAAAGGTGATTTCAAGTCAGATTCATGGGTTCTCAGGTATACTTCTGTAACAACTACACAAATGTCTCTGTCAAATGTAGATGATTGTGTTAGTGTACTCAGGTACGAATCCTCATGGGACAATTGAACTCGGGGCAGGGTACAATCAATCGTGCCCAATATGAAAACACTGTATTGTATCGAGCTTGTATTTATTGTTTTTTGACTAAATCCTCTTGTATTTTATTGGCAGGATGTAAGAATGTCCACTATGACTTAGCGTTCATCCTTGATACCTCGTCCAGTGTTGGAAGAGAGAACTTTGAGAAGATCCGACAATGGGTGTCCAACATTGTGGACTCTTTCGATGTGGCACCAGACAAGACCAGAGTAGCCGTGGTTCGCTACAGCGACACGCCCACCACTGAGTTCACTTTGAACAAACACAGGTCCCTGGAGGATGTGAAGCGAGCTGCCAGTGAAATAGTTTACCGGGGGGGAAATACAATGACCGGGGACGCTATCAGCTACACCACCAACAACATCTTCACGGAGCGAAACGGAGCCAGACCCAAAGCCAGAGGCATCCAGAGAGTGGCCATCCTTCTCACAGATGGTCTGAGCCAGGATTACGTTTTGGAGCCCTCCAAAGCCGCTGCCGCTGCCGGCATCAGGATGTTCGCCGTGGGGATCGGAGAGGCGTTGAAGGTGGAGCTGGAGGAGATCGCGGCCGAGCCAAAGAACGCCCACGTCTTCTATGTGACGGACTTCAATGCCATCGACAAGATCAGAGGCAGGCTGAGGAGGAGGCTGTGTGAGAGTAAGTCAACACACTGGCTCAGGGCCAACACATCACCCACAATGCATGCCACATGGCTTCTGTTTGAAGCCTCACTTTACAGAGCAGGCCTCACCCTGAACGTGCACTTAATCAAATAAGACTCTTATTTGAACCTTTAGGCGCTATTTGGAGGAAAAATACCCTAACCACGAAACCCCACCCCAACCACAAAGCACTGCGGCACATGTACACAGGGCTATCATGGCTGAGTGAATATGAAGCGTGTGAGGGGCGTGATGCGAGAATTGGTTAGCAGATGACACTTTTCTAACCAAGACATTTCTGTGGTGGAGCTGCCTCTTTGACTGCTGCTCTGCTGCAGAGGTGTTTAGCACTGGAAAGCCTGTCTTACGCTAACCTCAATGGTTTTCCACCAGTGTGCTGAGAACATCTTTCAACACAGGATTAGAAAGTAGCTTACAAAGTCAAAATAATTTGCAAAAATCGGCTTCGAAATGCAGCTTTATGTTGTTTGCTGTAGCTGTAAGAAGAAGAAGTGAAGAAGTATTTTCGTGTGAGTGTTTTCATAAAGAAGATGGATGCTTTGCACTCCAACACTTACATTCCTGCCTAAAATTAGCCAGACAGGAAAGAAAAGGATGCCATGAAGGGAAATGACATGATTACATGGTTTAGTGCACGGATGAGCAAAGACAAACTCTCAACTGTTCAAAGTTGTCAAGTTTGACGAAGCAAAAGTAAATGGACTGGACTTATATAGCCCTTTATCCAGTCTTTCAGACCCCTCAAAGCGCTTTACATACTACATGTCATTCATTCATTCATACAGAGCAATGTACCCTACTCTAGGACCTAACATTCACAAACCATTGGCCATCGGGAGCAACTCAGGGTTAAGTATCTTGCCCAAGGATACATCGACATGTTGACTGCATGGGCTGGGATCGAACCCACAACCTTCTGGTTGAAAGACGACCGCACTCCCTCGCAGCCACAGTCGCCCTAAAGTAAAGTAAAGATTCCTCTGAAGAAAATAGTGATTGAGACTCTAAATAAACTTTATTCTTTTTTAAGGACATATCATCTTTCTGGTGCAAGGCCGGCATGGAGATTCATTTGAAAGCCACTGACCTTTGACCGTGCTCCTTGACTCCATAGATGTTCAATCCGTCAACTAATAATGTCTTAAAATCTGCCTCGCAAGCAAGTTTAGGGTTCGGTGTAACTCACCAAAGTCTAAATGTACCAAGACAGAGAGTCGGTGTTTTTCTTTCTCTAATCTCTAGTCTCTAAGTCACCACGACCGAGTCTCTAAGTATATCAGTGGTCAGAACAACTGGCTCACTGAGCGATGCAAGCTATTTTCTCCCAGAAAATTATAGCTCTAATGTTTCAAGTGCAGCCTCTCCAGTGTCCATGTTGAACGTTTTCACCTTTTAATCTTTAGGTATAAAAATGGACGCTACTTATTATGTGCTGAACTGATTCATTAGAGCATGTGTGGCCTGGCTTACCCATGTGTGTCTCTTTAAATAGTCCTAAGAAGACACAAATCTTCCAGTAAATTAATAAACTAATTCTTTTCCACCTCCGCTGTCTTAAATCTCTTAATCCAGTCCTATTTATCACAACCGCACCTTTTAAAGGTCACCTATCATGCTATTTTTAGGCAATAGCATACGTCTCAGATATATATAAAAAACATGTCTATGAAGTGTTTTGCTCAAAATATCCCTCTATTTCACTTCCTGTTTCAAAAGTGCTGATTTGGGGTATAAAGCTTTAAAAAAGAAGGGGTCTGAGCTCATGCGGGACCCGGCAGCTACCGTCTAAACTAAATGCTGCCGTGATGAAACGCCATATCATGGATTATCAAGGATTATCTCTGAAACAGTTTGGAGCTCAAAGGCTTTCTCTCTTGCCGGTTATACCACAAGGTGAGTTCCTTTTTACTTCCTGCTTCTTCACGCACATGCTCTCCAGTACAGGTTAGCTCTGAGTGTTAGCGATGCTAATGTAAACACCGACCATATGACGTCCAAAACAGTCGGGCATTGTTTCTGATCGCAACGTTTCTGATTGGGCCGTGGGTCCACATTTCAGATATTACATCTTATCGGACGCAAATCTGGATCAGCTCCGTTGTTCCCCGTTTTTAGAGATTTGGGTACGGAGGAAAAGAGAGAGGGTTTTATTTATTTTTTATTTACGTTACATGAGTTCCCTGACACACTGGGGACACATATTTATGTATAAAATACATCACAAAGTGCATTTTGCACGATAGGTCCCCTTTAAATTCCAGTTTCGTTAAAAGAAACACTAAAATGGTACTCTTTTTTTGTATACCAAATGCATATGTGAATGATTAGAAAGAACATTGATTGATATGAAAATAAAATAAATACAAATAATTTTAAAAAACTCCCACTTGAAGCCTTCTAAACCTTCTATAAATTAGTAAATACAAATAAAATGTTAATACTTAAAGGGATAGTGGAAATGGAACCTCAAATAGTTTCGTTTTAACTTATATACAAGCATAATTACGTACCAAAACAATCACACCTGATTAAAAAAATATAATAATTGCCTTACGCATGTTAGAAGCACTTTATTGCAGCTTCCCCGAAGTTTTTTAGAAACGAAATGTTCGACTCAGCCAAACCGGAAGTGACGAAAACTTAGGAAGACGATACGATAACAAACCATGGCGTCTATGCAGAATGAACGTGGAAGGGCAAATATACCAGACAAAGAAGAAGGATTGTACGAGGTATCCAGTGATGATAGCGAGTCAGAAACATCCTCTCGGCTTTCCTACGAAAATGTCGTTTTAGGAACTGAATCTGAATCCGGTTCAGTAAGCGACGATGGTGACAATATTGAGCCAGACGATGGACCATTACGTCCTTATTTGTTCGAGCCCGAGCCCGAGGTGATGGTTCACGGCATGGGCAATGGCGAGGATGACCAGGACCAGGCGCCAGATGATGCACCCCTACGCACAAATAATCTTGACTGGTAGGTCCCTAAGCATAGCTCACGCATCTTAAGATCACCTGTAGCCTTTACAAATATTAATCATTGTTAACCAGTTAAGGCCGAAGGTCCCCCCAGTGGACCCCTCCCACAGTTTTTTTTCTCTCACATGTCTCAGGGCTTCTTAACATTTATGAAACTATTAATGTTTCATACCCTTTTAAAGGTAAGAAACTCCGCTAACTGACAATAAGAACAATTGTTAGCTAGAAAAAACACAAGAGTAATACCAAGCCTTTGAATTAGCATTGAGCGAAACAATGCTAACGCTTTTTTACACACAACACACGGTAGAAATGCCCTTATTACTATCTTAACTGCACAAACAAGATATACGATTTAAAGCTGAGACTCCACAGGTGTAATGTCATCACTGTAAGACCTCGAATTCCTGGAGCTATCAGCCAGAAAAGAGAAAGTAAACAACATCCGGTTCCAAAAATATTACAATAATTACGTCTTACCTTTTTTGATTTGTGATCAAAAGTTGTGTTCAACGGAATAAAAACGCATCTCAAGGTTAATCCAATGTCGTTGTGTCACGTAGAATTTTTCTGTCGCACTACAGCCATACAAAACACATCTATTCACCATAATAAAGGTCGGCTATTCACATGCAAATGCTATTGAATGTCCGCCATTGTTTGTGCCCGTCTTCCTATGCTCTCGTCATCACCCGAAGATTCCCGACGATTCCCGAAGTATTTCGTTTCATTGAGAGGGCGCAGTAAAATTGAAAATAAAATTAAACTAGGCGCATGAAATTTAAAAAAAATGGTTAATATGCTTATTTTTAATAAAAATACACAAGTTAAACCCAAAATTCGCGGATTTCCACTATCCCTTTAATTGAGTTAGATATTTGAACCAACCTAAGTCTGGATCATGACTACAAAATACTCGTTTTAACCATACGGTGTATTTACAAAAGGCAACTGTTTTTCTTTTTCCATTTCTTACCCATAATAATGCAGCATAACTATCAATGCATTGGATCCCAAACTCGACCCCAGTGACAGAAAACTCAATTCTCCAAGCTCATGTCTAACGCCTGCAGTGTGTTTAAAAAATTCAGAAGTCATAATGATGACAGTTAACGCGGGTAATAGTAGGAATAAAATATTGATGACACCTTTACTGCATTAAAGAAGTGTGAAATGCTCAAAGCTTCTGCAGAAACGACCAACCTGTGTGAGATATTCATTTCCAAAGGCAGGTTTGGCATTGCTTCCATTTTAACTCACAGCCCGATCCCTAAATTATAGCTCCAGGGCCACGAGTGCAGGGAGTAGCTCGGCTATCTAGCATGCTAAGTGCCAGGCTCGTGTGACAACACCGTCTTTAAAAAAAGAATGACGCACTTCCATTCATTCACAGAACCAGAAGGGTCATTTTTGGTAGACTCACTGGCTTTATAAGCAAAAAGTATCTTTTCTTAGATCTTCAATTATCACTGGAAAACAAATTTAAAAAAGAAGACGGACACAAACAAGGACAAACTGTACAGCTTGAAATAAATCATGTGAAATGGAGATAGCACCTTCCGTCCAATCATTAAGCGTTGACAGTTAAATGAACTGCTTGGATTTTCCAATTAGGCAAGGTCTGGGCTTTGCATGGGAGAAAATAAATGTCCACAGCGCTGTCCTCATTAAGAACAACGCAAAGGTTAAAAGCCACTCCGACATGAAGGCTTTTAAAGATATGATTTAAGGAAATTGCAGGGCTTGATAGTCGATGTTTGACAGATACTTGATCTATTAGGGAAGTCGGAGTGTCTCAATGTGATATTTTAAGCCACAGATGATATTTAAGGCTGCCAGTCCAGACGCAGACAAATTGTTGGGCTGATATTGGGTTTAATGAGAAGCTCCTCTGAACAGATTGATTACACGCCGATGACAGGATGCTGATTTGCTGTCGTACATAATCAACAATATGAAAATGTATCTTCCCATGTGGGACGGGAGAGGGGGATTTATTCAAATTCACCTTGTCACTTGAATGACAATGAATGCAGGGGAGCAGATCAAAGTTATTTTCAAACACTGATGAGATTTGTCTTGATGCTTCTAAGATTTGATTTGTGCAAATACTCCAATTAGTTAATGGAGATGCGACATTAATCTCTGCTGCAGCCATGATATTTATTTTAGCTTTAATGCATTCTCACATAAAAGCTTGACCTAATGCTGTTGTAAAGGCACCCGAATGACGAACATGTCTTCCCACAAAACATTTAAGGTTTTACTTACCCAGGTACCCAGGCTTTTTAACACCAACTAAATGCAATGGTTGTGAGAAGAAACTTTGTTTATTGCATAAACTGTAAAAGTGGTAGTAGCCAATTTGAAGACAAGCCTTGGTTTGTTAAGTACCGTTTTGAAGCCTTGAGTATACGGCATTTTGCCACGTAGTTGGTCAGCAAGGTGCATCCGCAATTCCATCTTATGGATGTTAAATGGAAGCTTATTTTGGCTGGCGAAAAAAAGACTTACAATTAAGAGTAAACAGTCGACAACAACTACCATGTTGCGATACCGTGTTAGCGATGCCTTTGTTGCCACATCATGCTGTATCAAAGAACACCTGAAAGTAGGGATTGAGACTATAAACTCAAAGCAATATGTTAACTAAGTTAATAAATCAACTGAAAAGTAGGGTCATTTTCTCATAGACTTCTTTACACTGGATGTTAGAGAGAATGCTGGTTTAATAAAGCACTTTCACATTGCCCTTACTTTCCAGACCACACGGTTGTCCTTTGGTTCATCGTTCATACAATAATACAAATCAATGACTACGGTTCTAATGCTCGCATGTAAGACTAAATGCTAAAATCAGAATGCTTACCCGCTCACAATGACAATGTTAACTGTCTAAGGCGGATGTGTTTCCTTAGTTTTGCAGGTACTTGAATTGGAGGAGGTAGAAATTGACATGAGCCAGTTTTTTTAAATGATGTATGTATCAAATTGCATGGCACTCCATAAAGTATAGTTGAGGAATCTCAGTCCTGGCCACAGTGGTGATTTAGGTGAACTGCCTCAACGTTTATGGCTAATAAGTAAAGCTGGCATCTTGACGCAAATAGAAAATACCCCTCCTGCCAATAAAAACATGGTGTTGCCCTTCGCCCTGTCTTCACTGTGACTGAAATATGTGTGTGTGGAAATATAAAACTGTTACTGCTCCTTGGGCTTATGGAGGTGCCTCTTGCTTTGTAGAGCCACACACTCCACTCTATAAACATCAGACAGAAGAGATGGAGTGTGTCGGCACCATCGCTCCTCCGATCACATGTCAGTCCAGAGTGTGTGTTTCAATGACAGTACAGTTTCCTAACACATAAAACAACTTTTATCGTTTGAGCCCACAAAAAGATTCAGAATGACTGCTCCGTGTCATAAAGCAACAACACAATTAGATGTCCAATAAGAAGACACAAGGTTAGCAATACAAGGGTTTGAACAGTTGTCTTTGTATACCCTGTGCGACCAAAAGATTACAGCGTGTCTAACTGAACTACGGTCTTCTCTCCTCAGATGTCCTGTGTCCAAACATGAAGGTTCAACCTGATCGGTTCAAGCCCAACAGCTCCAGTTATGGTCTTGAAGAGGTTCCAGGTATGTGCAAACTACTGCTTTTATAACGTGGACACGCAGCGCTGGCAATACTTATCAACCACAACGGCGTGCATGACATTTCCTACACAGGAATTATATCAACTTTTTATGTGCAAAGAAAGTTTTCCCTCACAAGTTCCTCTATTTCTTTCTGATTGGAAACACAATTGGTTTCATTCATGACTCGGAAAGTACATTTTCTGACACGTTCATTTTCTGTCTTGTTTTAAAACTCAATATACTTACAAAAATAAAATGCTTGCCGAATTTAAATCACACATTTTGACGCTTCACATCTTAGTTTATCATTTCGCAAACCAAGCTGCTGTGTTTTAGATCTTTTTGTCTATGGTCTGGTGCAGCCATTGACTTCCATCCATTGCCAATACGATATAAAAAACAACTAACATTTGAATTGTGTTATTGATCACCCTGAATATCCACTTCACTTCCACTTGATCCAAATATCACATATGAAATAAGCCTTATTCCATTTTTAGGAGAAAAACACATTAATTTAAACACAAATATCCAGTTAAACCGAAAATAAAGTGTATCAAACCAGCTGTTTTCACCCTGTATCCAGTGTTCATGCTAAGCTAAGACAACATTCTGTATGTTGTACATTAATATCTATGATTAGTAAATGTATATCCCAGTTGGTAAACTAATCTCTCTGGGAGGGAAATCTGCAAACAAAACATTTTCCTTTAAATGCGGCTTTTAATTAAACGTTTGTCAGTAGAGAGTCGTCCACGTTACTCTGCCATTTGATGTTGTTATTTAATAAATACCAAGCTGCTGTGTTTAAGGTTTCTCACAGCTCTTGGATAGCGTTTAACCAGAAAGGTCGGATGTTGTTATAAGAGTGTCTTTTGGGGGCTCTGAATTCCTGTCTGCGTCTCCCACCCACATCCAACACACTGAGGGAGAAAACAGATGCACTGGCACAACTGCTGGGACTCCTGCTCTGTTGAACCTCATGGAAACAGAGATGTCAGAGCGAGAAAGCTGTGTTTTGAGAGTTTGATTCTTAACACCTTTGGCTGGCTCAGTGACACCTGATAATCTGTGTCAACTGATATGGGTTTTTGTAGTAAATTACCAAATTTGTACCTGTTTTTTTTACCAAGTTGTAGTCTGGGTCTCTTCAGAAAAAAGCTATGTTCCGGCTATAAAACATATCAGCTGTCATGGGTTACTTAACATCCCTGAAAGCAAGACCAATGCAATTCTTATTTCACCATGAAAGAGGATTTATTCTACGAGAAATGAGAATTACATCCACAAGAATTCAATCCATGATGGGGATGGATCTTACCCCTATAGGAAAATATCACTCAACACCGGGATGAGAATCAATAGTCAGGTACTAATTTATTCTTGCAAGAAGGAGCAGAGTTAAGTCACATACAAAGGATATGGTTCAACTCACACACGAGGTATGCTGCTCAAAGGAGCAGGAAGTAACATCAAGCTTATAGTCTAAAGTCAGGAGGTACCAAACAGTGTCGTAAATCGGTTTGGCGTCATCAGGTGTCAGGAAGTCGTCGGGACATCTCTGGAAAGGCAGTATTGCTCTTTGCCGCTCAAAGAGGAGAGGTGTGTGTGCTCTCGTTGGAATCAACAACATGAATGATGCCCTGCCTTCTCCTATCTACGAAGAGGCAGCTGTGAGGTCACACAGTGCAAAGTCACACACAGTATCATGCCCATCAGAAAACCCATAATAAAGAAGACAGCTTGTATTTTCTCCAACTCCCTGAAAACTAAAACAGGCACATCCACTCCTACGGACAATTGAAAGTCACCTCATTCATTTTACCTATTTCTTTTTATCCCGAGGAAACCAGAGCAGATGGTAAATAAACATGCACACATTTGATTCAAACTCCAAACAGACTTATGTGGAGTACTTTATCATCTATGCCAAAATACTGAACTAAAAAAAAGAGTTGGCAATATAATGAAATGTCTGTAATATATTGTCCCATCAACGTTTAGCTTTGTTTGACATCATTCATAACGTATTTTTGGAGGTTTTAAAAGAAGGAAAAAGTAAGATTTCCCTCTGGAATCTGGTACTTCTAAGTATAAAGGAATATATTACAGTGTATAATAACAAAGTACATTGCGATTATGTGTTTGCAAAAGTCTGAGAGATGTCCTTATACCAGAGGATAGCTTGACTCGCTTCCAACTGCTCTTTTTTGGTTCCGCGCTGGCAAAAATTGAAGATAAGTTTATTTTTCAGCGCTTGTTGTTTTTCATAGTAGCCTATGGCTTGGAAAGGGGGTCGAGGGGGCTGACATGCAGGAGAGAGCCACAGGTCGGACTCGAACCTCCGAACAGATACCCCGGATGAATAGAGGTGGAGTTAAAACACTGCAGCCCTCTGATTGGTCAGAGAGAAACGTGAGGAGCACCACGCAGGACCTTCTGCAGAAACCCACAACTTTCAAATAGCGGAGCTCCCACCTATATTGATCACCTTTTTATTATTCTTTCCGCAAATATTTCGTTTGCAAAGGCACGTCGTGGTTAATGACGTGATGCAATGTTTATCTTTTGTGTGGTTGCTGTTTTACGCGGCATCGCTATATCGGTCAGGAAGATCTCCGCCATAGAGACAACGGAAAACCAAATCTAGAAAGCCAGATATCTAGGAATACACCTGGGACCTAAAGTAAGTTGATATGAGTCAAACCAGCAGTTGAAATGAACCATTAGTCACGTTTCTTCACTAAAGATAAGTTAATGTTGCTCTTGTAGATAAAGCAGTCAAAAGAGCAAGTATATGACAGCCATCCATTCAAGGGTCATTGTGCAGGATAGAGTATACTCTGGCCCAATCCCAAACCACTCCCTCGACCCTACCCCTCCGTCTGTAGCCACACTCGCAGCTCAACGAGGCTCCCTCCTGTCAGATGGAGCGAGTAAACACAGCAGCAAGCTTTGGGACGGCCTCCCCTCTCTCCGGCAGAAACAGGAAGTGCCGTAACTGTGTGTAACAACGGTTTCAAATCAGCATCTCTTAGACACATTTATCAGTGGAACTACTTGTAAACAGCTTGTTTCCTGACGGACACACACAGCGTGACTCCGGTCAGGTAGAGACCGGTCTCAAGTCAGCACCGCTGCAGACTCGCTGTTTGAGGGCTCGATAGCCCACTCCCCCTCCACACTCGTTGCTTTGGAACAGCCCTCAATATGGCGGACCCTCCGCGTGAACGCGCAAACGGAGGGGTAGGGTGTAGGGGCGGTTTGGGAATGGGCCTCTCTCTATATACATTTGTATGTTACTGATCAGAGCTGCCAGCATCACTTCCCACTGTCGAGACACATCAGATAATCCACATTGAGTATGTTAATTATGCTTATTGGCGTTAACTGTAAACCACACAGACAGTAAGGAATCATGAGATAACTGAAACCCACAGATGTTTTCGTACACAGTGTACCACTTTGTCAAATGTGCTTTAATTGGCATAACTCCATTGGGCTGTGTTTTGTTTGTCTTTCCAATTCAAGGCTTGTTCCACTTGGAAAATTATATGAGAACATCTTTTTTTTTGGAAACCATAAACTGGGTTATTGTGGAATACACCATAAATATACTGTACACTATTTACTCTACTCCACCATACCACGTGAAGTGGTGCCACTTGAATCTTTTTGAGTCCTTTTTTACTGTAATAGAGTACCTTGATTTCTATATCGTAGCGGTTTTCAAAGTATGGTACGTGGACCACCAGGAGCTCTTGTTAAGGCCGCATTTGGTCCCCAGGAAGGTTCTAATTTTCCTTTGGATGTTTGCACAGTGAGAGAAAGTATAAGGAGGTTATTTGATGGTCTCTACCTACACAGCACAGACAGTGTGTCATCATCAGATCCCAATACTGCACTGAGCCTCAGACCGCTGGTTTCAAACACACTCACATGACAAAGATGTCCGGGGTTTTCCCCAACACACATAAGCTGTGTTTGTTGTGAAACTCATTTGAGTGAAGTCTTTTGTTCTCCACATTTTTATAGGCACTTGATGATTTTTCTCCACATGCAGATAAGTTCTAGACCATTTTTGTCCTCACGACACCAGCTCTGCTCCTGTAATTATAATTGCCCAATGTTCTGTACGCCGGTGAACATTGTGGTGCCAAAGAGAGTTTAAGTCTCCATGAGAAATGACAAGACTATTTCACCACTGATTATGATTTGACAGCTAGAGACCTGCGGTTTGAGTCAGACTTGTATTTATCATGTCTAACCCCTCAGGGTGCTGAACACTTTAGAGCAGGGGTGTCAAACTCAAGGCCCGGGGGCCAAATTCGGCCCGCGACTTCATTTCATGCGGCCCCTCAAAAGATTGCAAAGAATATAATATGTTTATTATACTGTTACATGCCGATTTACAGAAGCACGTTGCCCATAAACTACATGTCCCACAATGCATCTCAAATTTGACTTTTTTCTCAGAATTTGACTTTTTTTCTCAGAACAAGTTTTTCTCTCAGAATTTGACTTATTTTCTTCAAAATATTAATTTTTTCTTAGAATTAGTTTAAAAAAAATCATTTTGTAACATTCTCAGTGAAGAGACTTGCAATGATTTGCCCTAGACTTCTGCTTTTAGACGTAGTTAATTATGAAGTTATTACCCTATCCGATAATAATCCAATGCAGAGGCAATAATGTAATATATAATACATTATTTTATATATATTAAATATGTATATTTGTATTTTGATATATAGTCTTAAAGTTACAACCAGCCCTTTGAGTGCAACCATAATGCTGATGTGGCCCGCGAAGAAATTGAGTTTGACACCCCTGCTTTAGAGGCTGCAGAGCGTCTTTGTGGGCTCTTCTCTCACTATCGACGACAAACTACTGCCATCTGCTCTGATCAAGAGAATGCTGTGTGTATGCTTTTTCCCTTTTTTCCCAGTCAGTGAACTCATCTGGCTTTACCCGCAGATCACCCCATCGGTCCCTATTTTTTTTTTAGCTGTCCAAAATAACTTTTTCGGCTTGATTATACGCTATCCACTGCCAGTCCAAATTACAGCTCTGAGCTGAAGAAGGCCCCCAAACAGCCACAGAAGCTGAGTGAATGTGCTCGATGCAAGCGTGGTGACAAAGAGAGTCAGAGGCCAGAGAGACTCACAGCTGCATGGCTTGAGACAGTCTGATAATCAGCAAGACCTCCTGCATTATGGCATCACCAATTCTCAAGGTGCAAGAGCTTTTCACTTGCTAAATTAGTTTGAATGGTCTCTGTAAAAGACTGTGATTCAGAAGTGAGAAAGGCATCTGTAAACGAGGTTTCTATCAGTTGATTAAAGTAGCCTTTTTGTGAGATTAGCTGCATGTGTTCAACCTGAGATGTTGTGTTTACAAGAGTGTGTCCTCCACATTATAACACCTGGAAAAAGACTTACACAGGTACCATCAAAGAGCACAATAATAGTTCAGGCATTTCCAGATGAGCTAGTTCTCCTGACGAATGTTATAGTGTATGGGTTTCTTCTTGGCTAATGTGCTAATGCTATACAAGCTACATATATGTGACTGATAACATATACACAAATAAGTGTATATATATATGTTAAATATCTTAGTCAGAGGAACATAATAGGTAAAGCAGTTTTTGTGTATATTTGAAGGGATACTTTTATCTATTTGATTTGACCTTTATTTAATCAGGAAAGTCTCATTGAGGGTCCTGGCCAAGATGGCAGCAGAACAGTTACAGAACACAAAGGAAAAACAGTGCTTCTTGGTCATCAAGAATCACATTTCAACTTATTTGTATTAATTACTCACTGCACGTTGCCCAAGTTCCTTTCCTAACAGATGTTTTGATTTAGTTTTGCCTCTGTAATTCATCAAGGCCTTTCTTAATGCGTCTTTCACCGTAGGAAAAATGCGAGAAAAACCAAGTTTAAAATCCAAAATAAAATCCAAACACTTCTTTTCAAGGGTAAGTTTAAGACAAAGCAGAGACAGCTCCATCTACTGACCTTTAGAGGTAATTGTTGAAGATGCAAGTGAATTAATGGCATCTAAATGAATGTATGGGTATTGTCGCTTTTTTAAAAGAAGTTGTATTCATGTTCAGACCTGCACAGAGAAACTTTCCCCCTGTAGAATGTTTCTATTATCGTTTCCATCCATCTGAGGCCCTTAACTGACAGACAGAGTATCAGGCGGACGTCTGACCCCCCCTCAGTTAATCCCTCTGTTAAGAAGCCTCTTGTCTTTAATGTTATTCTTTACTCTGTTGCTCATGGTCTGTGTCTTACCACATGTTTCCAGGCTATTTCTAATGACCTCCACTAAGCTCCTGCCAGACTCTCACATTACCACCTTAATGTTCCGGTTTCCTCCTCTGCAGATTAGTGCGCTGGTGTCCATATTCCCCACCGGAAACCTTACGTCTCGTAGATTTTGCTGCATTACTGAGGCCATGCAGGAATATGTGGAGACTGTGCTCGTGCTGATGGATGACTAATGGCTCCGTCTGCTTTCAGTTGAGCTCAATGCATACGCACCATGAGCAGCAGCTGGACCGCTCTCCTCCTGCTGGCATTGCCATAGCTACAGCTCTTGTTTGTTGTACAAGGGAGTGTCCTCTATAACCACCTAAATATGACCTGTGGTGAGACCACTTCAAATGGCACTCGCAGGGCAACGTACACACACGCGCACACACACTCAGAGTCGCACACAGACCCTACCAGCGATGGCAATTAGTTTTTTCCTCTGGCAGCAAATCAAACACATGTTGAATGGCCAACAAACGGCCCTATTTTCCAGTTATTCAGTGATTTTAATCTCTCTCCGAGAAGCCACAAACACAGTTGCTGCAGGGTGTGGTGGGACTGACCCAGTTAAACCTCAGTATGCCCCGAGAACTCTGACAAAGACGTAACTCAACCTCAAGACATAAGAGCCTTGTGCGCCTGTGTGTGTGTGTGTGTGCGTGTGTGTGTGAGAGAGAGAGTCCAACCTGGCTGTTTTACTGTGTTGCTGCAGGGTTCGACCTGATGAAGTTCTTTAACGTGAGAGACATCCTGGGGACCAGAATCGATGAAGGCCAGAGTGCTTACGTTCGCCTCGGCACCATGCCCATTGTACAGCAAACAGAGTAAGTGACCTCACTGTTATACTGCAAACAAGTGAGCATTAATCACCAATGTCTTCCTATGTTGTTTCCCAAATGTGTCCTGGAGAGACTTCTTGAAAAGTCAACGCTTGACTCATGATGTGTTCTTAAACTGCAGGATTGTCGGTACCTGTGTGTTATAATGATGAATCCCATCGTCAGCCAAAATTAAAAGAGTGTGCCAGTTTATCCTAATTAGCGACCCCCTTAAAAAGGCATGAGAGAAGTGCCGTGTGCAAACGCAGAAAGACAAATAAAAAAAGCAGAATCAAGAATGCCATAAACAAAAGTCTAAAAACTGTGGAGCAGATTTTTTAAATGGAAATACTTCTGCTGGAAAAAATGTCAAACAATTATTGAGTTTTTTCCTTTTAAAAAAAAAAAAATGGAAGCTATTAAATCACATTATCAGTGTTATATATAATATAGTTCATCCTAAATCCTAAGCAATAAGCAATTCTTTTGCACAAATCCCAAAAAGAAAACATTGTTGAATGTCAGAAAAAAAACTGCCTTTTAATTAGATAATTCCTTTTAAGATCTGTTGGTGATTAATGCCAAATAATCTGCCAAATCTCTTCTGAATAGTTGTTAAGAAGTGACTTTAAAGTCATGGATAGAGAATCTTGTTGGGACCCTACTTTGAATATACACAATTGATGACATTTACATGTACTTATGCATGTTTGAATTAACCTCAGAAGTCATGAAATGTTATCAGATCCATCCGGACTTCTTACAGTCGTTGTCAAATTAAGATATTCTATACAAAAGTGTTGTTCATAATCAGAATATTGCAATGACATATAAGCGGTAACAAAGTAAAATATAGACAATGTGTTTAATTTGAAGAATTAAGAGCAGTTTATTTTAATACTAACAATGTGCTTGTTTTCTGCAGGGATGTGTTTCCTCAGGGTTTGCCAGATGAATACGCCTTTGTGACCACGTTCAAATTCAGGAAGACCTCAAGACGGGAAGACTGGTACCTCTGGCAGGTCTTCGACAAATATGGAATCCCACAGGTGGGTCTGCCGAATGTAAACAGTAGTAAATATGACTATTACTGTATGTGTCTGGATTTAGACAATTACTATGTCAACTCAGAATAGACTCTCCTCACCAACTCTTCAGACCTTTTGAAAATCATTGGGCATAAAAAGAGGAATTTTTGTCAAGTTAGAGACAATTATATTTAGACTTCCAATCATGCTTTTTAAATGCAATGTTATTATTCTAACTGTAATACTATCATGATTGTGTTAAGCTAATATTTGAGATGACATTTCTACACTTTGTGCCTTATCCTCTACGTTTTTGAAAAGCATCAAGTACGCAAATCATTTTTAAGTTAAAGGTGGGGTATGTAATTTATTTCAGAAACACTTGTTATATTCCATGGAATGCTCTTAACATCCCGATAGCAATGAATACATTAAATGCTTTGATAATAAATACATACAAAAATATCATCTGTGGAAGCCGTAGCGCTGTAAAAAGCACGACCAATCACCTGAGCCGGCCCGGCTAAAGTAACTGGATGGCCTACCTGCCTGTCAGCCTTCCATCTGGGCACAAACTTATCTCGTGCCCTCATTGGTCATGTGTGCGTTCGTGTGTTGGAGGAGGGGCTCTGTGAGGAAGTGGCAGATTTTTTCCGTTTGTGTATTTTCAAATTCTAGCGCACTCGAGCTGGTTTCTCAAACTTACCTACCCCACCTTTAAACTAGTTTTTTTTTATAGCACCTGTTTGCAACTCACAAATTATGTATCACTTGTATATAGACTCTTATGGCACTATTGTGTTGCACTGTTGGAGGAGCCTGTGACCTAAGATTTTCATCGACATAACTACACTGTAGCTATGTACAAATGACAATAAAAGCCTTGAATCTTGAATGAATCTTATTTTACCAGCCCCTTCTTACAAAAAAAAAGAAATGGGTTAGGGTTAGAAAATAACCATTAAAAAATCAAAGGAAAGCAATAACGTACCTACCCCACCTTTAAGGAAGCTTTACTGCAGTTTAAATTGTAATGTAATTGTTTTGTATCGGTATCCAATATAAGCGGTATTGAGCGATCTTGAATTAATATCTACTCAAAGTACCAAAAGTAGTCATTATTCACATTATATTACTGTATTATAATGATTGATTACAAAATATGGACATATTGCAGCTGGTGAATAGGGCGATTATTTTAAATACTTTATAGACTTCTGAGTAGCTTGTGAATTCCCCCTGGAGAACGTTAAAGTCTTTAATAAAACATCATAATTCACTTTTTTGAATAGAAGAACAAAGTAGCAGTGAATAGAAATACTCAAGGAGCGAACAGGCACATCAAGATAAGATAAGTATTTTATTGATCCCAATTTGGGAAACGTTTATGTTGCAGGGGCATCAAAAGACAAGGCATTGTACATTAGAGAAATTAAAAGACTAGAAATAAACCATCCAAAATGTAAACGTCTCAAATAGAAATAAAATAGCATTAAAAAAGTAGAAAATATACATGTGGAAAGTGTGATTAAGCACAGTTATTGATTGATTGATTGTTGTGCTTTTACTTATGTCTTAGTGTGTGCATGTGTATAAATGGGTCTGTTGATTGTGTATATACATATTTGTATTTTATATTCTGGATTTTGGGAAACGGTATTTCGATCTCTCAGTCTGTCACACAAACTGAAAGATTGTCAATAAAGTTGACTTTATTTAGTACATGTGCATGTATTTTCTATCACTGTATGTATAAAGAAAGCGTAATTATGTATGAAGTTGACTTTATCGTGTTCTGGTTTTATATTTCAGTATCCGTAAGCAACTGGGACTGAAATAATTGCTTTCATTTGATCTTTTAATGGTTATTTTCTAACCCATTTCTTTTTTTTGTAAGAAGGGGTTGGTAAAATAAGATTCATTCAAGATTCAAGGCTTTTATTGTCATTTGTACATAGCTACAGTGTAGTTATGTCGATGAAAATCTTAGGTCACAGGCTCCTCCAACAGTGCAACACAATAGTGCCATAAGAGTCTATATACAAGTGATACATAATTTGTGAGTTGCAAACAGGTGCTATAAAAAAATAACTAGTTTAAAGGTGGGGTAGGTAAGTTTGAGAAACCAGCTCGAGTGCGCTAGAATTTGAAAATACACAACCGGAGAAAATCTGCCACTTCCTCACAGAGCCCCTCCTCCAACACACGAACGCGCACATGACCAATGAGGGCACGAGATAAGTTTGTGCCCCGATGGAAGGCTGACAGGCAGGTAGGCCATCCAGTTACTTTAGCCGGGCCGGCTCAGATGAATGGTCGTGCTTTTTACAGCGCCACGGCTTCCACGGATGAACATTTTGTTATGGATTTGTTGTCAAAGCACTTCAGATATTCATTGCTATCGGGATGTTAAGAGCATTCCATGGAATATAACAAAAAGTGTATCTCGAGCCGGTTTCTCAAACTTACCTACCCCACCTTTAAGTGTACATGTTTTGTTTTAAAATAACTGCCATGTGTGGCAATGAACAAATACCAAATAAAAAAAACTGTTCCTGACTGCCTGTATTTCCCCCCTCCTATCTTTAAAATGTCCTGTGTCTCTCCAGGTGTCCATTCGTCTGGACGGAGAGAACAAAGCGGTGGAATATAACGCCGTCGGCCTGATCAAAGACGCGGTCCGAGCCGTGTTCAAGAACCCTGAAGTCGACAAGCTGTTCGACCGCAACTGGCACAAGATCGCCATGAGCGTGGAGGCCAAGTCCGTGTCTCTGTATCTGGACTGCAAACTGATCCAGACTCTGCCCATCGGGGACCGCGAGGACATCGACATCCAGGGGAAGACTGTGATCGGGAAGAGGCTATACGACAGCGTGCCCATCGATGTGAGTCTTTGTGGTTTAATATTTAAAGGTCACCTATTATGCAAAATCCACTTCTCCATGTCTCTTCTACATCAACATGTGTCCTCTCTTCTTCATGTCTCTTCTACATCAACATGTGTCCCCTCTTCTTCATGTCTCTTCTACCATCAACATGTGTCCCCTCTTCTTCATGTCTCTTCTACATCAACATGTGTCCCCTCTTCTTCATGTCTCTTCTACATCAACATGTGTCCCCTCTTCTTCATGTCTCTTCTACATCAACATGTGTCCTCTCTTCTTCATGTCTCTTCTACATCAACATGTGTCCCCTCTTCTTCATGTCTCTTCTACATCAACATGTGTCCCCTCTTCTTCATGTCTCTTCTACATCAACATGTCCCCCCTCTTCTTCATGTCTCTTCTACATCAACATGTGTCCCCTCTTCTTGATGTCTCTTCTACATCAACATGTGTCCCCTCTTCTTCATGTCTCTTCTACATCAACATGTGTCCCCTCTTCTTCATGTCTCTTCTACATCAACATGTGTCCCCTCTTCTTTCATGTCTCTTCTACATCAACATGTGTCCCCTCTTCTTCATGTCTCTTCTTCATCAACATGTGTCCCCTCTTCTTCATGTCCTCTTCTACATCAACATGTGTCCCCTCTTCTTCATGTCTCTTCTACATCAACATGTGTCCCCTCTTCTTCATGTCTCTTCTACATCAACATGTGTCCCCTCTTCTTCATGTCTCTTCTACATCAACATGTGTCCCCTCTTCTTCATGTCTCTTCTACATCAACATGTGTCCCCTCTTCTTCATGTCTCTTCTTCATCAACATGTGTCCCCTCTTCTTCATGTCTCTTCTACATCAACATGTGTCCCCTCTTCTTCATGTCTCTTCTACATCAACATGTGTCCCCTCTTCTTCATGTCTCTTCTACATCAACATGTGTCCCCCTCTTCTTCATGTCTCTTCTACATCAACATGGGTCCCCTCTTCTTCATGTCTCTTCTACATCAACATGTCCCCTCTTTCATGTCTCTTCTTACATCAACATGGGTCCCTCTTCTTCATGTCTCTTCTACATCAACATGTGTCCCCCTCTTCTTCATGTCTCTTCTACATCAACATGTGTCCCCCTCTTCTTCATGTCTCTTCTACATCAACATGTGTCCCCTCATGTCTCTTACATCAAACCATGGGCCCTCTTCTTCATGTCTCTGGTTACATCACAATGTGTCCCCTCTTCTTCAGGTCTCTTCTACAATCAACATGTGTCCCCTCTTCTTCATGTCTCTTCTACATCAACATGGGTCCCCTCTTCTTCATGTCTCTTCTACATCAACATGTGTCCCTTCTTCTTCATGTCTCTTCTACATCAACATGTGTCCCCTCTTCTTCATGTCTCTTCTACATCAACATGTGTCCCCTCTTCTTCATGTCTCTTCTACATCAACATGTGTCCCCTCTTCTTCATGTCTCTTCTACATCAACATGTGTCCCCTCTTCTTCATGTCTCTTCTACATCAACATGTGTCCCCTCTTCTTCATGTCTCTTCTACATCAACATGTGTCCCCCCTCTTCTTCATGTCTCTTCTACATCAACATGTGTCCCCTCTTCTTCATGTCTCTTCTTCATCAACATGTGTCCCCTCTTCTTCATGTCTCTTCTACATCAAAACATGTGTCCCCTCTTCTTCATGTCTCTTCTACATCAACATGTGTCCCCACTTCTTCATGTCTCTTCTACATCAACATGTGTCCCCCTCTCTTCATGTCTCTTCTACATCAACATGTCTCCCCTCTTCTTCATGTCTCTTCTTACATCAACATGTGTCCCCTCTTCTTCATGTCTCTTCTACATCAACATGTGTCCCCTCTTCTTCATGTCTCTTCTACATCAACATGTCCCCCTTCTTCTTCATGTCTCTTCTACATCAACATGTGTCCCCTTTTCTTGATGTCTCTTCTACATCAACATGTGTCCCCTCTTCTTCATGTCTCTTCTACATCAACATGTGTCCCCTCTTCTTCATGTCTCTTCTACATCAACATGTGTCCCCTCTTCTTCATGTCTCTTCTACATCAACATGTGTCCCCTCTTCTTCATGTCTCTTCTTCATCAACATGTGTCCCCCTCTTCTTCATGTCTCTTCTACATCAACATGTGTCCCCTCTTCTTCATGTCTCTTCTACATCAACATGTGTCCCCTCTTCTTCATGTCTCTTCTACATCAACATGTGTCCCCTCTTCTTCATGTCTCTTCTACATCAACATGTGTCCCCTCTTCTTCATGTCTCTTCTACATCAACATGTGTCCCCTCTTCTTCATGTCTCTTCTACATCAACATGTGTCCCCTCTTCTTCATGTCTCTTCCACATCAACATGTGTCCCCTCTTCTTCATGTCTCTTCTTCATCAACATGTGTCCCCCTCTTCTTCATGTCTCTTCTACATCAACATGGGTCCCCTCTTCTTCATGTCTCTTCTACATCAACATGTGTCCCCCTCTTCTTCATGTCTCTTCTACATCAACATGTGTCCCCTCTTCTTCATGTCTCTTCTACATCAAACATGTGTCCCCTCTTCTTCATGTCTCTTCTACATCAACATGTGTCCCCTCTCTTCATGTCTCTTTTACATCAACATGTGTCCCCTCTTCTTCATGTCTCTTCTACATCAACATGTGTCCCCCTCTTCTTCATGTCTCTTCTACATCAACATGGGTCCCCTCTTCTTCATGTCTCTTTCTACATCAACATGTGTCCCCCTCTTCTTCATGTCTCTTCTACATCAACATGTGCCCCTCTTCTCCATGTCTCTTCTACATCAACATGTGTCCCTTCTTCTTCATGTCTCTTTTACATCAACATGTGTCCCCTCTTCTTCATGTCTCTTCTACATCAACATGTGTCCCCTCTTCTTCATGTCTCTTTTACATCAACATGTGTCCCCTCTTCTTCATGTCTCTTCTACATCAACATGTGTCCCCTCTTCTCCATGTCTCTTCTACATCAACATGTGTCCCCTTCTTCTTCATGTCTCTTCTACATCAACATGTGTCCCCTCTTCTTCATGTCTCTTCTACATCAACATGTGTCCCCTCTTCTTCATGTCTCTTCTACATCAACATGTGTCCCCTCTTCTTCATGTCTCTTCTACATCAACATGTGTCCCCTCTTCTTCATGTCTCTTCTACATCAACATGTGTCCCCTCTTCTTCATGTCTCTTCTACATCAACATGTGTCCCCACTTCTTCATGTCTCTTCTACATCAACATGTGTCCCCTCTTCTTCATGTCTCTTCTTCATCAACATGTGTCCCCACTTCTTCATGTCTCTTCTACATCAACATGTGTCCCCTCTTCTTCATGTCTCTTCTTCATCAACATGTGTCCCCTCTTCTCCATGTCTCTTCTTACATCAACATGTGTCCCCTCTTCTTCATGTCTCTTCTACATCAACATGTGTCCCCTCTTCTTCATGTCTCCTCTACATCAACATGTGTCCCCCTCTTCTTCATGTCTCTTCTACATCAACATGTGTCCCCTCTTCTTCATGTCTCTTCTACATCAACATGTGTCCCCTCTTCTTCATGTCTCTTCTACATCAACATGTGTCCCCTCTTCTTTCATTCTCTTCTACATCAACATGTGTCCCCTCTTCTTCATGTCTCTTCTACATCAACATGTGTCCCCTCTTCTTCATGTCTCTTCTACATCAACATGGTGTCCCCTCTTCTTCATGTCTCTTCTACATCAACATGTGTCCCCTCTTCTTCATGTCTCTTCTACATCAACATGTGTCCCCTCTTCTTCATGTCTCTTCTACATCAACATGTGTCCCCACTTCTTCATGTCTCTTCTACATCAACATGTGTCCCCCTCTTCTTCATGTCTCTTCTACATCAACATGTCTCCCCTCTTCTTCATGTCTCTTCTACATCAACATGTGTCCCCTCTTCTTCATGTCTCTTCTACATCAACATGTGTCCCCCTCTTCTTCATGTCTCTTCTACATCAACATGTCCCCCCTCTTCTTATGTCTCTTCTACATCAAACATGTGTCCCTCTCTTAGTTCTTCACATCAACATGTGTCCCCTCTTCTTCATGTCTCTTCTACATCAACATGTGTCCCCTCTTCTTCATGTCTCTTTCTACATCAACATGTGTCCCCTCTTCTTCATGTCTCTTCTACATCAACATGTGTCCCCTCTTCTTCATGTCTCTTCTACATCAACATGTGTCCCCTCTTCTTCATGTCTCTTCTACATCAACATGTGTCCCCTCTTCTTCATGTCTCTTCCACATCAACATGTGTCCCCTCTTCTTCATGTCTCTTCTACATCAACATGTGTCCCCCTCTTCTTCATGTCTCTTCTACATCAACATGTGTCCCCTCTTCTTCATGTCTCTTCTACATCAACATGTGTCCCCTCTTCTTCATGTCTCTTCTACATCAACATGTGTCCCCTCTTCTTCATGTCTCTTCTACATCAACATGTGTCCCCTCTTCTTCATGTCTCTTCTACAATCAACATGTGTCCCCTCTTCTTCATGTCCTCTTTTACATCAACATGTGTCCCCTCTTCTTCATGTCTCTTCTACATCAACATGTGTCCCCTCTTCTTCATGTCTCTTCTACATCAACATGGGTCCCCTCTTCTTCATGTCTCTTCTACATCAACATGTGTCCCCTCTTCTTCATGTCTCTTCTACATCAACATGTGCCCCCTCTTCTCCATGTCTCTTCTACATCAACATGTGTCCCTTCTTCTTCATGTCTCTTCTACATCAACATGTGTCCCCTCTTCTTCATGTCTCTTCTACATCAACATGTGTCCCCTCTTCTTCATGTCTCTTCTACATCAACATGTGTCCCCTCTTCTTCATGTCTCTTCTACATCAAATGTGTCCCCTCTTCTTCATGTCTCTTCTACATCAACATGGTGTCCCCTCTTCTTCATGTCTCTTCTACATCAACATGTGTCCCCTCTTCTTCATGTCTCTTCTACATCAACATGTGTCCCCTCTTCTTCATGTCTCTTCTACATCAACATGTGTCCCCTCTTCTTCATGTCTCTTCTACATCAACATGTGTCCCCTCTTCTTCATGTCTCTTCTACATCAACATGTGTCCCACTTCTTCATGTCTCTTCTACATCAACATGTGTCCCCTCTTCTTCATGTCTCTTCTACATCAACATGTGTCCCCTCTTCTTCATGTCTCCTCTACATCAACATGTGTCCCCTCTTCTTCATGTCTCTTCTACATCAACATGTGTCCCCTCTTCTTCATGTCTCTTCTACATCAACATGTGTCCCCTCTTCTTCATGTCTCTTCTACATCAACATGTGTCCCCTCTTCTTCATTTCTCTTCTACATCAACATGTGTCCCCTCTTCTTCATGTCTCTTCTACATCAACATGTGTCCCCTCTTCTTCATGTCTCTTCTACATCAACATGTGTCCCCTCTGTGGAAAGAGACTCTGAAAGTTTCAGGAACAAAGATTCTCTCTCTTTTTGATCCATTTCTATAAAAACCTGTCTGAAAATGAGCCGATCAGATTTTGGCCACTTTATGATGTCATCAAGATGTTTTGTCTTGTGTAACCATTAGCCAATCAGCAACCAAGGTAAGCCCCCCCCCCCCCCTTATCACCTGAATCTCCTCCTAGAGCACCATTGTGTTCTTTGTAACCAAATGTCTCTCAGAGGGGCGTGGGGAGGGGCTCCTTATTTTCATCTAAAGTAACAGACAGAGAATCAGCACTTTGGAAACAGGACTGAAACAGAGGGGATTATGGGTAATGCTGCAATGATCTGTGTGGTGTTTCAGCCAATCAGAGACAGGCTCTGTATATATCTGAGACCTGTGATGTATTGATGAAAAACAGTCTAACAGGGGACCTTTAAAAGAAAAGGTATAGATCGCCACTCTTGAGCGATTGTTATGTGTTATTGTCTTGAGGTTTATATAAATTGTCTGTGTGTTCCTGCAGTTTGACCTCCAGAGGATGATGATCTACTGTGACTCCAAGCATGCAGAGCTGGAAACCTGCTGTGATATTCCCGATGGACCTGTGAGTATTGGAGTAGATCTGGTTCTGATCGCAGGTTACTTTAACACAGTAAGCTGCACTGTCTTTTTTCCCAAGCTAGATTTTAATTTAAAACACACTTCTCAGCTTGTAGACATGAGCGTTCAGTATTTAGCTTTGTTAGCTACGGTAGCTAACGTGACACCAGAGTTAAGGAACACATTTTACCTTTGCAAGAGAACACATCTGAAATTCTTAGTCTTTTTGGTAAAGTAATCACGAATGTTGTTATTTTTCCTTACACAAACCATCAAAGCCTTTTTTAATAAAATAATGACTTGCTACTACACAGATGACTTCACAGGTGTCGTGAAAGCCATGTATTGTCAATAATGAGTGATTTAATGCTCATCAGATTCTCCTGATAATTATTTAATTTGACCATAACTCGAACTAGAAATATTGTACAAATCTATCTAAACTAAAACTATTATTTAGAAACCAAATCATTAATGGTTATAGGCAGGACCTGTGAACTCATGTTGTTATTTCTTGTCATTGTAAAGGTTATTTCTTTTTTGGAGGGTTATGTTTGTTTACAACATGACGGACATGACGCTACTGAAGCGAATATGACAACAGAGTAAAGGAACACATTCTCTTAGCTGAGTAAAAGGGCTGATAATCTGCATCATTAAAGCAACGCATTATCCAAAAAGCATTCTCAGAGATCATAAAGTCACACTTTTGGTAATCGCGAATGTTGTTATTTTTCCTTACACCATCAAAGCCTTTTTTAATAAGGCAAATAAGGTGTTCCCACATTTTAACCAATTTATAACAAAAGAATAATGAGCCGACGCTACACTGAGGACTTCCAAGGTGTCGTGTAAGCCATTTACTGTCCACCCTTGTATCCGATACTTCTGAGTCATTTCATTTGACCATAACTCAGACTAGAAATATTGTACAAATCTATAAACTACAACTATTAGAACCAAATCATTAATGGTTATGAGCAGGACCTGTGAACTCATACTTCATGTCATTGTAAAAGTGATTTCTTTTTTGGAGGGTAATGTTTGTTTGAAACATGACGGACATGACGCTGATGACGATGACCTCATCTTTAATTTTCGGACCAGAAAAGTATTTTTAATCCTCGCCTTGCCGCTGTTGAACATGACAGAGACTATTTGAGAGTTTATTTATTTGACGTTTTTTTGCACCTTGAACGTTTTTTTTGTTTCTGATAAGATAAGACTTTATTCATCCCGACGAAATTGTTGTGCCAGAGTAACAAAATACAATAAACACAGCAGCAAAACTGTACACTAAAAGTGCAGCAAAAAGAGCAATTAAACATCCAGAGACAACATGAAACGTAGAAACATAGATGGTCACACAATCAATGCAATTATTATTAGCAGTATTTAGTAGTTAGTAGTGCAACAAATAAAACGTAGTGGCAGTTACGTAATTGCACGTTATCATAGCATTATTATTAATACTAATAATATAATATAATATTGAACATAGTTATATATATATAGCAGCGAGTGTATTGCAATGATGTTAATTATATTGATATGTATATTGCACATAGTGTTGGTGTGGAAGTTCTCAGTGCCCTTTACTTAAGGGTGAAGAGTTCTGACAGAAATGACTAATCCTATCATTTCAGTGCCCTAAGAAAGTGGTTACAGAAGCCCCCCCCCCTGGAGATCCCCACCCCCACACCGACTGCAGTGGAGCAGAAAAGAGGACCTGAAGCGAACTGCTCGTGCCCAGAGGGAGAAAAGGTAAAGCCCCGCCTACTCCAGCAGTCTTTATCCCCATCTTTTAGTTTCACAGATGAGTGGGAGTCCTTTCTGAAATGGCTTTCCAAAAGACGTCTCTATTTTCATTTCTCACAGGGAGATATCGGTGTGCCCGGTGTGTGCAGGACCTAAGGGTGATAAGGTCATCTACCGTTGCCTTTAAGTACTAGTGTGTGTGTGACGACAGAATACAGATTCATTGTGTTTCAGTGTGTTCAACCTTTTTACTTTGTGAACGTACGCTTTTCAGGGTGTCTCTGGCCCTAAGGGCGCCGTCGGAACGTCTGGAGTCAAAGGAGCAAAAGGAGAAACTGTATGAAAACCTAAAGTGTTTATTTACAAGCGTGGTTTTTGTTTTAATGGAGAAACATTGTTCAGTTAGGAAGTTTCAGTCCATAGAGTGGTGCAGGAATGAGTCCAAAAACCCGGAAAAGAGTTTTTACAATTTCTTGTTCAACTTTATTTGAACGGGTTAAAAATAAGATCTGTTGTTAACACAAGCTGAACAGATTTTGTTCTAAGACATAAACACTTAACACACAGTGACGTCACGAGCTACCCACAATGCAACGCGCGCCATATATATATATAAATACGCCATTTTCCTGGAGGTGCAAATATAAACATCTAGCTAATGTAGCCAGGCAGAGCGCACTAGGTTTTTTTTCTGAATTAACGACCGAAGAAATCGCTGCATGTCTTCGGATTACATCTCTGGACTTGAGGGGTGTGCTTTAGGTCGTTACCAGCGTAAACTAGAGCTGTGTGGGTTGTCCGATTGCCCTTACAGACTGCCTGCAGATGTATGGAAAAACGACCCTCGAAAGTGGCCTTCGTCGATTTTGGCTGCATCTACGTCTAATTTCTGGAAACACCAGGTGAATACCCCACTTGTCACAATAATATTGTCATGCCAATGCATATATGTGGTATTTTAGAGTTGACTAGATATTGATTAAGGCAATAGCCTATGATATTCAGTACAGGAAGCTTAGCAACACCTAGACGGTGTACGGCTAAACCCTCGGCCTGCTTGCACCTCGCATAAAATGGCGGATACCGGAAGTACGGTGTCGCCCTCGGCCCAATACCCGTATGTGTGTGTGAAAGAATAGGACGAAATACTCCACTGGTGAAAGGGTCTAAATGAGTCTAAACGTCATCACAACGAACATTAGCTGCCTTTAACTTAGCGGTTGTGTGACTGTTGCTAACAAGTGACTAAAAGAGACTTCTAAACGTCATCTCGACATACATTTTTTCTTCTGGCGATTCCATTTACGCTTCAATAAAAGTTGTGTTAATATGTGGAGATTATCCTGCTGAGCAAAATGTGTAAGTATCATAAACGTGTGTTAGCCACAGAGCAAATCTTCTGCGTCCAATGGTAAAATCCCATTTTGTCGAGGGAACAAGCGCGAAGCTAACTTCAGAGTTTACCTGCAACAATACGTCATGACTGCATCACTCTATGTGCATTTCATTTTTTAGATATACTATTATACACATTTAGTTCAGATTGCATGCCTTTTCAGCTTTATTTCCATCTGCTTTTCTGCCCGCCTCGATAATAATTGATCCTTGTCGATGAATTATTTGCAGGGCAAAGTAAACTCTGTTAAAGGTGACAGAGGAGAGAAGGTAAGTACACCTGCTCCTCCTGATGCTAACATCACGTTTGTCTCCGTGCATATTTATATGCATGTAAATCCTGGACGCAAATGTCTCTCTCTAATCTTTATTTCCTCTATCTTTCATGTTACGTGCTTCTTTTATGTGGTGATATTTTTTACTTTTCTGCCAGGGAGTGGCTCGGAAAATGCTCAAGCAGCTGTTATTGTTAGAATTACAGGACGGGCGACCACAGAGGACGCCCCCCCCCCCCACAGCCCGCTGAAATCACAGCTCTGTGCTGCCAGCTGAGGCTCGCAGTGTCATTTATTCCTTGAGACTAAATCCTCGGTATCTGCCCGGAGAGGGATGCTTAGAAGGCCACAAGAGGACTGGGAGACGAGATGCTGTGTTCTCAATTGTGCTTTATACGATACGACAATACTTTATCCGATATAAGATCTTATTTTTAAGTCTTAGAACAAGGTAACAGACTTAAAGAGGTCTATTATGCTTTTTCGGCTTCCTCTTCCATGTAGTGTCTTATACTGTAGCATGTACTGTAAGTGGTTTGGAAAGGCTGACATCCTTAAGTTCCTTTCAGACTGGTACATATGAGTGCTTCAGTCTTACTTTCTTTCATCTTGTGAACCTGTATCTCGGTCTTGATGTCAACAATTGAAATTGGCAGTACAGGGAATAGTAGCACTCAGAGACAATGTTGTTGGCTATGCTTAGTATATCATTAATGTATCTTGATTTATGGAGTTGACCTACCATTTCCTGAAATCACAGCTGACTGCAGGAGAGAGGAGAACCATTTGAAAGTTTGGCTGCAGCCCGCTGATTGGCTGCTGAGAATGAGGTGAATGTAATAGGTTAGCAGGAAGCCTGTGATGAGCTGATTATAAGCAGCTGCGGAGTGAATGCAGACCAGTCTTCCTGAAGGAACTTACGCTGAGCTTCATTTCATGGAGCAGTTTTGACTTTAAAGCAGTGGACAAACACTTGTACCATGTAGTATTACAATACAGAAAATCACTCAAAATCTAAGTAGAAATGGTCTTCTTGCCCCAAAACACATCAAGTGGTGGAGAAAATACATCTTCTCTTTGTCCTTTTGCAGATATATTTATGGTCTTTCCAAGGCAAGGCAAGGCAAGTTTATTTATATAGCACTTTTCAACACAAGGCAATTCAAAGTGCTTTACAAAAAATAAAAGAGATTAAGAAAATGGCATTTAAAATCAGTCATTAAAAAGAAAAGCTAATAAAATAAACATTAAAAGAAAAAGTACATGGATCAAAGTTACAGTGCAGTCTAAGATATGAATAGTTCAATTAAAAGCAGCGACAAAAAGAAAAGTCTTCAGCCTGGATTTAAAAGTAGTCAGAGTTGCAGCGGACCTGCAGGTTTCTGGGAGTTTTGTTCCAGATATTTGGAGCATAATAACTGAACGCTGCTTCTCCATGTTTAGTTCTGACTCTGGGGACAGAAAGCTGACCAGTCCCTGAAGACCTGAGAGATCTGGATGGTTCATCATTTAGCAGGAGGTCAGAAATGTATTTTGGGCCTAAACCATTCAGTGCTTTATAAACCAGCAGCAGTATTTAGAAATCTATTCTTTGACACACAGGAAGCCAGTGTAAAGACTTCAGAACAGGAGTGATGTGATCCACTTTCTTAGTGTTAGTGAGGACTCGAGCAGCGGCGTTCTGAATCAGCTGCAGCTTCCTAATAGATTTTTTAGTGAGACCTGTGAAGACACCATTGCAGTAGTCGAGTCTACTGAAGATAAAAGCATGGACAAGTTTTTCCAAATCCTGCTGTGACATTAGTCTTTTAATCCTAGATATATTCTTTAGGTGATAGTAGGCTGATTTAGTAACTGTTTTAATGTGACTGTTGAAACTCAGGTCAGAGTCCATGACTACACCTAGATTTCTGGCTCTATCTGTTGTTTTGAACATTGCAGACTGCTTGGGTTTGATATGGGCCTGTACTTGTTCATTACTGAAGCAGAAGGGTAGAAGATGTATCTTTACGCCCATGTATTTATATCAAAGTATACGTTTTTTGTATTTTCATGTCAAAGAGACAGCAGTGCTCTTTACATGATGAATGGATTTTATTGCCGCTGGATACTTTGCCGGTTTGATGAAAGTGCATTAAATCAAACTGTATCCAAAGCATCCCCTGTTGCTTTTCTATTTCTCACTTTCTGCTCGAGCATCTGTCTTCACTTTCTCCCCTTTTGGAGAAAGCTGCAATTTGTTGTCGTAAACTTTCCCAAAAGCCGAAGAAAACATGACGTAAGCCCCCCCCCCAAGCTGTGGTTAGAAACGAATGCATCGGTCATGGAGTCGAAGGAGTGAAAGTGAATCCATCCGCCTGTGATGGCTTCTAATTGCATCTTTAGACAGAACAGGCAATCCCCCCATGTGGCAGCATTGATTGAGATAATGTTCAAGGCTGCATCACAGCTCTTAATCTCTGTTATACGAGAAGTGACGTGTGTTAAAATGATATAAGCTCTTACAGTAATTAAAGGGCTGCTGCTTGTTAAGTGGTTTATGAAGCAGAGGGAAGTCCTGCGGCGGGTAAGACCTCGCTGTAACGTGCCATTTAACAACCGGTGCTTCTCACTCAGTCCAGTTGTCTGATTCCTTGGCCTGTGACATCAGTGATTCAAAGAGTGTGAAGACAATGGAAAGCAATGTTCCTTGAGTCTTTGTTTGGGTGTTTGAACAGACCATAGCTGGTCTTGGTGAAGATGATGACAGCTGTTAGCGTTCTCTGGCTCTCCATCCTTTACTCAAAAGTGTTTTGTGTATCCTAACTCTTTGTCTTCTGTGTTATATTAATGTCTTTTGTCCAAATGTGTGTTTTACTGTTTGATTAATCACGTCGGTTAATTCATGTCTAACATTTGTTTATGTCCCAACTGTCATGTACTAAACCAGGCCTTTTCAATTGCTGTAACATTAGCCGAATCCCACTTTTTAACAATCTCAAACCGGCCCTTTGGTCTTTTATAAAATGAAAAAATTGAAAATAAATACGTAAAAATGTCTTCAGATAAGAGTTTTTTTTTTTTTAAATTAATCTACTATGAAATTTAATGAATTATTTATTTCATTACATTTCTCCCTATTCATTCATTTGACCATCCTCACTATTAACACTTTTACGGACAGTTAAAAGCAACTCATTTATTATTACTCATGACTTTTATATCAGTTGGCCTTGTATGATTAAATAGAAGGTCATCATTATATCATTAGGCTACTTAGTCCTTTCAGTAACTGTATGTTGTTAAGCACGGACATCATGTTGTTGTTTAACAGTTTCAAATGATGCTCTTCATGCTGAGGATATTTGGGACAATCAAACTGAATAAATAATATGTTAGATGCAACATTTTCCAGACTAAAAAGGTGCATTTAAATTCTTGTCACGTCCCTTTGTTTAAATCTGCCCCCTTTAAAACATGAATTGAACAGGCCTGTACTAATGTCCATGTTTTCTTACGCTACCAGGTTGTTTCTTTCTGACAGCACGCCATCGCCGCCTGTGTCCCCGGCCATCTTGCATGCTTATTTATTAAAAAACAGTCAAAGTAAACACTTGCCTTTTGTCCACAGGGTGATTCAGGCAGGATAGGGTTGACAGGTGCTCCTGGACATAAAGGAGAGAAGGTGTGCACCGCGTGAACCTGGACGTGGAGGATGTCTATAATACGTTGAATTTCGTTATAAAACTTCACAATCTGTTATTAATGGTGTGTTTCTGATCACCTGACAGGGGCTCGGTGGTGTGCCAGGTATCGACGGATTATCTGGAGACAAGGTAAGAATAAGGTTTCAAAACAAGGATGTGTGTTTTCCAGAGGTGTGAAGTAGTGGAGTACAACTAATTTGTTACTGTACTTAAGTACATTTTTCTGGTATCACTACTTTACTCCACAACTTATTTTCTGACGACCTTTTACTCTGACTTCTTTCATGTTGAACACAAATACCTGTACTTTCTACTTCTTACATGTTGAACTCAAATACCTGTACTTTCTACTTCTTACATGTTGAACCCAAATACCTGTACTTTCTACTTCTCACATGTTGAACTCAAATACCCTGTACTTTCTACTTCTTACATGTTGAACTCAAATACCTGTACTTTCTACTTCTCACATGTTGAACTCAAATACCTGTACTTTCTACTTCTTACATGTTGAACCCAAATACCTGTACTTTCTACTTCTCACATGTTGAACTCAAATACCTGTACTTTCTACTTCTTACATGTTGAACCCAAATACCTTGTACTTTCCTACTTCTCACATGTTGAACTCAAATACCTGTACTTTCTACTTCTTACATGTTGAACTCAAATACCTGTACTTTCTACTTCTTACATGTTGAACACTAATACCTGTATTTTCTACTTCTTACATGTTGAACACAAATACCTGTACTTTCTACTTCTTACATGTTGAACTCAAATACCTGTACTTTCTACTTCTTACATGTTGAACACTAATACCTGTATTTTCTACTTCTTACATGTTGAACTCAAATACCTGTACTTTCTACTTCTTACATGTTGAACACTAATACCTGTATTTTCTACTTCTTACATGTTGAACACAAATACCTGTACTTTCTACTTCTTACCTGTTGAACACAAATACCTGTACTTTCTACTTCTTACATGTTGAACACAAATACCTGTACTTTCTACTTCTTACATGTTGAACTCAAATACCTGTACTTTCTACTTCTTACATGTTGAACTCAAATACCTGTACTTTCTACTTCTTACATGTTGAACACAAACACCTGTACTTTCTACTTCTTACATGTTGAACACAAATACCTGTACTTTCTACTTCTTACATGTTGAACACTAATACCTGTATTTTCTACTTCTTACATGTTGAACACAAATACCTGTACTTTCTACTTCTTACATGTTGAACACAAATACCTGTACTTTCTACTTCTTACATGTTGAACACAAACACCTGTACTTTCTACTTCTTACATGTTGAACACAAATACCTGTACTTTCTACTTCTTACATGTTGAACACAAACACCTGTACTTTCTACTTCTTCCATGTTGAACTCAAATACCTGTACTTTCTACTTCTCACATGTTGAACCCAAATACCTGTACTTTATACTTCTTACATGTTGAACTCAAATACCTGTACTTTCTACTTCTCTCATTTCCCAAACAGCTGGTTCCTTTAGTCTGAATGTGTGTTTGATGCGTGATCATTATTCTTTAGAGTCATTGCGTGCCTATTGATTTGAACACGATCCGTGTATCCATCATTTCCTGGTCTTCTCTAAAGAAGAGGGACCAATGGAAACGTTGTCATGTTGCCGTTGTTCAGCATGGAAACATTCATTAGCTAACAATGACATTATTGTTCTATTAATATAAAGGGAGGTCAGGTACTCTTTAAAACAGCTGCTAGTTATGGGTACTTTTTACTGAAGCACATTTCAAAGCCCGTACTTTTACTTTTACTTGAGTAAAGAAGTTTAGTCAGTACTTTTACCAGAGTATTTTAAAACACGAGTATCTGTACTTCTACTTGAGTAAAGGATGTGTGTACTTTTGCCATCTCTGGTGTTTTCATGTGTGTTTATCTGTAAATAGGGCACAGCAGGACTGGCTGGTGATGCAGGGCCTGAAGGTCCAGCTGGAACAAAGGTGAGTGAATATTTATGTTCTGATAATTAAGTGGGCGTACAGACGTTTTTCTGCACAATTACAGCTCAGCCCGTTATTGACTTCCTGTGAAAAAAGAGGCAGTTTTGTTTGACTTTCCCTTGGATGAAGCAGCAGCTGGTGAAAGAGTGAGGAGGAGGAGAAAGGGGAGAAATGGGAGGGGGTGCAGACCAGAGTTCCCGTTAGAATATTTCTTCGCCGGTCAACATGTCCGTTAAAGTTTAAATCTTCCGGACAAAATGAGAAAAGTGCCGATCAAAGGTCTTTGTTATTTATTGAGCTTTAAAACAAATTGATATGATTCAATATTAAACTAATGATAGTAGATTAACTACATTATTCAAAAGTGAACAGTAACTTACAATAACACGGGAATAATAAACGGAGCGCTCTCTCCCTCTCCTGACAGCCCGTCAGCATCATGCAGCTCGCGGATCAGTAATGAGTGACCCGACAGTAAAACTAAACATATCTATAGCTAGTTTAGGTAGTTTGAGAGGTCATTAAAATAGCTACGTGTGATATTCTAACCTGAAGTGTGTGTTTTGTTCGCTCACCGCTGATCATGCAGAGCTGCGTGTCGACTCGTCAGCAGCAGCTGATCTCTCTCTCCCGTCAGATTAGACTTCACTCGCGTTTATGTCCATATCGATCAGATCCAGCTAGTTCTAGCTAATGATATGATACCTGCTTATTAAAAGACACCTAAACAATAAGCGTCGCTATGCAACCGGGTGAGGCCACAAAGTATAGCGCAGCATTATGCATTTGATTACATGCCCACCGGAACCCCGAGGCATTACCAACAGATCAACGCACAATCAACCCATACAGGACATCTCTTTCTCCACATTACGTGTTAGACATTAGAATTGACTATTCTTGTCTGTCACATAAATGGTGCAAATTGCGCAACTGATGTGGTATTGCGCTAAGCGGAAATTATTTTGAACGGACACTTTGACCGGAGAGATTTAGATTTGCCGGTCTTCAGCATATTTTACCGGTCGTAGTCCGGTAATTACCGGCTAACGGGAACTCTGGTGCAGGCTCAGATTTGGGTATTGGATGTGAGGGAGTGATCGCCCCCTTTTGATAAACACAGGTAATACTCAATAAGTGACAGGCTGGATCATAGCAGAGAATAGAGACTATAGACCAGGGGTGTCAAACTCAAACACACAGTGGGCCAAAATAAAAAATGGGTACTAGTCGAGGTACTGGTTCAATGTTTATTGCAGAACTTATTGAAATGAACTTATTGCACATATTAAACCTGGAACTAACAAAGCTTAAATTATTGCCTATAAAAACAACATTAAACATTAAATAATCAGTTGCATTCATTTCTTATGGCTCTATCTGCAGCTTTTCCTCAGTCATTTCTTATGATTACATTTCCCCACAGGCCAACAACAGCTTCAACAAAACTATTTCCCTCAAAGAGAAAACCAAACATGCCCTGTTGTCGTGAGAGAGAAAGTGCAGAAGGAAGCATCCATTGAAGTCAGTGTGCTGCTCTGTGATGCTAGCTCAGATACTTGGCATCTCATCTTGGGTGCAAGGTCATCAATGTTTGGGCTCAGGCTCTGAGCTGAGGAGACCCTCAGGATGGAGTGAAGGTGCAATATACCGGCGGGCCAGATCTAATAGGAATTAGAAATTATCCTGCGGGCCGAAATTAAATCCACCACGGGCCTGATTTGGCCCCCGGGCCTTGAGTTCGACACATGTGATGTAGATACTTTACTCAAGTACAATTACTTATACCACACCGTAATAATAATCGATTTGAAGTAAAAGTACTGCATCGACAATGGTACTTAAGTATAAGTATTTATGTATATATTTTGGAAACTTCTTAGGAACATTGCTGCCCATTAATGTTCTGTAAACCCACTCGGTGTTTTCAATATAATGTTGGATGTTTTCATCTATACCAGATCATCGTTTTTTAAGTATAGAGGAGTCAAAAGTACATCTTTTGCCTACAAAATGTTGTGTAGTATAAGATTAAATACTCAGGTAAAGTCAAGAGTGTCAATTAAATCCACCACGGGCCTGATTTGGCCCCCGGGCCTTGAGTTTGACACATGTGCTGTAGATGCATTTGAAATCGTTTTTGAAAATAGAGATCAAGCCTGGTTTACAGTATTGTTATCAAGAAGGTAAATTGTCGTAAATAAAGTAACATAAATAATATGTGAGGTGAACACTCAAAGGAAAGCCTTGTTTTGTCATACGAGCCTATTGACAATTCAACAATAGCATTATAACATTTTGCCAGTAGTAGTCCAAATTGAGTATTAATTGAATGGAAATGCAATTATCTAATTTTATTCACATATTTAAAAAGAAGTTTTCCTACTATTTCATATTAAAAGGACAGTAGAAAAGCGGTTTGACTTGTATTTTACCCTGCCGTACGGAGGATCATATTTACGTTTTTAATTCAAATTTTAAATGTTAATAATACGGCCTGATTTCTATTCATAAATTCAGTCCCAAAATACAAGTTAAAATACATTTTCTTAACAATTGAGGCAGCTTTTGATGAGTTTTCTTGCTCCAACATCGTAAGTAAAAAAAACCTGAAGTTTAAGTTGTTATTAAAAATGGGTTCCACTGTGTTCACATGTTATTGGTACAACCTCAAATATCATTAAAGCCAACATCTAGTCTTACTTTGGGGTGAGATTGTAAAACTATCTCATATTTAATGAAAAGAGCAGTGATGAGAGAAAATATAACTCTCAAATAATTTAGAGATCACACATAGGTTCTCCTTTTGGCATGAGGAAACAATAAAGCTGAGGTCAGAGGTCAAAGTTGAAGGTTCTGGGGGGGGGGGGGTCCTGCCACTGACAACTGCTGTTTCTTTTTTGGGGTTTCAGGTTTCTTACATTGAATCTCCTTGTGACTCAGCGCTGTGCCAGTTGGCCTTAAAGTATATCGCTGAGTAACACTTTTGGGGAGTCCAACTTCCTGCTAATAAAATGTTGTTTATATCCTAACAGGGAATTCAAGGAGATGAAGGAACTCCTGGCTCATCGGGACCAAAGGGTGTCTCTGTGAGTATGATCTGAGGTCACTTTTATTATCTTTTAAAGAGGCCCTATTGTTCTTTATTTCCATTTCCTGTAGTGTGTTATACAGGTTCTGTGGCATTTACTGTAAGGGTTAAAATCCAAATTCCTGTAACAAAGTGAAGTCATTTCGTCATCGATTGGCTAGCGCTCCAACACATTGTATGTGATAGGCTAAGGGGCGGGACATCTCTAAGCGGTTGATCAATCACAACAGAGCCGGCCAGCTAACCAATCAGAGCAGACTGGGCTCTGGTTTCAGACAGAGGGTGAAAGAGGTGCTGCAGCACAGAGAAAAATAAAGAGCTTTTTTAACATTAAAGCATGGAAACATGAAGTAGAGACACTACATACTGATATACACCTAAACATCAGCAGGAGAGGACTCTTTAAAGTAGAGACACTACATACTGATATACACCTGAACATCAGCAGGAGAGGACTCTTTAAAGTAGAGGCAACTACATACTGATATACACCTGAACATCAGCAGGAGAGGACTCTTTAAAGTAGAGACACTACATCTGATATACACCTGAACATCAGCAGAGAGGACTCTTTAAAGTAGAGACACTACCCTACTGATATACACCCTGAACATCCAGCAGGAGGAGGACTCCTTTAAGAGTAGCGGACCACTACATACTGATATACACCTGAACATCCAGCAGGAGGGACTCTTTAAAGTAGAGGCACTACATACTGATATACACACCTGAACATCAGCAGGAGAGGGACGCGTTATAAGTAGAGGGCACTTTACATACTGATATACACATGAACATCAGCAGGAGAGGACTCTTTTAAAGTAGTAGAGGCACTAACATACTGCATATACACCCTGAACATCAGCAGGAGAGGGACTCTTTAAAGTAGAGGACACTCACATATCGATATACACTCTGAACAGTCAGCAGGAGAGTACTCTTTAAAGTCAGAGGCACTACATTACTGATATACTACACTGAACAACATCAGCAGGAGAAGAGGACTCTTTAAAGTAGAGGACACTACATACTGATATACACCTGAACATCAGCAGTATAGGGACTCTTTAAAGTGAGGACACTACATACTGATATACACCTGACATCAGCAGGAGAGGACTCTTTAAAGTAAGAGGCACTACATACTGATATACACCTAAACATCAGCAGGAGAGGACTCTTTAAAGTAGAGGCACTACATACTGATATACACCTGAACATCAGCAGGAGAGGACCTTAAAGTAGAGGCACTACATACTGATATAACACCTAAACATCAGCAGAGAGGACTCTTTAAGTAGAGACACTACATACTGATATACCCCTGAACATCAGCAGGAGAGGACTCTTTAAAGTAGAGTCACTACATACTGATATACACTGAACTCAGCAGGAGAGGACTCTTTAAAGTAGAGTCACTACATACTGATATACACCTGAACATCAGCAGGAGAGGACTCTTTAAAGTAGAGACACTACATACTGATATACACCTGAACATCAGCAGGAGAGGACTCTTTAAAGTAGAGACACTACATAATGATATACCACTGAACATCAGCAGGAGAGGACTCTTTAAAGTAGAGACACTACATACTGATATACACCTGAACATCAGCAGGAGAGGACTCTTTAAAGTAGAGACACTACATACTGATATACACCTGAACCTCAGCAGGAGACGGACTCTTTAAAGTAGAGACACTACATTACTGATATACACTCTGAACATCAGCAGGAGAGGACTCTTTTAAAGTAGAGACACTACATACTGATATACACCTGAACATCAGCAGGAGAGGACTCTTTAAAGTCGAGACACTACATACTGATATTACACCTGAACATCAGCAGGAGAGGACTCTTTAAAGTAGAGACACTAATACTACTGATATACACTGAACATCAGCAGGAGAGGACTCTTTAAAGTAGAGACACTACATACTGATATATCACCCTGAACATCAGCAGGAGAGGACTCTTTAAAGTAGAGGACACTACTATACTGATATACACCTGAACATCAGCAGGACGAGGACTCTTTAAAGTAGAGACACTACATACTGATATACACCTGAACATCAGCAGGAGAGGACTCTTTAAAGTAGAGACACTACCATACTGATATACACCTGAACATCAGCAGGAGAGGGACTCTTTAAAGTAGAGACACTACATACTGATATACACCTGAACATCAGCAGGAGAGGACTCTTTAAAGTAGAGACACTACATACTGATATACACCTGAACATCAGCAGGAGAGGACTCTTTAAAGTAGAGACACTACATACTGATATCACCTGAACATCAGCAGGAGAGGACTCTTTAAAGTAGAGACACTACATACTGATATACACCTGAACATCAGCAGGAGAGGACTCTTTAAAGTAGAGACACTACATACTGATATACTCCTGAACATCAGCAGGAGAGGACTCTTTAAAGTAGAGACACTACATACTGATATACACCCTGAACATCAGCAGGAGGAGGACTCTTTAAAGTAGAGACACTACATACCTGATATACTCCTGAACATCAGCAGGAGAGGACTCTTTAAAGTAGAGACACTACATACTGGATATACACCTGAAACATCAGCTAGGAGAGGACTCTTTAAAGTAGAGCACTACATACTGATAACACCTGAACCATCAGCAGGAGAGGACTCTTTAAAGTAGAGACACTACATACTGATTAACACCTGAACATCAGCATGGAGAGGACTCTTTAAAGTAGAGACACTACGTACTGATATACACCTGAAACATCAGCAGGAGAGGACTCTTTAAAGTAGAGACCTACAGTACTGATATACACCCTGAACATTAAGCATGAGGAGGACTCTTTCAAAAGTAGAGACACTACATACTGATATACAACCTGAAACATCAGCAGCGGAGGCTTCTTTAAAGTAGAGACACTACATACTGATATACAACCTGAACAGCAAGATCCCAGGAGAGGAACTCTTGTAAAAGTAGAGACACCTACATACTGATATAACACCTGAACATCAGCAGGAAGAGGATCTTTAAACCGTAGTAAAAGAACTACATACTGATATACAGCCTGAACATCAGCAGGAGAGGACTCTTTAAGTAGAGACACTACATACTATATACCACACCTATCAGCAGTAGAGAACTCTTTAAAGTAGAGACACATACTGATATACACCTGAACATCAGCAGGAGAACTCTTTAAAGTAGAGACACTACATACTGATATACACCTGAACATCAGCAGGAGAGGACTCTTTAAAGTAGAGACACTACATACTGATATACACCTGAACATCAGCAGGAGGACTCTTTAAAGTAGAGACACTACATACTGATATACACCTGAACATCAGCAGGAGAGGACTCTTTAAAGTAGAGACACTACATACTGATATACACCTGAACATCAGCAGGAGAGGACTCTTTAAAGTAGAGACACTACATACTGATATACACCTGAACATCAGCAGGAGAGGACTCTTTAAGTAGAGACATACTGATATACACTGAACATGCAGTATCTGATTTTGATAAATGTGATATACATATATTAAATTGTATTGGTAATTGTGTTTTTTGTAGGGTGAATCCGGTTCAAGGGGTGACAAAGGAAGTACAAGGAAACAAGGTTAGTAACGCTGCATCCCTTTCTTTTGTATTATAAGAAATCCACAGCTCGGGTTTAGCATTTTGATGAAATCCTCAGGTGCTTAGGGACGAGAGAAGAGTTACACATTAGTGTCCTTGTTCATGTTTTCCCATCATGTCCCAGTATTTGAACATGTACTGTATGTTGGATTAAACCTGTACACAGTAGACCTTTTACCGCAATCCGGAGAACGAGGTTAACTTCTGAGAAAAGGCCGTCCTTCTTCAGAAGGACTGGGAGCTGGGGGGGCGTAATGGTGCGAACAGATGTGGCTTCCTTGATTCACTCTCCACACTTCCTGTCTGGGGGTCCTGTGTGGGCCGTTTGGCTGAAATGTAACTCATTGAGACCCTCTGAAGCTTCAGTATGTTGACGTCTGCTGTCTTCCTCCGATCTGCCAACACGATGATGTTAGAAAACCATTCAAAGAAATCAGCTTTTCTCCCACTTGAGTCAATATGTTTTTGTGATTCAATAAGCAGCAGAAACAGTGGCTTTTGTATCGCTGAGACGTCAACTTGAATTGAAATGACTTTAACAAGGGGTTTGTATGAAGCCATAAACACACAGTCAGTTCACTGATGACTTCTCCATGTGGCCTGAGGATGTGCAGCATGTTCTCCACACACTCCTTTCAAATTTGCTAATGCAAAAGTTAGAGCTGTCCATCATCCAGCAATTCAGTCAGTAAGCAATTTCCTGTGAAAACTGGAAAAGTACTTTCCTCAGAAAAGCGATTAAGGAACGTTTAGAGGAGGCACCTGGGGTTGAAGTCAGGCCACGTTTCCTGAGTGAGAACGTAAGGATGTTTTGGGTTACACAGCACTGTCCACTGTTTAAAAAAATCTGCTCTTTATTAGCCATGCTAGCAGCGTAGCTTTATGGTCATGTACCCGTGGCTTTGATCCACACATCAGGGGGTCACAGGTTCAAACCCCACTGCAGTCAGCATGTCGTTGTGTCCCTGGGACACTTCACCCCAAATTGCTCCTGTGGGGATTGTCCACAGTATTGAGTATGTAAGTCGCTTTGGATAAAAGCGTCTAACAAGTAACATGTAATGTGGCCCGTGGCTTTGATCCACACAGAAAATAACAAAACTGGATTATTGTCCATTGGATTTGGAACGGATATAAATGGGGTCTAAGGGAAGAATCCTGAGGACTTTTGTGCTGCCGATTTTATTATCTTGCAACACCACACGGTCAAATGTCTACCAATTACTTGTAGTTTAATCTACTAGATGGACTGGAGACAGGTTATAAAATGTGCACTACAGAATCACAATCACAAATACTTTATTCATCACCTGGGGACCAAAACGATGATCCATTTTAGGAATAACATTAAAAAATATATATTTATATTATTTTTTTAATTTAAATTGTATTTTATTTTTTATATACATTTTACTTGTTTTTATTAATAATGCCGAGTAGTTGACTTTGGCAAAGTATAGCTGCAGATATGCTAATTAGGCTAGCACTTAATTAGACCTTTACATACCATGGTCCCATCACTTCTAGAGTGATTATTTGCTAAATACTTACAAGACAGTGGTGGTTCTGATAAAGCACATTTTCAACGTGTTCATGAGTGTGATTTACAGTAAGAGACTTTATTACTCAACATTTTTCAAAGCATAATATATTTTCCTCTACACATTTTAGGGCGAGGCAGGTTTCGATGGATTCCCCGGCAAACCTGGTGTTCCTGGGAAAGATGTAGCGATGACTCTGTTTAAGATTTTACAGAAAAACCCCCAACAAATAATAATCTTTTTATGATTTAATGAGCCAACTTTTGCCTTAATTAAGCTTTTCTCTTGAATGTGTCAGGGTGTGAAAGGACTGTCTGGTGCTTCTGGGCTCTCTGGAGTTAAAGGCGTCAAGTATGTCCCCTCCTGTGCTTTATGAATAAACACCACTTCATTTGGATATATGTGTTGCCTAGCATTTCGTTCTAATAAGCTCCGCTGATATAAATCATTTTAAAAGAGCTATCACAGGTCTTCCCCTAGCTGTCTGTCTGCTCTCTCCAGACATTCCTCTGAGTTTCAGCCCACTGGTTTGTCTGACCAAATGAAACGCTGACTTCATTTGTCTGTCTGTAATTACCCACTTTGATGATTCCTCCAGTGGTGCACAAACGCTTTTACCACACCCATATGCATGCAGGAGGATGGCACGCATGCAATAGAATACATTCCCATGAAGCTTTACCCACACGTTTCACTTTCCCTTAAAGGGGACCCATCATACAAAATGCACTTTTGATGTCTTTTACTACATAAATGTGTCCCTGGTGTGTCAGGGAACTCACGCAGCGTCAGAAAATAAAACCCTCTCTCTTTTTCCTCCGTACCCAAATCTCTAAAAAACGGGGAACAACGGAGCTGATCCAGATTTGCGTCCGATATGACGTAATATCTGAAATGTGGACCCACGGCACAATCAGAAACGTTGCTATCAGAAACAAAGCTCTGACTGTTTTGGACGTAATATGGTCGGTGTTTACATTAGCATCGCTAACACTTCAGAGCTAACCTGTACTGGAGAGCATGTGGTGTGAAGAAGTAGGAAGTAAAAAGGAAACTCACCTTGTGGTATAACCGGCAAGAGAGAAAGCCTTTGAGCTCCCAAACTGTTTCAGATCCATGATAATCCATGATATGGCGTTTTTCATCACGGGCAGCATTTAGTTTTAGACAGTAGCTGCCGGGTCCCCGCATGAACTCAGAACCCCTCCCTCTTAAAAAAAAAAGCTTTTATACCCCAAATCAGCACTTTGAAACAGGACAGTGAAATAGAGGGATATGAGGCGTGGCTAGAATGGGTGATCTGTTGGTATTTTGAGCAAAACACTTAATAGGCATGTTTTTTATATATTTTTAATATCTGAGAACCTATGCTATGCCTAACAATAGCATGATAGGTGACCTTTAAGCCTACAATAACCAGTCATCTGATGAATGCTGGTCGTTTGCAGTGTCATTACCTCGAGGTGCTTTTGTCCTGACAGTCTCTTGATTCTAATGACGGGGTTTTCACCTTCTTTTCTTTGAACTACGTCACAGGGGGAGAGAGGCCTTCCCGGATTACCTGGGGATGTGGTGAGTGCCAACAATACACCAAAAGGATCAAAACATTACAGGCTTGTTTAGGGATGAAAAACATGATTGGAGTGAAGAGCTTGGAGATATTTACAACCCTCCTATTGTCTTCGTTCCCCCCCCTTACTTTGGTGTTCACGGTCAAATTTGACCGGTCCTGTTTTAACTGCTATTACATTAACACAAAAACCATTAATCACCACATTTCATTTCACACCCTTTCAAACTACATATTGTATCAGACTACTGGTATACATGAAACACTGCAGTAAATATACAAAGAATAGACACTGAACATGTATTGCGTGTGCCAGGTGTGATTCACATGGGGGGATGGGCACATAAGGGACACACATAATCAATCAATCAATCAATGTTTATTTATATAGCCCAATATCACAAATGTTACATTTGTCTCAGTGGTCTTCACAGTTTGTACAGAATATCAGTATGACAATACGACACCCCTCTGTCCTTAGACCCTCTGTCCTTAGACCCTCTGTCCTTAGACCCCTCACATCGTACAAGGAAAAACTTCCAGAGAAACCCCACAGTTTTAAGGGAAACATGGGAGAAACCTCAGGGCGTGTTGCGTGTGTGTGTGTGTGTGTGTGGTGCGTGTGTGTGTGTGTGTGTGTGTGGTGTGTTTTATCCGATCCGGATGGTTACTAATTCCTTTTCTTTATGGCGGGAAAACATGGGGTGTTACAAAGTTGACTAAAATCATCCAAAATTCAATGAAAGTGGTGATCAGCAATTTTATATGTTCAAATGTCTACTGTGAAGGAAATCATAACGCCAGATTTGACCCGAAGACAACAGGAGGGTTAAAAAAACGAAACAAAGAGACATGAAATAGCCATTTTATTTTGTGCATTTAATCACGGATCAATTTAGCGTTTTTATCAAAATCCGCTAAAACTAGCCATTTAACCATATAGAAGATTGACCTGTTGACCTTGTTAATGAACTGTAGGCACAATGGCACTGTTCTCCAGGAGAAGGTAAACAATTAGTCAATTAACTGATAAGTTAAATTACAGCAATTGTAATCATTTATTCATAAACCTAATTTTGCTGGAAATGTAATTTTATTTTTTCCAAACTTATTTTTTGATAAGTTGTCATTTATTTATTTTATATAGAAAGCAATTAATTGAAAAGTAATTAATTAGAGATAAGGGTTGCTAGTTTTTTTTAACTGTGGCCTCAGTTTTTGCACAATAATGAAATGAAGGTAGCACAATGAATCTCTCAATGGTTGAATATTTAGTATTTATTTTTCATCTATTTCAGGTTCAGAGAGAAGGCTTACGGGGTGACAAGGTGAGTAATGTTCAATAATGAAGTGGTTCATCTGGTTTGATTACAGGACAGTGAAGATTCAAAGTCTGGCTGTACCTTACAGTATGATAAAGTAGAACAACAATTGTTTATTAGGAATATTACCGCATTAATAATAGTGTTTCTTAAGCCATCTGATTCAAATCTATTTACCTTTTGCCGTGGACCTTTCTTTGTTTATTTAGCATTGTATTGTTATACTTAAAAAATAAATAATCCACGGGTCATATGCTGATCTTAACTCTTATGTTGTTATTATTATTTGTTATAACTTGCATGTATTATTTATGTTTACTTATGTTTTAGATTTGCACTCTCCTCATAGTTTTGTTGTGCATCTCACTCGAGTGACTTCTACTTGGAATGAAGTATAACTAAATATAATACATACTAACACATACTCGTGTATTTGATGTGTTTTAGGGAGATGCTGGTCCTCCTGGTCCTCAAGGGCCCGAGGGTCCCCAGGGGCCTCAGGTAAGGATCAGGATTTATAACTTCCTTTTTCCTGCTGATTTCGGGGTATTTTGTTGTTGAGAAATCCAGCTGTTCTGATGTGGTGCTGAGCAGCTCATGAAGACGTCAACGTGCCGTTTGAACTGAAGCTGAATGTTTTATTCCTCAGGGTTCTCCCGGGATAACGGGGCAAACCGGGACCCCCGGAGAGTTCGGTCTGAGGGTGAGAAATTCATTTTACTCATCACTTTTCAGTGTTCATATTTAAACACCTAATGGGAGGACAGACGGGTTGGCTTCACAAGGGACTTTCTTTGAAATCATGATAAAGTAGAACCATCGTTAAACAACAAGTATTTTTGTAGTCACGACAAAACAAACCTTGCAATGGTTGAATCTCAAAACGATAATTTTAAGGTGACCAGGTGATCAATGTTATCTCAATTGGACTCTTCTTAATGACGTGAATGCAAATTGTGATTTTGGGCTTGTTTTCTTCTCACTTGCCGTAAAGAAGCTCCATCAATGTGTGACAATGACAGAAAGACAGCCATAAAGCACATGTCATGCATTGTTGTACTCAATGTATCTGCTATTCGTTGCTCTAGGCCAGTGCTTCTCAAAGTGTGGTCCGCGGACCACTGGTGGTCCGTGAGTATATTGGTAACATTTCACATTTGTAATTAATTAATTAAAGTTGTCCGCACTCTCGCGGGAATATCTCCGCAAGGGAGCAAGGTTAAGTTTCACTTTCGATTGCATGATAAAGCCCAGTGCAACACCTTCGTCACACATGTTGCCACTTGTTTGTACCATTTTCAGGCGATTTGTAACCTGTTCTAGAGAAACTGTGTTTTTTTTTATTTGTGGAGTTAGGTGGTCCGCGAGTGTTTTTTTATTGGTTAAGTGAGAAACACTAGTCCGTCGAGTTTTGACCTAAATTACATTACTTTGCCTTTAGAGAACCCATGTAAAACAAAACAGTAATCTGCAGTAATCAGAAATGCATGTAGTCCCTTAACTCCACTCATCTTATTCCAGTGGGAATGAAGAAAGCCGATGTGTATTCCTCATAATAATGAGAGCTGAAACTGTAGCTGTTATCAGTGGCTGTAGAATGTTCTGTCTCTGGTATTATTTCCCCTCTCTCTGGTCCCATCACTGGTGTGTAATTAAAACAGGCACAGCGGTTCTGCATGATTGTTCTTCCAAAACATTAAAAATATTGTGACCTCTTGTCTCTATCGGGAGCAATTAGCTTCTCATCAGCAATATGTTACATTCAACATTAGCAGCTGCTCAGCCCCTCTGGACTCAACTCAGTAACATACTTTTCTACAACAGAATATACAGCTGTCAATGTCAACGCTGGGGATCCATCTAAGCATGTAGAAAAAAAAAGCAAATTGTTAGAAAACTCTCACTGGTCCCCGGCTTGAGCTTCAATCTCAGGATCCATGTGTCTGTGATCCTCTCCAGAATGGAAGGAGTCATCACATACAGAGCATCAACTAGTTCCTGAACAGTGTCCTTCACATGCTGATATCAAAGAAAGGGAGTTACTCAGTCACAAGATGGAGGAATGCCGCTTCATGTTATCATACATCCTGTCATGAACACAATACTGACTTTTTTCTCAAAATGTTGGCTTTTTTATCAAAATCTCAAAATTATGACTTTCTCAAAAATTTCACTTTTTCTCAAAAATCTGACTTTTTCCTCAAAATCTCAAAAATCGGACTTTTTCTGAATACTTAAAAATGTTAATAACCTCTGGTCCCCGCTTGAGCTTCAACATCAGGATCCATTATCTGTGATCCTCTCCAGAATGGAAGGAGTCATCACATACAGAGCATCAACTAGTTCCTGAACAGTGTCCTTCACATGCTGATATCCAAGAGAGGGAGTTACACAGTCACAAGATGGAGGAATGAAAGCAGTATTCAATGTTTACTTCAGATTAGCTCCACGTCAGAAATGAGCATGCTTGATGTCTCTCTCCATAGAGGCTGAATCATCATGTTAATCACATAGCTATCATATGCCTCAAACAGTCCTGATGCTCTAGGTAATCACACATCCTGTCATGTTCACAGCTACAGTTGGGATACCTTTGTTATCATGTTACTCTGATACTGGAAGAGGACATTCAGTATTTCAACAAAACAAATTAATTATATTTCTGCCTCTTACCTCAACTTCCGCCAGTAATTTCAGCGTGGATTTGTACCCTTAATTGGCTTTGAAAAGGCAGAGAACGGATAGGAATGTGCACAAGCTGCATGTCTTGCACTGACTGGAGACCACTGGTCATCAATCAGCAGCCCCTAGTTGTAGCTGCCGCCTGATCCATGACAAAATGTCCTGCACTCGTTCTTTAGGCGTTGAAAACAGGAGGGAAGTAATTATTTAGTAGCCTTTTCCTTAAAGTTACAGGGTCACAGCTGTAGGAACAGAAAGTGCTCGCAGCAGAGATAAAATACCCTGTCTAGAGCACATTATACACTGGGTGATCACAACATCAATACTACCAAATGAGCATATTTGTAGCGCACATTACACAGAGGGTGGTCACTATATGAATACTACTAGAGGAATTACAGCAACTCTCTCTGACAGCGGCTTTGTCGATGCTTCAGCTAAGTGTCGGGAGATTGCCGTACTTCATGCCTGGAAAAATCAATAAAACTGTGCTGAGATGTTATTGTAAAATTAAAAACCCTCTGCATATCTTCAATACAACACCACACATGTAGTTTGATTTATCTCTCCCCAAAATACAATCATGATTAATCACAGATCATTATTGTGGTTAAATGTTTTAATCGTCTCACACCACTACAAACTACACGTTGTCCTTAATAATATACCTAGAGCGATCACATTGGTTTCAGTCTTCACGATATCCCTGTGCAGCTTCCTAATAACATTTTATTGGCGGTCCCACTGGAGCATTTACAGCCCCATGAGAGGCTCTCTAAGTGAATCCAATACAACGAATGGTGACCTATTTTCTGCAGGTGTGGAGTTGTTATACCTCAGTGAGTGAGTGGGGGGGCGAGCAGCCTGAGAGCAGTGATAATAGGGTGGTCTCCACTGCTGATAGAGTGGGCTTTATGGTTGAGTTGGTATAGATTGAGCCACTCTCTCCTCAGTGGTGTGTGTCGCCGCCGTCTATTCACCTCCAGCCTGAAAGTGAGCTGCCGAATTCAGCAAATAATTCAAGAGCAAGGGCCACGACTTGTTATATGGGAATTTGGTGAGGATCCAACAAAAGAATATAGTGTGCACAAAGTTCATTGTTGTAAATATTAACTCCAGAAAATGAACTTTATTTCGTACTAATTGTAGTTTATAGCGTATATTAAATGTTCAGTTGAACTGTCCCTGTCTGTCTTTCTGCTCGTAATTTCTATAGTGTAATCAACACAATACATCGTCTGACAATGCGCGATTTAAAGAGAGCTTAACCTATATGGTGGCTCTGATAGCGGAATTGCACTGCACATTAAGAAAGCAGAAATTCAAAGACAAACAAATAAAAAAATCATATAAAGAAAGAAAATGAAAAAGCAAGGGCCAGGATTTACAATATGGGAATGTGGTGAGGATCCAACAAAAACATTTAGGGTCCAAAAAATGCATTGTTGTCCATTTTAACTAGTTTGTTAATAGCTAATAGCTTAACCCTCCTGTTGTCTTCGGGTCAAATCTGACGCACACCTACACACTTGCTAGCCTGTTCCACTCTTCGGGTGTTTCTCAATGTCGAGTAAAGCTCTCCAGAGCCACTATTTCAAGCATACTACGTCATCGAGTGCCGCCGAAGGACTGTTCCAATGTCCAGTATACTTGGAATTCTACCGAGCCCGGCGTACTTCGTTTGGAGACATTTCGAGGCTGCACATGTGTAGACTCCACGGTCTTAAAATCCCCACAATGCTTTGCGCACGGACCAATTTCCCCAAATCTGTGGCGGAAAATGTAAGGCGGGGCCTCTCATATGACGCACACCTGCACACTTGCTCTCCTGTTCCACTCTTCGTTTTCCGAATGCCAGGAAGGATTCTTGCCTCGCTTCTGAAGCAAGTGACTCGGAAGACATGTGCTACCAAGCAAGCGTACTCGACATTGAGAAACACCCTCACTGTTTGATAGCTTGATAGGCCACTCCACACCGCTCCACCTCCACACTCGTTGGTTTGGAACAGCACTTAATGTGGGGCGGACCCTCCGGCGCGAACGGAGGGGTAGTTGTGGTTTTGGGATTAGGCCTAAATCACAAGACAATGCGATTTAAGCCATTATCTTTTTTAAATATATGGCCTAAGTCACACTCTTGACATAGGCCATTATACTATCAGGGTAGGAACAGCACTATCCTTTCAATAAGGATGTAGGCAATGTGACCAGTGGTGGCCAGCATCAAGAAGAGATGATTTAATCAAAAAAAATTTTCTCCAAAATATGACTTTAAGAAGGTGACGATATGTAGAAAAGGGCGTGAAAGATTTGAACACACTTAACTTCAAATAATCATCTGGGAATTTGTCTTGTTTATATGTACCATGTTTTCTTGGTTTTCCACTTTGAGTTTCTATCTTGGTAACATAATGCTGGGTTTACAAATACCACAATGGGCGTAAGACAGTGGTTTTCAAACTGTGGGCCCCTGGTGGGTCGCGGAGGTACTGCAGGGCGGTCGCGGGAAGATTTTTTATTTTCTCCTTTTAGCTTTGTGAAGCACCTTGAGAGATGTTGTTTTTAAAGTGCACCTATATAAATCAAATGTATTGTTATTATTATTATTCAATTGTAAATAAACACTGCTCGAAAATATCTCATTGGTCAGAGAGCTGTGGGCATAATGCTGCCTTTTGCAACATCCTACTTGTGTGAATAAGCTTTTTCTGCTGTTGCTGCCATCAAAACCAAATACAGATCAAGCTGAACATTGAGAATGCACTGAGGGGCAGTCTCAAAACAACAGTCCCCTTTGAGAAGATCTGCGAGGGAAAGCAAGCACACACAAGTCATTGATAGGCTATGCAATAGGAATGGTAAAGTGATGTGATCGTTTGCAACCGGCAGTAGAAATAGTTAATTAATATATTTTCCTTAAAGAAATTTGAATTTAAAAATCTACTACTCAGGGAAGAAGGCCAGCCAGTTTTAATTAGGCCAAATTAATTCACAGTATCTATTACAAGCACTTTTGTTCATGCGTAATCCATAATAAGATATACAATTATAGTTGGATCTTTGATTCTTCTTATTATCAGCAGAGAAAATGTAATGTTTTTACAACAATATACAATTAATCCTACCAATATAGATGTATTCATTCATGTGGAATTTAATTAACCACATTTACCTAAGAGAAAACACATATTGTGGGGTTTTATATATTTGTTCTTTGTCATCTCATCAAATAACTGGGAACACATGGCTACTTGTCTGATAATATTTACTTGTAAATTGAACAATTTGATAGTTTGATAATATATTATATGTAGAAAAGGGCGTGAAATATGCTTTAATTGTTTAGTTCAACACATTTAGCTTCAAAATAATCATCTGCTAATGTATCTCTCGTTTATAAGCACCTTGAGATGACTTTGTTTTTAAAGTGTGCTGTATAAATGAAATGTATTATTATATGTAGTACCATGTTTTCTTGGTTTTTGTACTTTGTTACCAAGATAGAAACTAATGGGCGTGAGACAACAAATAAACATATTTCGGGGTTTTATATATATTTAATTTTTTATCAAATAAAATAACTAAGGAAAACATGGCTATCTGTAGCTCCTTCAACCAACTCACCTAATCCATTGCATGTTTTTAATTAAATATGCACGTTGTATTTCAGGGCAAGAAAGGTGAAAGTGGATTGCCTGGAGTGGACGGGCTTCCTGGAATCTCTGTGAGTACAACTTCACTTTCATGACTAAATAAATGTACATATTAGTAACACACTTGTTGATAATGACCTCTTATTTATGCCCGTGCTTGTTCTTCACATCGGGGAGGAGAATTAATTTGGTATTTGAATTGCTCCATATTTAACGTGACCCACAGAGTAACCTCTCTCTCAAAGGTCTCTTCACCGTGTGTTTTGATAAGGGGGAATATATACAGGCTAGATTGAAATCAACAGTTTGTCCTAATCATTTCCAAACTGCTCCCTGGAGGAAATAGCAATACACTTACCTTTAGGTGCTGTAATACCGCCCTCTAGTGGCTGCTTTCATGCACACTGTCTAGTTGTGTACATCAATAAATACATAATAATATAAGTACATACATACTTCAAAACCATTATATGCAGTGGCAGAATTTAATTAACCACATGTACCTAATTATTGAACTGTCATTTATTGTAAATGTTTACCTCTACTCCACGACATTTTGAAAGGCTTTAGTTACTTTACAGATCCAGATTATTAGAGAAAACTAAATGTGAATTAACTAATGGATAGACAGTGACATATAATTATATTTTAAAATCATCTGCAAAGTAATTAAAATTATCTCCACATTTACTAACTACGATGAACAAATGAATGCATCAGTCATCATTATACTGTAATTTATATACATATCATTTAATTAATTTAATATATTATCTGAAAGGTGCCATAAGGCATAACAAAACATTTTGGTACCTACATATTATATATTTTGATGTCAATACTTTTGTAGTTTTACTTTGAATGCCTGACTTATACCTGTAACAGAATATCTTTAAATAGTGTTACTGCTTCTACTTAAGTATACAATCTGAATACTTCACCGCTGGTTATATAAGTATGTTCATTACGTCATAACCAAGTGATTTATTTACATTATTGTACCTTTTCTTTGTGTTTTTGCAGGGTATTCATGGTCCAGCTGGGACAGCAGGAAGCAAAGGGCAGACTGGACCTCCTGTGAGGACACACTCCGTCTTAAACATCATCATTTGACAAATAAATCATGACTTAAACCTGTCTGTCTTCTTGCAGGGTCTACCTGGTGAAATAGGATTTTCAGGCAAACACGGGGAGCCAGGGAAGTCTGTGAGTCGGCCTTTTGTTCTGAAATAACAGCATTTGATGTGAATGCTACCTGAAGTCTTGGTGTTTAATCCCTGTTGTTGTTCCTCTGTCACTAAATGTCAAACCTTTCTCATCTTCAAAGGGTCTTTCTGGTAAAGACGGACTGGACGGTCTTCCTGGAAACGACGGTGCCACGGTCAGTCAGTGTGACCTTTAGAAAAACCTGTTATTTATGCCCTCCGTGCTCACCAGAGGTGGGAAGTAGTGGAGTAGAAATACTTTGTTACTGTACTTAAGTACATGTTTCTGGTATCAGTACTTTACTCCACTACTTATTTTTCTGAGGACTTTTTACTTTGACTTCTTACATGTTGAACACAAATACCTGTACTTTCTACTTCTTACATGTTGAACACAAATACCTGTACTTTCTACTTCTTACATGTTGAACACAAATACTGTACTTTCTACTTCTCATATTGAACACAAATACCTGACGTTCTACTTCTTACATGTTGAACACAAATACCTGTACTTTCTACTTCTCATGTTGAACACAAATACCTGAACTTCTACTTCTTACATGTTGAACACAAATACCTGTACTTTCTACTTCTTACATGTTGAACACAAATACCTGTACTTTCTACTTCTTACATGTTGAACCCAAATACCTGAACGTTCTACTTCTCATGTTGAACCAAATACCTGTACTTTCTACTTCTTACATGTTGAACCAAATACCTGTACTTTATACTTCTTACATGTTGAACTCAAATACCTGTACTTTCTACTTCTTACATGTTGAACCCAAATACCTGAACGTTCTACTTCTCACATGTTGAACCCAAATACCTGTACTTTCTACTTCTTACATGTTGAACCCAAATACCTGTACTTTCTACTTCTTACATTTTGAACACAAATACCTGTACTTTCTACTTCTCACATGTTGAACACAAATACCTGTACTTTCTACTTCTCACATGTTGAACTCAAATACCTGTACTTTCTACTTCTCACATGTTGAACTCAAATACCTGTACTTTCTACTTCTCTCATTTTCCAACAGCTGGTTCCTTTAGTCTGAATGTGTGTTGATGCGTGATCATATTCTTTAGAGTCATTGCGTGCCTATTGATTTGAACACGATCCGTGTATCCATAATTTCCTGGTCTTCTCTAAAGAAGAGGACCAATGGAAAACGTTGTCATGTGTGCCGTTGTTCAGCTGGAACATTCATTAGCTAACAATGACATTATTGTTCTAGTAATATAAAGGGAGGTCAGGTACTCTTTAAAACCAGCTGCTAGTTATGGGTACTTTTTACTGAAGTACATTTCAAGTTCTTTACTTTGACTTGAGTAAAGAAAGTTTAGTCAGTACTTCTACTTTCACCAGAGTATTTTTAAACACGAGTATCTGTACTTCTACTCGAGTAAAGGATGTGTGTACTGTTGACTTCTCTGGTGCTCACAGTAACCAAACTCGCTGTAACACTTTAAAACTGCAGCCAACAAAACAACATATATAAATGATATAAAAGACAATTGTCTGAATGACTGCATGTTGCCGAAAGTGATGAAACCTCAAAGAATTATCACCCAAATCTGCGGTTTGTGATTATTTTTCTTGTGTCTTTTAGCTCTTTGTTTTGGTTTTACGCCCCTGATCTAATTCACGTATGAAACGGCAGCCATTTTGAGTGAAAGAAGATCTGAACTGAAGGCTACAAAGAGCAAAGTTAGGATCTAGTAGCAGTGAACAGAAACACAGAGCAAGAAAGATAGTTTATTTAACATTAATTAATACATTAATAAACATTTCTAGAAACAAATGCAATGTTAAATAAGTGAAATCATGCCACATATGATTGGAAATGCTAATAAAAACAATAAAACAAAGCATACATATGAATGAATATTGGACTTACAGTATATCATCAAAAACACGGTTAAAATGGATGCTAACGTCGCTATGTGTCTACTAGATATGTAAATAGGCAACTGTTTGCTAACACGTTCAATTTGATAGATGATGTCAAATATGAATGTATGTATGTATATATATATATATATAAGATGTATTATTCCTTGAAGCACTGCAATGTTATTAAGACTTATGACTTCGAAGTCTCTTAGCTTTAAGTCGTGAGTTTGTAAATATGGAAACAGCTGCCTTACCAATAACATATTCTAGACCTGTAGTGTAACTCAAATACAATGCTCAGAAACACGATTAGAAGTCAGCCAATCAGGTTCCAGACATCTGAATCCCTACATCTGTTTTTACAAGATTCAAACAAGAGACAATTGCAATTCAGTCTGAGTATCGGACAAAACATCAAACAGTAGAAGCAAAAACATGGATTTTTTGAAGAGAACATTGACATTTAATTGACCACTAATGTAATATAGTGGGGCTACCTGATGTCTCTGGCAGACACATGTTTCTGTATACGTCTAAAAGCTACTCTCATGTCTCTGCAGGGTCCCAGGGGAGAGCGCGGAGCAGATGGTTTTGCAGGAGAGGCCGGATCCAAGGTACTGACTTCACGATGTACCCGGAAACCCTGAAGACATATGAGATGTGTGTTTTCCATTATGCAAATCTGACATTTTAACGTGCGCGTGTGTCCTCTCCTTAGGGTGAAGACGGGCCTCCGGGGCCCAGAGGACCTCCAGGGGAGAGAGTGAGTTACCAGCTGTTGTTCACAATGATGTGTTAGACAGTGGTTCCCAACCTGTCTCGTCTAACCCTTGAGCTGGTCTCCATTCTAAAAGTACCCCCTCACTCATCTGTGATAATTCGCCTACATTGTTTCGTGTATTAAACCCTTTATTATCGTGTTTAACCCAACTGCTCCGAAATGAAAATCACCTGTATAACTCACATTCAATACAAATGTGAACTTGAAACACTTGTTGTCAGGTAACAAAATGATGTTAAGACATACTTATTTAGGAAGCCAATAATGTATTTTCTTAGGAGAAGACCCCAGTCACTTTTCTCCGTCATATTTGAAAATAACATTGTTATTTTCTGTATTTCATGTAAGACAAAAGTTAGTTATTTGGCGATGACTGCGTACCCCCTGCGATCCTCTCAAGTACCCCTAGGGGTCCCCGTACCCCCGGTTGGGAACCACTGGTGTAAGATAATGAAACATGGGTCATCCTTACATTTGTGTTTTTGTTGTGTTTGTGTTGCACAGGGAGTGTCTGGTTCCCCTGGTCTGTCCGGTGTGGCTGGAGGGAGAGGAGACAGAGGCGTCCCCGTGAGTGAGATTATTTATCAAGAAACACCAGAAATATGTTAATTCATCGCCACCAGGGGGGATAATTAGTTTGGACCAATCATAGTAATATTGTGTTTACACATCGATGACTTTAGGCTCAAGGATCTTGTGGTTGCAGTTTACAATGTTAGTCAAAAAAGGTTTTTAATTGAGTGTATTCAACTGTTTGTGACCGCTGAATCCGTCTCTTAAAGGGCCGGTACGCGCCACAAGTGATCAATAACTGCTTCAGTAGCAAAAGAGATTTAGGCCAGAATCAGCCTGTACTGGTTGTGTTTCAGGACCCCATTTGGCCTTTGTCGCGACTCAAAAACAAAAAACTGACTTCCATAGAAACGTTTGCGCTCCTTTTTGAACCAACCTGCAGATTCATCCACCACTCATTCTGTCTCATACACATATTTTCTTAGTCCTGCAATTGACTATTCTACTTATTGTGGTTTACCCCTTTCCCTGTAGTGTGTTATATAGGGTGTGAGTGTTGCATTTTAATATCTGCAAAAAACAGGATGGGGAGAACTCCTTAAGGTCCTTCTTATTTGATTAGCAACATAAAACATTTCTGGTGAAATAAAGTCGAGTGAAATTAACTTTTTCCTAATTTGCCCGGTAACCTGTGGGACCCTCAGAGGCTGCTGGTGTCCCTGAGAGACACTCTGATACACACTGCTCTTTACTTCTACTTTCTCCAATTTAAAAAAGATTGCATTTGAAATTCAAATTGGGTCTGGTGTTATCAGTAGAACTTTGAGTTAACCCTTAGATGCACGACTCGAGTGACTGGACCCTACACTCTTCCATAAGTGTGTCAAAAAGGACCCGTATTGGAATAATATGGGTTTTTTATGTCATTTTGGTTTTGAAAAATCACTTGTATAATATTTAGTATTATATTTTGGTTCACACTAGAACTATTTAATATTTAATTTTTCACTATTTATAACTAGGGGGGCACTCACGGACCACTGGTGGTCCCGTGAGTGCCCCCTAGTGGTCCGTGAGTAGATTGGTAAAATTTCAACATTTGAAAGAAATACATTTATTTAAGTTTTCGATTTCGCACTCTCGCGGGAATATCTCCCGCACTGGAGCAAGCTTAAGTTCACTTTCGATTGCATGATATAGCCCAGATAAACACCTTCATCACACATGTTGCCACTTGTTTGTACCATTTTCAGGCGATTTGTAAAAACGATGTGTTTTTGGATATTTGTGGAGTTAGGTGGTCCGCGAGTGTTTTTTTATTGGTTAGGTGGTGTCCTTGGTATGAAAACGTTTGAGAAACACTGATTTAAGGGGTTTGATCCAAGGGGAACATATTTTTTGTTAATTATTTGTTGGCTTTTCTTCATAGGGAGAAAGAGGAGTGGCTGGAACCTTTCGGACCAAAAGGAGACAGAGGAGACAAGGTAAGTAATCTGTGTGTGTTTCACTAGTGGTTACAGAGGGCTCTTCTTCTGTCTCAGTAATGGGTCGCCCTTCATTTTATCTTTAATGAGGTCATTAGTATGCAGACAGTGTGAATGTTTTGTCTCTCGCCTCAGGGTGAAGTTCGGAGCGAGTGGAAAACCTGGGATTCCAGGAAATGTGTGAGTATCTTTTACTTTTCTGTTTTCAGTGTGCATCTTGTCCCCACTACCAAATTATGATGAAGGAAATAGAGCCAGTTATTTCAATTTTTTTCAGATATACATTTATTTTGGACATAAGAAATGCAAAAAAAACGAAATAAAATGATTAAAAAAAATGTAAACTAACTAAAAATTATCATAAATAAAAAATGTATTAACTCTCCTATTGTCTTCGTTCCCCCCCCCCCCCTTACTTTGGTGTTCGCGGTCCAAATTTGACCGGTCCTGTTTTCAACTGCTATTACATTAACAACAAAAACCATTAATCATCACCAAATTTCATTTCACACCCTTTCAAACTGTACATATTGTATCAGACTTACTGGTATAACATGAACAACTGCAGTAAATATACAAAGAACAGACACTGAACATGTATTGCGTGTGCCAGGTGTGATTCACATGGGGGGGGATTGGGCACATAAGGGGACACACACACATCTATAGTAGTGTGTGTGTGGTGTGTGTGTGTGTGTGTGTGTGTGTGTGTGTGTGTGTGTGTGTGTGGTGTGTGTGTGTGTGTGTGTGTGTGTGTGTGTGTGTGTGGGTGTGTGTGTGTGTGTGTGGTGTGTGTTGTGTGTGTGTGTTGTGTGTGTTGTGTGTGTTGTGTGGTGTGTGGTGTGTGTGTGTGTGTGTGTGTGTGTGTGGCCCTGGCATTACTATACTTGTGGGGACCTAAATCTGTTTACACAGTCACGTGTGGGGACCCTTTATATATACAGTCTATGGTGGGGACTCGCCTCCCTTATGGGGACAAAATGGAGGTCCCCATGAGGAGAATCATTAATTTTAGGGTGAAGACTTGGTTAGGTTTAGGGTTAGGGTTAGGGTAAGGTTAAGGGTTAGGCATGTGTTGGTTATGGTTAAGGTTAGGATAAGTCTCCAGGAAATGCATGTAAGTCAATGTAATGTCCCCCTGAAGTGATGTATACATGGTATGTGTGTGTGTGTGTTTTATCTGATCCGGATGGTTACTAATTCCTTTTCTTTATGGCGGTCATTTTTGACCGGGAACACCATGGTGTTTCAAAGTTGACTAAATCATCCAGAATTCAACGAAGTGGTGATCAGTAATTGTTTTTGTTCAAATGTCTACTGTGAAGGATATCATAAAGCCTGAATGCAATCGAATGTAAAACAAAAAAGTTGATTGATGAAAGTAGTAAATCGGTCGGATTTGACCCGAAGACAACAGGAGGGTTAATCAGATGTCTGAAAAGTGTTACTGGCCCTAACTGACTACCCTTTTCCTTACAGGTAGCAAATGTAATCCCTGAGCCTGGTGAACCTGTGAGTACACTTCTTTTATAACACATTTTTTTAGTAACACTTAAATTATGTATATTTGGTTTGAGATGTGATCCTGCTCAAGGTTTCATAAAGATCACTTCTGTTCTCCATCTTGTTTTCTTGTACTTCTTCCTTTTAATTTGAACTTCTGGTGGTGGTAGAATAAAGTATTCAGATCATTATGAGATTAATAATTGAATTGTTTGCTTTTGCTTGTAGGGGATGCCTGGAGAGAGGAGAGAAGGGGGATCAAGGGACCCGGACCCATGGTGAGTTTTACTCTCCATTTCTTGCTCATTTATTTCTTCATATAGCAATACACACACGTGTCCACTAGGTGTCAGCAGAGATTAGAGAATGGCAGCCTTGCTACACTAATGTGACTCAGGGGTCTTCACTAACTGGGCTGTGGAAATTAAATCAAAAAAAATTTCCCCACCCCTGATCCACATTAATTTGCCCATCATTCTTTTACCACACATGTATTGTAATAGTTGGACAAAAATAAGTGGAAAAAAACATATTTATATTAAGTAAATTCAAGCTGGCACGACCATATTAAAGCATAGTATTGCCAAAGCACATTGTAATAATAATACGTTTATTTATTATAACACCTTTCACAGAAATCGAATTCACAAAGTGCTTCACAAGTAAGAACAACATTTAAAGGGGACCTATCATGCAAAATGCACTTGTTGATGTCTTTTATACATAACTATGTGTCCCCGGTGTGTCAGGGAACTCACGCAGCGTCAGAAAATAAAACCCTTTCTCTTTTCCTCCGTACCCAAATCTTTTAAAAACGGGGTGTACTCGTTGTACACGAGCGGATACAGATTTGCTGCCGGTATGACGTCCAATCTGCAGCGGACCCACAGGAAGTTGCTATCAGAAACAATGCCTGACGTGTTTTGGACGTCTTTGTTTACATTAACACTCAGAGCTAACCTGTACTGGAGAGCACATGTGTTTTAAAAAAAGCAGGAAATCAAAAAGGAACTCACCTTGTGATAAACCCGCAAGAGAAAAAGCATTTGAGCTCCATACTGTTTCAGAAATAATCCTTGATGTGGTTTAGAACAGGATGGCGTTTTATCACGGCAGAATTTAACTTTATCTCCGGTAGAATTCTGATCAGGCATTAGCTCCGCCTCCTCTTTTTATTTTTTTAAGCTAAGGACCCAAAATCCTCGTTTCTCTAACAGGGCTGCAAAAGAGGGGTATGAGCAGTATGAGGCATGGCTACCATGGCTGAACTCTTTGGGATTTTAAGCAAACAACTTCACAGACATGTTTTGTATAGGTATGGCTCTCCAATATCTGTTTCCAATAAAGCATGTTAGATCCACTTTCAAATGAAGACCACAGAAACATGAATACAATAACCACATGAGGCAGACATGTAAGGTCAACATAAAAACAAAACACAGACCACGTGGAGTCCTGACATAAGAACGCATCACACACATCTCAAATAGAAATAAAAGCCAATGTAAAAAGATAGATAGATTGTACAAGGTGGTACGACAGTAAAACATACAACGTTGTATGTAAACAAAAAACAAGGTGCGCATAACTGCGAGATATCATCAACCAAATCACAATTATGGAAATACAAATAATATCAATGTGTCCACCAACAACAGTCTCACTCAATTAAAATGTGTTTTCTCCCAAAGGGTCAGGGAGGGCTTCCTGGAGAACAAGGCTTTAAGGGACCAGCTGGGTTGGCGGTACGTATCTGATCATCCTGTAACTCAGTTTCCTGTACAGCTGATTTATTAAAAACAAGTCTAATTTGATTTCTTTATTGCAGGGTCCTCAGGGAGAGACTGGACTGACGGGAGAGACCGGACGAGTTGGAGACCCTGTGAGTTTTCTGTTCATATCTAACACACTTGTTCACACTGAATGGGAGTATGTAGTGTGTTGTATTAACTCGTATATGATGTGTTTCTCTCAGGGTCCACCTGGCATAGCTGGTCCTTCGGGTCTTCGTGGATTACCAGGGAATGTGGTGAGTCTTTCTAAACCTTTACAGACACTTCAGACAAAACCATTATTTTTTTAAAACACTGATTAATCAGGAAGAGGGATATTTTCCTTCTAAAACATGTATTCTTTCAGACACATGGAATAAAAAACATTCAATACACATATTAAGGTTATTTCTTTCCGTCTAACTTTATTTGCGTATCTTAATTTCCCTACAAATAGTTACCACTGGATGTCTCATTAGATTATTTTAATATAACATTTCAGTAAACCTGTAATACAGAACATAATGTCATTCCTGTACGGCATCCACTGTGGAAGTTATGGGGTTATTAATTGTATATTTGTTTACCCTATTCACCTATAGTGTCGTGGAAATTGTACAATATATACTTTAAAGGCTGTTTTGTCAACAAAAAACAATGTCGTAACGTTTTCTAACTCTTCAGTAACACTTACACAAACGATTCCTATCTATATTCTGAAGGTCGTTACTGAGGGGTTGGGTATAATTATTCATAGCATGATTTAAACATTTAATTTATAAAAAAAATGACTGTTGTCACTATTTTCTGATTTATACAAACGGATATCAAAAGCCCCTCTGTATAAACCTGCTTCTAACATGTAAACCAAAGTAAATGATAGTTTTTAACATGGCACTATCCAATGTTCATGTTATCTCTTCTTAAAATGTATTAAAATTAACACGTAGTCAAGAAAGTTGGGCTTCACTTGCATATTTAAACAGACATTTTCAGTTATTGTTCAATAAAATGTTTAATCTTAATGTAAGTAATTGACTCGGACAGTTTTTTAAGTGATATCTACAGTATAATGTAGTTTAAAATATGTATCCCTGTCGTCTCTCCTTTTAAGGTGGAACACATGTAACTATAGTACACAATATGGAAGAGCAGGCAGTTTCAGTGTGAAACTAAACATTTCTCTGTCTTCAGGGCATCCCCGGGATCATCGGGCCTCCGGGTCCATCCGGACAGAGAGGAGACAAGGTCAGTCGGATATTTGTAAATTGTACATACAGTATACTGCAGGGGTGTACTGTACACACTTTTTTCACCGAGGGCCACACACAGAACTATATTCAAAGGGCTGGGCCACTCACTAGAGGTCGCGTTTATTGCCTCATAAGTGAAGTTATAAGTTAGCAAAATCAATCAAATGTAAGTAAATCATGCTGCAGCCTGCATCACAGCTTTCTATAGGGTTTCATTTATTTAGTTAGCAGCTCATTCCTTAAAACAGAAGCCTCAGATTGCTTATCGAGGAAAGATGAAGGGTATATTTGAATGCTGTCAAAATTATCGCGTTAACGGCGGTAATTACTTTTTTAATTAATTGCATTAAATATTTAACGCATTTAACGCATGTGCAGAATGGCCCGCCACATACATGCCACCAGTGGCAGCGCAAATAAATGGCTCAGCCCCACCATGAAAAATGATGTTAAAGTAAGCGAAATAAAGTCCGCCAACTCGCGCGGAGTAAATTGCACAGACAGCAGTTAGTAAGATTGATTTCAGCTCTGTCTGGAAATACCGAAGACCAGAAACGGTTTTGAAAACTTTTGTCACGTAGTGATCGTCTTCTCAATAGAACATCTTTGATAATGTCTTCTGGCCAATCAGAATCAAGATAACGGTGTGGTGTTGTTGCAGGAAGTCCCGACGGAGAATACTTTTGCTGTAGTACAGGGGGCACATAACTGGTACGCAGGTTATGTGCGTAATCTGAAATGCGTACCGTCACTTGTGTCACAAAGCGCATTTGCGTACGACAGAGTCGGTCTCCGTGTGCACAGACAGGGCTGCTGTTAACGTCGGTCTGTACAACGGAATTGTGCCAAAACTACGCCAACCGGCTGCGGAGGGAGACCCCCCCCTTCACTGGAGAACTGCGCTAAAACAGCTGATCACAACGTTCACACTCTGTGGTCACGAAGTACTCCACTAGCCCCCCCCCCCCCGTCGACTTTCCTGAAGTACTCCCCCGTTGATAGAAATCAACACGTAATGAATTAAGACCCCACGGTTTGATGATTGATAGGTGCTCTTTTCATTTTGACACACAGAAAAATGTTATAATAAACATACATACTGTGTTAAATGGATATATCCGCCTTCTTTCATTTATCTTTCCATTCCCACAACAAATATAAAGAAATGGCATATTTTGGACATAGTTTGAATGGTGATTAATCATGATTAATTAATTTTTAAGCTGTGATTAATCTGATTAAAATTTTAATCGTTTGACAGCCCTAGTATATTTAAAGGTTGTTATGTCATTAAATGATTGGGCTTTTTCTTATCAACTTAGATTTGTTGGAACGTCTTTTCAACTGACTGAAAGTGGGCTTATTAACACATGAACGCTGCTTAACATATGTTTACAGATATAACCTTTATGTTGTGTTCGGGTCTCCCGTGACCCGTTTCAAGTTACAATTATATAATAACTACGCTTTAGTTTTTTTTAACGGAACAAGGCTTCATGATATCCTCCACAACAGATATATAAACACTCCTTTTGACAATTTAAGCCAAGTCTGAAAGTCTCTAAGTGTCTAATTTATTGTTCAGGTCTGGGGAGACCCAGCAGAATTGTTTTGGGTGACACAGGGTCAAATTTGGCCCAATCAAGATTCATCTTTGACTTTAGACACCCCTCCCCCACCCCCTTCATCCACTGTAACAATCATTTAAAACTTATTTTGGGGTGATTGTATTCTAATATTAGTCTATTATAGTCAGATAACGTAATGATCCATTCACTATAGGAAATATAATGATACATTTTTTTCTTAAATATGTGTTTTGGGGCCATAAAATAAAATTACAACAGGATTGTACGGTTATGAATGCATTATAAGTTAGTTGTGATGTAGTTAAAACAATATTGGATGATAGTCATTCATGTTGAGTGTTTTGGACTGAGATACATCATGGGTCATAATTGACCCGCGAACACCATGAACGGTAACAGCTTTCGAACACAACACAAGGGTTAAGAAGTACAATACAAGACAAGCTCAAGTTTCATTTGTGGGCCAGGGGACTAAGGGACAGTTTAAACCGACACCTGAGCTCTGCTGAGTGCCCTGATAAACATTCCTGTTTGTCATCTTGCAATCTACTTATTTATCTAAATAGTTATCACCGCAATAAACCGTATTTAATTTAGTCTTAAAGGTAGGGTAGGTAAGAACGAGACACCAGCACGCTAGACTTTGAAAGTACGCAGCCGAAAAAAATCTGCCCCTTCCTTCAGACTTCCTCACAGAGCCCCTCCTCCAACACACACGAACGCGCACATGACCAATGAGGGCACGGGTAAGTGTGTGCACAGATGGAAGGCTGACAGGCAGGTAGGCCATCCAGTTACTTTAGCCCGGCTCAGATGATTGGTCGTGCTTTTACAGCGCCACGGCTTCCACTGATGACATTTATGGAGTCAGATTTGGGTCAATATTCTCGCGTGTAAAACAAGCTACTCACGAGCGGAAAATGTGCTTTTACACGCGCATAAAATGACCCTCGCGCGCAGATTAAACCCCCGCGAGCGGCTCTGCGCCCGCAAAATGACGGCAGCAAAATCAGTTGGACGAGATTGAATTGGTAAAGTTGTCCATAAAAACTATTATATTCGTAGTGTACAGCTATATATATATATATATATATATATATATATCTATGTTTTCTTCAAGGTTGTGTCTTCCTGGTCGAATGTACTTATTGTAAGTCGCTTTGGATACAAGCGTCAGCTAAATGCAATGTAATGTAATATACATTAATTTGATATAAAACAATATATTTTCAGTGGGCTGTGTCCGTCGAAAACTGCTAGCTACTGTCTGCTGTACGCACCTAGATTTTGCTGCCGTCACTGCTCGGCTCTTGGTAGTTCAGGCATTTATCAAACATGGCAACCCCGGGTTTCCTGGCAGCTGTCAATCAAAGTCCAGTGGCTCCGCCCCAAAGTGCCAGAAACTTTTCACGCGCGCGTAGACAGACTCCGCGAGGCTGACACTCCCGCGAGCGAGCAAGAGGGCTGTCTCTCAGCAAAATCTAGGTGTATGTATATAGACTTCTTGCACTATTTTTGTATTTTATTTTATATATGTTGCATTGTTGGAGGAGCTCAGGTCAGAAGAATTCCATTGCCATTTCTACACTGTAGCTTGTGTGCATATTTGGTTGGTTGGTATTGTGATAGTATAGATTATGTGATGTTGGCACAGAGAGCTGAGAGGACGACGAGAGTGACCTTGTGTGTCCTCCACTGTTCCAGCAGAAGAATGTATTTCCATCCTGCAGCTACACACATTCAGAAACCTTTCCCACCCTCTCTCCCTGCTTTTACTCTTTGTTCTTCTATTTCTAATGTCGTCTTTTGTTCTTGTTCCCGTCATGTTGTTACTGTTCTTCCACTAAAGTAAGGACGACAGGAGGCGGATCGTTCACTGATTCATAACGACACACTGCAGGAGAAAAGGCCATGTTAAAACCAGAAAATTATGCATTTTGAGAAGATACAGATTTCATTAGCTCCTACTTTGCCCTGAGGCATTTTTAAAAGTGCAATAAACTCCCTGTGCAGTGAGATTATAAGACGTTATACGAGTTTTTGAAATATAAAATATATCTGGATGCTAGAAAAGAGATACATGTCTTGTCACATATACTCAAAACAAGCTGTCAATTCTTATTTTACCATTTGTATTTTCCCTCACTTAAAGGGGACCTATCATGCAAAATGCACTTTGTGTGTCTTCTCTACATCAACATGTGTCCCCGTGCGTCGGGGACTCACGCAGCGTCAGAAAATAAAACCCTCTCTTTTTCCTCCGTACCCAAATCTCTAAAAACGGGGAACAACGGAGCTGATCCAGATTTGCGTCCGATATGACGTAATATCTGAAATGTGGACCCACGGCCCAATCAGAAACGTTGCTATCAAAACAATGCCCGACTGTTTTGGACGTAATATGGTCGGTGTTTACATTAGCATCGCTAACACTCAGAGCTAACCTGTGCTGGAGAGCATGTGTGTGAAGAAGCAGGAAGTAAAAAAAAACTCACCTTGTGGTATAACCGGCAAGAGAGAAAGCCTTTGAGCTCCAACTGTTTCAGAGAGATCCTTGATGATCCATGATATGGCGTTTCATCACGGCAGTATTTAGTTTAGACGGTAGCTGCGGGTCCCGCATGAGCTCAGACCCCTCCTTTTTTAAAGCTTTATACACGATAGGTGACCTTTTTAAGTGAAAGGATCTTAAACCAGAGCTTTTATTTTTGAATTACAAAGATATCTGGATGCTAAGAAAGTGGCAAAATCTCTTGAAATAAGCAGAAAAACACTGATTTTAACCAAAAATATACTGTTAATTCTTCATTGTTTCTTATTTACTTAAATTATTTTTTTAATTGAAGTTGATAACCATATTGAATGAGCAATTACATATCTGTCTTCCTGTTCCATGCTGTGGTCCCTATTTTCCCAATAGATGTATTAGACATTGATAACAATTTCCATGAATAATAATAGATTTAATTTAAACAAACAAAAGGGGCAAATAATAAAGTAACATTTAAATAGTTAGCAATAGAAAAAGCCTCTGAGGCGCCGGCTGATGTTCGTCCTGTAGCCTCGGCAGACAATAACGTCTCTCTTTCTTCTGATGTGTCCTTCAGGGTGAAGCAGGTAAACCCGGACAGGCCGGACCTGCAGGCCGAGGCGGAGACCCCGGACTGACCGGACTGACCGGACCCCCAGGGAAAGGGAAAGAGGGACAAAACGTAAGAAATATATATCTTCTCTATCTGTGTTTTACTTTAATGTGTACACCACGACATCAAGTCAAATTCCTCGTACGTGTGAACCTCCCTGGTGATAACCCTGATTCTGATTCTGATCTGCAGTCACATTTATTATTACTTAGTAAACTTTAAACATCTTGTTTTGCCGGATAATGTTCAGCCATGTTTTCAGTCATAGGATTATTTTAAGGTTTGTGGCATTTTCAGGGAAACATCCAACAGATCAAATAAAATGGATTTATGATATGTTATATAATGCATCATTTGCACCGTGGTGTTCTTTATTTAGTTTGAAGCTAAGATTTAAAGGAAAGGTTCACTGCTTTTAGCCAAGACTTGTGTATATGAATATATCGTTTTTTATGATAAAATAATAACGAAATGAAAACATTTGACACATTTTGTAGAAACTATTGTTTCATATTAAGTCTTTGTTTATTATATATAGTTCTTTGAGTTTAGAGAAAAAAACAGTATTCACATGTGTCCAAAGATTAATATAGTATGATGTCATGGCCTGGCTCTTGGCCATAACAAAAAGCGTGGGAAGGACGAGAACATATATGAAAAATATATTTATTAACAGAAGCTTAACGTAAACCAAAAAAAACGAACACAAAGGAAAGACGAAGCGACGTAGCTGCTCCGAGGTCAGGTCCTCTGCGGGAGAGAGATTGCGGGTCTCACTCAGGCCCTTTAACCCTCTGGTACCAGCCGCCAGGTGTCCTCAATCCCAGCTGATAGACCAAAGGGAAAACCTTAAAGGAACACACACACACCAGAGATAACAAGGCAGGGGTCGTCACAATGATTTATGTCAAAGAAGCCACAAGGAGCACAATCAAGCATTGGTACCTTTGAACTTTAGCAGGTTGAATATCAATGCAGTGTAATTGGAAATGTAATTAATATAATAATCCCTACTGCTACTATAAGTGTGATATCTCATGTGATCTAAGCGTGAATAGTGGTGCTGTTAGACACTTGTCCAAAGCCCCTACCAGATTCCAAAACTAAAGACCCCCATGAGAACATATGTTATTGCACATTTCCCTCATAATACATATAGTAGTTGGGCAGTTATGGGTTCCTAAAAATGTAACTGTGGCAGCTTGATGAAAGGTTTTCGCTTTTCGCCAGGGAGGCGTGTGGCGCAGTGGGTTGTGCGTTGGTGTTGGGGTCAGGGGGTCACAGGTTCAAACCCCACTGCAGTCAGCATGTCGTTGTGTCCCTGAGACCTTCACCCCTAATTAAAAAAAAAAAATTAGAAAAGCTTGTAATGTAATTTACAGTAAAATTCATTTAACAACCAGCTGTTCCTTTTGATGTTCCTTTAAAGCCTGGAGGTTGGAATAGATCCTGCAATGACATCAAATGACATTATTTTGTGTGCATGTTATTATATATTTGGACACGTTTGCATGTCCACTAGAATAAAGGAGGTCTGTGTTAAAAAAAGCTTTCTTAAACGGTGTTTATAAGTCACATTTGATAACAGGAATGCATCTCCATCACTTCCATCAGTAATTGAAGCCTCATTAATGTCTCTTTTCCACACGTGTTGTGCCTGTAATCCATGCTGAACCACAAACACAATATGTTCGGCTGTATGGAGGAAAAAGAGGCTGAGTTGGCACATTTCTCGACATGTTTCCTCATCATTTTTCACCCCGACATGTGGCCGTGCTGCTGACGAGGCAAACAGGAAGAACATTGTTAAGACATACAGGATCACATTAAAGCAACACACACTGTTTTTCTTTACAGCTGCCAGGTGCGCTCCCCCCAGGCCTTTTTCACACTGAACAACACACACACTTTTAAATCTGTAATTATTTATTAAAAGGAGGTGTAAGAACAGTGTGATTTATATGTGTGGTGTTACAGGGGGATCCAGGACCACAGGGAATCCAAGGACCTCCAGGACCAAAGGTAATGTCATTGCAGAAGTTAGCAAGAAGTGTGTTGCCTGAAGAGTGTTTTTTTTTAATCATGCACAGGTGCTTTTTTGTTGACGTGGAAAACGCTTTCTTCTGGCACGGATGAGAAAAAACAATTCATTTTTGTTGAAAGCCGCAAAAGCAATTTCTATGTCCACTGCACTGTGACCGCTGCTCTGATTATCCTGAGAGGAGTTTGATGTCGGGGGGGGGGAGAGGAAGGACAGCGGGGCATTTTCTGGATTGATGGTGTCAAATCGCTCACCCTCATCCCCAATACCGTTTTCTCTTCTTGGTTCCAAAATGTCAACGGCAGATTGTAAAAAAAAAGAAAAGGCGTTTGATTAAAACCCGGGGTGACATTTCTGGGATCAGAAGGCATCGCTGAACTTTCTCTCAGGGGTTCTTAGCCAAACATTACGGCTGAACTGTTATTATCTGAGTTAACTTTGTTTTGGTTCTTTCTCCAAGGGACAAACCGGGTCACGAGGAGAACCGGGGTCACCGGGGGACAGAGGATCAGAGGGAGGGAAAAGTGGGACAACAGGTAGGAGCTTCAATGCATTGTATCATTCCACATCCCACATTTAAAGGTCACCTATTATGCAAAATCAATTTGTCTACATCAACATGTGTCCCCCTCTTCTTCATGTCTCTTATACATCAACATGTGTCCCCTCTTCTTCATGTCTTCTACATCAACATGTGTCCCCTCTTCTTCATGTCTCTTCTACATCAACATGTGTCCCCTCTTCTCATGTCTCTCCTACATCAACATGTGTCCCCTCTTCTTCATGTCTCTTCTACATCAACATGTGTCCCCTCTTCTCCATGTCTCTTCTACATCAACATGTGTCCCCTCTTCTTCATGTCTCTTCTACATCAACATGTGTCCTCTCTTCTCTGTCTCTCTACATCAACATGTGTCCCCTCTTCTTCATGTCTCTTCTACATCAACATGTGTCCCCTCTTCTTCATGTCTCTTCTACATCAACATGTGTCTCCTCTCTTCATGTTCTCTTCTACATCAACATGTGTCCCCTCTTCTTCATGTCTCTTCTACATCAACATGTGTCCTCTCTTCTTCATGTCTCTTCTACATCAACATGTGTCCCCCTCTTCTTCATGTCTCTTCTGCATCACATGTGTCCCCTCTTCTCCATGTCTCTTCTACATCAACATGTGTCCTCTTCTTCATGTCTCTTCTACATCAACATGTGTCCCCTCTTCTTCATGTCTCTTCTACATCAACATGTGTCCTCTTCTTCATGTCTCTTCTACATCAACATGTGTCCCCTCTTCTCCATGTCTCTTCTACATCAACATGTGTCCCCTCTTCTTCATGTCTTCTACATCAACATGTGTCCCCTCTTCTTCATGTCTCTTCTACATCAACATGTGTCCCCTCTTCTTCATGTCTCTTCTACATCAACATGTGTCCTCTTCTTCATGTCTTCTACATCAACATGTGTCTCTTCTTCATGTCTCTTCTACATCAACATGTGTCCCCTCTTCTTCATGTCTCTTCTACATCAACATGTGTCCCCTCTTCTTCATGTCTCTTCTACATCAACATGTGTCCCCTCTTCTTCATGTGTCTTCTACATCAACATGTGTCCCCTCTTCTTCATGTGTCTTCTACATCAACATGTGTCCCCTCTTCTTCATGTCTCTTCTACATCAACATGTGTCCCCTCTTCTTCATGTCTCTTCTACATCAACATGTGTCCCCTCTTCTTCATGTCTCTTCTACATCAACATGTGTCCCCTCTTCTTCATGTCTCTTCTACATCAACATGTGTCTCCCTTCTTCATGTCTCTTCTACATCAACATGTGTCCCCTCTTCTCCATGTCTCTTCTACATCAACATGTGTCCCCTCTTCTTCATGTCTCTTGTACATCAACATGTGTCCCCTCTTCTCCATGTCTCTTCTACATCAACATGTGTCCCCTCTTCTCCATGTCTCTTCTACATCAACATGTGTCTCCTCTTCTTCATGTCTCTTCTACATCAACATGTGTCCCCTCTTCTTCATGTCTCTTGTACATCAACATGTGTCCCCTCTTCTCCATGTCTCTTCTACATCAACATGTGTCCCCTCTTCTTCATGTCTCTTGTACATCAACATGTGTCCCCTCTTCTCCATGTCTCTTCTACATCAACATGTGTCCCTCTTCTCCATGTCTCTTCTACATCAACATGTGTCTCCTCTCTTCATGTCTCTTCTACATCAACATGTGTCCCCTCTTCTTCATGTCTCTTCTACATCAACATGTGTCCCCTCTTCTCCATGTCTCTTCTACATCAACATGTGTCCCCTCTTCTTCATGTCTCTTCTACATCAACATGTGTCCCCTCTTCTTCATGTCTCTTCTACATCAACATGTGTCCTCTCTGTGGAAAGAGACTCTGAAAGTTTCAGGAACAAAGATTCTCTCTCTTTTTGATCCATTTCTATAAAAACCTGTCTGAAAATGAGCTGATCAGATTTTGGCCACTTTATGATGTCGATGTGTTGTCTTGTGTAACCATTAGCCAATCAGCAACCAAGGTAACCCCCCCCCCCCCCCACCTTATCACCTGAATCTCCTCCTAGAGCTCCATTGAGTTCTTTGTAACCAAATGTCTCTCAGAGGGGCGTGGGGAGGGGCTCCTTATTTTCATCTAAAGTAACAGACAGAGAATCAGCACTTTGGAAACAGGGCTGAAACAGAGGGGATTATGGGTAATGTTGCAATGATCTGTTTGGTGTTTCAGCCAATCAGAGACAGGCTCTGGATAAATCTGAGACCTGTAATATATTGATGAAAAACATTATAATAGGGGACCTTCAAATAGCCGGTGTCAGCTGTTATCTGCAGCATAGACTTTAAGTGGTATGGCCCTACTTTACCGTATAATTGGATCAGTAGGCCGTTATGTAAAAGTGACCTGGAGAGAGGTTCACTTTGCTTATGCGACGACCTCTAGTGGTCATAGTAATTATGATAGGAGCAAATGAGGAATTTAGATTGGTAGACAGTACATGTGATTCATTTAACATATGCTACCTTAGCTTTTTAGGGTTTTCTCTTTCTTGTAGTGGGTGATTTATAGGGTGTGTCTTAAATCTCAAAGCTTCCACTAGAGGGAGTTCCTCTCCCTTACAGAGTTGAAATCTGCAATGTTTTTTCTTTTGTAGGGGCTTGTGGGAAAAGATGGACAACCTGGACCTGCGGTAAATATTCTCATCTTAGACTCATTTTTAAAAAGGTTTATTTTTATAAAAATGTCTAATATTTGTTTGTCTTGGTTCCAGGGCTTGAGGGGTCTAACAGGAGTCGCCGGACAAATGGGTCCTGCAGGACATAATGTGAGTGCAGAAATAACAAAACAAATAAAGAATTTGAAGATGTTGTCTTGTTGCTTGAGACATGGATCCATTGGAGCCTCATTCAGACCAAGTCAACAGCTAACCACACTGCATTGATTGTAGGCATATTGAATAAGAAAATGACGAGATAAGCGTTTTATTAAACTTTGTCAATTGGCATACTTTGAACAATTGATTGGGTTACCTTTTATACTTTAATTGTGATGTCATTGAATGTCTTTGTATTTATTTTTAACAAGTCTTTATTTTGTGTATTATAAGTGTATGTATATTTATATATACATAGTATAATATTTATGTAATTTCTTTACCTTTGCATCGAATGCAGGGTTTACCAGGACGGCCGGGAGACAAGGGGTCACAAGGAGAGCCTGTAAGTACAAAAAATACATTATCGATCAACTAACATGTCAAATTTAGCTCAAATAAAATATTTAACTTGCTGTATCATGTATATATCATATTTAACTTATATATACTACTTTTGGTACATGGCAAATTAACTTATTCTCATTGAAACCATCCTCTTTTACTGAAACTTATCAAGTACTTAGGTTTTTATTTTATTTTAAATGCACCCTCCTTGTATGGGAACATTCTTTTTAAGGAATGGGTGAAATGTGAAATGTGCATTTTATAGCATAGAGAGCTGGAGTTCTCTCATTGATTAACTCTTGTATTTCCTGTCTTCAGGGAAAGGCAGCTGACCTCTCTGACCTGGATCTGAAGGTAAGGAGGAGCGTTTCCTCCCGTCTCAAATGAGAAAGATTTTATATTGAGAGTAATAGCCTGATGAAATACCTGTGTCTCCCGTGTTACAGGATGTTTGCTCAGACTGCCCTGCAGGCCCAGCTGGAGCACCCGGTCTCCCAGGAGTCCCCGGAGAGAAAGGACACATCGGACCTCCAGGGAAAGATGGTCAAGACGGTTATCAAGTACGACACGTTCATTAATATTCAACCATAACCTCACATCGCCTGGTAAAGGATTATGAAACTATCATGGAAGGATTACTGAAATGTTCTACCAGGTCCAGGGGTCTTCACTTCAGAAAAACAAAAGAAATACCAAAAGAAACCTAAAACTGCTAACCAGTGACAGAAAAAGACTGCGACCATAACGGCCCGTCCACACCACAGCTTCGACAGCTTCAAAAACGGTTTCCAACGCGTCTGCCCATTCACTTTGAATGGGGTGACGGCACTTTTCGCCGAACTGCATTGTGGGAAGCAGAGTGGAGCTTTCCCGGCGTTTCAGGCTGCAAAAGTTGAGCAATGTTCAACTTTTGAAGCTTCTGAAGCTTTCGGTGGAAGCGTCAGCCAATCAAATCATATGCCAGTACAAGCTCTAGCCAATCAAACCGCTGCTTGTGTGTCAGGGGCGGGAGATTCATGTGATTGGTTGTTGGTCGAGCTTCAGACACGCCCAGCTCCAAGCTTTTTTTGAAGCTGTAGTGTGGACGGGCCGTAAAGGGATACGAAGAGACATTAAAAGATTCACCAAGGCAATACAAGAGACTCCAATTGTGAAAATAAATGACAACGAATGCGCCTAAAATGACACTCAGACACAAAAGCCATAGAGTGATGAGTAAAGACTGCAAATATACAGAAACAGAAATAAATACATGTGTGTCTTGCTCATACTGTATGAAGTTGCCACCAATCAACTATTAAAGGACTCCAAACACACAACAACAAAACAATATGTAAAACAGATACGAAGAGACTCTGAACTGTGAAATGGGGCAAAACAACTATTAAGAGACTCCACTTGACTACACAGAGAAACAAATGACCTAAGAGACACAAAACAACTATTAAGAGACTCCACTTGACTACACAGAGAAACAAAATGACCTAAAGAGACACAAAACAACTATTAAGAGACTCCACTTGACTACACAGAGAAACAAAATGACCTAAAATGACGCACAGAGACACACAAGCCACAGAGTGATGAGTAAACACTGTAAATATACACACACAACATGTAGTGTGTAGTAGAGGTATTGGCCCCTGTAAACATTGAAGAGTCTCCACTTTGGCCCTAAAAGTGAGGCATGAGGTCTTCATCACATTTGTCGTCATCAGTCACGCTTGGTATGATCCGTGTGACGGATGGAGGCTCTGCTCCATTAACCAGGCCCTCGTCTGGGGGCCACAGTGAGGGATTAGGACCCCCAGACAGAGACTGATGTTCTGCTGTGTCGTTACAGGGCTCTCCGGGAACAGCTGGACTTCAAGGGCCCCCTGGAGCTGATGGAGCAAAGGCAAGTTAACACAATGAGCTCCACCTTTATCGCTCCCAACGGGCCAATTAGATGCTTTTGTCAAACAATGTTCAGCTGTAACAGGCACTGAATTATGGTCCGTGTTTGTGCTACAACGTCTAATAACTGTGAAACATATTTCCTTTGATGAACAGTGTTTCACGTGGATGCTTTCCTCCTGAAATATAACATTTTGTCTCGTTTTTCTGTTCACCTCAGGGTATTAAAGGGTGACCGAGGACCCCCTGGGGCGCTGGAGACCAAAGGAGACAATGGTACTTGTTCTATCTGCCTACTTCCCCTCCTTTCTCTCTGTGATTAAAACAAACCTTTATCAGGATATCGTTATAAGATTCAGAATCAGATTCGTTTATTCGTTCCCCCGCAGCGCGGGACATTATGGTTTTTACATATTATGTAATTAGGCAAGCAGACGTTTAAAACATATTTTTAAATAATTTCAAAACAATTAACAAACAAGTCTCCACCATGTATTGAAGCTGGTTAACGCATTTGTAACTACATTGTAAGAACATGTTAAAGCGTATATTGCACACAGTTTTTGAGTTTATGTATCATTTACCTACTTTTGATCCCTTCTCCTGCATTATCAGGGTCACCCGGACCTCCAGGTCACCCAGGTGCTTGCTGGAATAATGGGAACAGCTGTTAAGTCATTACTCTGGGCTTAATTATGTGTCATTATGAGCCTAACATGGTCTTATTTATTTGACCTTTGTATTTCTTCTAACCCCTACTGACACGCTCTCTTTCCTCTTTCAGGGTAAACGATGGTCAGCCGGGTCCTCTCGGCCCCCCGGGGGCCCACTGGGAGAAAAGGTGAGGATGCCACTTTGTGTACTTCCCCCCCCCCCCCCCCCTCAGAAACACATTTCCCGTGTGCCATTATTATTTTTTTAACACTCTATTTATTGTCCTTTTTTGTAAACATTCAGACATAACATACATACATTACAACCTACACCCGCCATACATACTCAAATGTGTGCAGACTAGTTACTGCTCATACATGTATAACATCCATCTCTCCATGGGTGACAATATTCACCTTAATCATGTAGAAAGATATCTATGTGTATCTCAGCTTACATACCAATTACTTAAATAAAAGCACAGAGAGAAATGTATAAGGAGTGAGGTGTGTGGCCGCAGTGGATAGAGCGTTGGTGTTGAGATCAGGGGGTCACAGGTTCAAACCCCACTGCAGTCAGCATGTCGTTGTGTCCCTGAGACTCTTCACCCCAAATTGCTCCTGTGGGGATTGCCCACAGTACTGAGTATGTAAGTCGCTTTGGATAAAAGCGTCTAATAAGTGACATGTAATGTGATGTAATGTAATATAAGAATAATACATTATAATCATAATGGCCTGAGGTCTGGTCTCATTACGATGAGATAGAAGGGAAAGAAAAATACACATATATATAGCATTGCTTCCCAACCTTTTTCAATTCAGGGCCCACATAAGAATCTAAAAAATGTTGTGGCCAACATTCAATCATAAACAATACGGAGGCTAAATAAAGTTCTGATTGGTCAATTCAGACCAGTGACACGTTGTTAATCCAGTAATACAGACCGCTGTCAAGGACTGTGATGACCGTTGCTAAGGAGGATCGAGAAGAGAAAGGAAAAGAGGTTCAAATAAAAAATCTAATAATGAAATGTTTCCACACAAATCATAAGGTTTTGCTAATTATTTGGCGGCCCACTTGCAATGCCTTCGCGGCCCACTAGGGGGCCACGGCCCACAGGTTGGGAACAGCTGATATATAGTAATAATAATGATAACAAATACAAAAATAAAAAGGGGTTGTTGCCTTCTATAAGTTAACCTCACAGGGCTGTCAGGGGTAGCAAACATTGTGCAGAAAGTTATTACAGAAAGATATTCCAATTAATATATTATCTCGCTAAATAAAAAAGTGCCATTCACTACAAAAACTCTAAATCTTACCAAGTACCTTAGTCTAATATCTAGTCAGAATATGTCTCTACTCCTGATATAACACATAATAACTTCAGAAGTAACACTGCAGTGAGGTATCGGGTCTTGTTTTAGACAATGCATAATCTTGTTCAGTCCAAACATCTTATTTTGAGTCGTATCTCACATGAAACACATATTTTATTTACATATTAGAAAATCACCGACTAATATCAGAAAACAGAAAACCTTTGAGCATTTACGGCTTATATTGTAACACAAAACGTTCTCCTGATTCTGTTAAAAGATAGTTCAAAATGAGTTCTAGCTAATTACAAGATGTGATTTATCTAAATATCCCTTCTTATTTCAAGAAGTCTCACCAAGCACCTTTCACTTGTTCTATTGGCAGATTTTCCAAACTTATTTCACGTGAAAACAGCTTGTTTTCATTATTGGTTATCTTGTTTTTGGGTAGATAGTAGCATTTGTTCCAGTGTTATCGTTCAAACCTCTCCCTGCAGCATGTAGGTCATCACTTCTTCTGACCTGCTTGTGTTTGTGTGTTTCTCACCAGGGCAAAGGGGTCTCAAAGGAATCCAGGGACCAACCCGGTCTCCTCGGATTAATCGTAAGCATTGATACACTGCATCATTAACATTCACACCGTTCCTGCAGTGTGGAGCAAACAGTTGTTAATACAGTTACAGACGCTAAATAATGTCTCTAATCCTGCAGGGTCAGGATGGAATAATGGGCAAAGATGGGCAACCAGGAGAAACTGGAGAATTCTGTAAGTAGACGGAGCTGTTTAACTTGTTAGTGATCCAATATAAAGTTACACATCATTCCTTTCTGGAGGGTATGATAGTATAACGTGGCCAGATTGATGCACCTACTTCTCATTCATTCCAGTGGCACGCAAGGTGAACCTGGACCTCAAGGAAACCAGGGGCTCAGGGGGCTACCGGTGAGTAACTACCAGTAAATATTCAGATTTAAATGAGCTTATAGCTGTGTCTGATTCACTTCTCTTTATCAACAGGGCTTTAAGGGCCACAGAGGAGAACCTGGACCTGCAGGAACTAAGGTGAGTGTGTTACTTTGTCTTTTGTATTGGAACAAGTGCATTTAGGAACCAGAGTGTCGATTCCTGAAACAGATAATGTTCATTAAGTATTTTGTATATTGCCATTTTCTTCTGGCAAAACCATTTATTTGACTGTTTGCATTAGTACCTCCACAGGCCTAATGCATGTCCTATGACATGTGCCTTACATAAAGTCTTATCAATTAATGTGACACACAATTGGAATCTTGCCAATTCCCTTCATAAGATAACAAAATAAAAAATAACTGAAAATAAATCAGCATTCTTGGATTTTCACTCTTACCTGCAGTTTAAGAACTTGTAATAATAACACCAGTTAAGAACACAGACACATTATCCTGAGCTCATACCTGAAGCTGCTCATCAGGAACAGCAACACACACACACACACACACACACACACACACACACACACACACACACACACTCACACACACACACACACACACACACACACACACACACACACTCAGCTCGTCTCACTGTGATGTCAAGATATTTCTGACACTTTCTTTTACCAACACCTTCAAACAACAACCCCCCCGCAAGAATGGTTTCTACCACAGCGCCGTGACCAATAGCACGGCTCATTAATGACAGCTCTGACTGCAGACACACACACACACACACACACACACACACACACACACACACACACACACACACACACACACACACATACTCACACAAGTTATTAGAGGAGCCATGACGAGTTTTATGATACACACTGAACACTGTAATCATAATCACTGTCCCTCAATGCCGATCATAAGGAAATTGTCTCCCCTATTATTCAGGGAACTAAATGTTGAAGCCTACAATTAGATGTAGAGATTGATCAGAGTACTTACATACAATGTATATAATGTGTGTGTGTGTGTGTGTGTGTGTGGTGTGTGTGTGTGTGTGTGTGTGTGTGTGTGTGTGTGTGTGTGTGTGTGTGTGTGTGTGTGTGTGTGTGGTGTGTGTGGCCTAGCATTACTATACTTGTGGGGACCTAAATCTGTTTACACTTACACAGTCACGTGTGGGGACTCGCCTCCCTTATGGGGACAAATTGGAGGTCCCCATAAGGGGAATCATTAATTTTAGGGTGAAGACTTGGTTCTGTTTAGGGTTACGGTAAGGTTAAGGGTTAGGGTTAGGCATGTGTTGGTTATGGTTAAGGTTAGGGTAAGTCTTCAGGAAATGCATGTAAGTCAATATGATGTCCCCTGAAGTGATGTATACATGGTGTGTGTGTGTGTTGGAATGTGGCCTAGCATTACTATCCTTGTGGGGACCTACATCTGTTTACACAGTCACGTGTGGGGACTCGCCTCCCTTATGGGGACAAAATGGAGGTCCCCATGAGGGGAATCATTAATTTTAGGGTGAAGACTTGGTTAGGGTTAGGGTTAGGCATGTGTTGGTTATGGTTAAGGTTAGGATAAGTCTCCAGAAAATGCATGTAAGTCAATGTAATGTAAACTGAAGTGATGTATAAATGGTAGGTGTGTGTGGGTGTGTGTGTGTGTGTGTGTGTGGTGTGTGTGTGTGTAGTGTGTGTGTGGTGTGTGTGTGTGTGTGTGTGTGTGTGTGTGTGTGTGTGTGTGTGTGTGTGTGTGTGTGTGTGTGTGTGTGTGTGTGTGTGTGTGTGTGGTGTGTGTGTGTGTGTGCTGTGTGTACTATATATATCCTAATGCTCAACTGTGGATCTCTATTGCTCTTTCAACTGATTGTATTTTTATTTGTATACTTTAATAATTAAAGAATAGATTTTTAAGAGTCGCAAAATACACCTTGTTGTACTTGCAAAATCACATTAATGTTATTCTATTTAATTGTATTATACGAGCGCTCCTTGGCAATCGACAATCTTAGATCCAACAATGCTCATTAAATATGTAAAATAGGAAAATCATGCGTGTAAGAAAGTAATTAGAAAGTATAACAGATTCTGGGTCTATGTAATGGAGCTCCAAACCGACAGTAAAGGGATCTCAGATGAGGCAAACATTGAAACCAAATATTGTTTCTTTGATGCCATGCAATGTTTACCTGATTACATAAGTATCATTACCTCAAATAAATGTCTAAAAGTTTATCTTATGAAATCTATTTTGTATATCTTGTGTCAAACAGGGAGAGGATGGGAAGTCTGGGTCTGCTGGGCATGATGGAAAACCTGGAAAGGAGGTAAGACTTTATTACTTTTCTTTTTGTAAAGATTAACTTTATAATTGTATCCATTGAATTTGCATATAGGCAAATAAAAACTGTGTAAACCTTTGTATTCTAACCCAACTTGAAGTCAATTAAGTGTATTTTCAAAGCCTTGAATACTGAACTGTATTTCTTTATTGTGACTTCAAAAGGAAAAATGCAAGTTGGTATTTTCCGCAGCTTCTTAAGTCTACAGCAGGGGTGTCAAACGTAAGGCCCGGGGACCAAATCCGGCCCGCGACTTCATTTTATGTGGCTCGCAAAGAATATAATACGTTTATTACATGGTTACATGCTACTTTACAGTATATCTATTGTTATGGAAATCTAAAAACCCCAATACTGTAGAGTACAAGTCAGAAAACAAATAAATGGTGAACCAGACAGAGTTGTCTTTCTGGTGATGTTTATTCGAACAAACATCAGATACAATAAAATATAGACACAGGTCTCATAGAGTATAGGATAGTCTGCGCGAGTGTGTGCAGTTCAATATAGTAGCAAAGCTTATATAGTAGAAATTATGAGAAGGTAAGAAATCTGTCTTCACACGGTCACATTGTTATTAGACACCTGGCCTTGAGCTGTAGAAGTTCTCGTGTGACTTTGTGTGAGTCTCAACTCAGTAGCCAAAACAGCTCTGTGGCCTTGAAGTAGGATAGATAGAGCAAACAGCACATCTAAACCAAATGAGAAGCATTTGGTTTTAACATATCAGGATATAATAAAATGTCCACTACACTATATATGTTCAATTCAATTAATTTCTTATTTTATAGTTATTTATCATTTTTAATTTTTATCTTTGATTTATCCTTAATTTTATTAATCTGTGTGAATCTGTGCTGTCCTGTTTTTCAATCTCACCCGTTGCTGTTAAACTACTGAATTTCCCCATGGGGATAAATAAAGCTCCATCTTATTTTTATCTTATCTTAAAGAAACACGTTGCCCATAAACTACATGTCTGAAGAGACTTGCAATTATTCTGCTTTCAGACGTAGTTAATTATGAAGTTATTATCCTATCCAATACTAATCCAATGCAGAGGCAATAATATAATTGAATACATTATTTTGTACATATTTATATATGTATATTTATATAGTTACAACCGGCCCTTTGAGTGCAACCACAATGCTAATGTGGCCCACGATGAAATTGAGTTTGACACTCCTGGCCTACAGTATATCACACACAGGTAAAAAAGTTGCTACTTCATATTTAAAAAGTATGCAATCCAGAGAAATAACCTTAAAATGCTTACCTCAGATGTCCTCTTGGCATTTCATCTGTTAAAGTATTATGTGTCCCCACAGCAAACATTTGTCTTCCCTTTTAAAAACCTATATGCCATTCCTTTCTAATGCAGAATCCATTTATTACTCACCCAGTCTCTGTGAATAACCATATTTCTGCCTGGAACCAATCCTCAAGTGATGGAAGGAATGCAGATACAACTCCTCCTGAGATTAAAACAGGTCTTGGACAGAATTCAAAATGTGCAGCACCGTATTTAATCACGCATGAAAGGCTAGATCTCCATTAGCAGCAGAGTAACACTTTGAAGCACTGCAGCTATATCCTTTTTTTAAGTTGTGCGGAAGTCTTACACCACATATCTTCACAGAGTGACACCAGAAATCCCTCTCACATACACATTTTAAGGCTGCAGCACTTTTGTCCCCCCATTTGTCTGGTGGCAGGACACCCATCGTGCTGCTGCGGGGTTTAGAGACAAAAGGTTCTTGCAGCATGACTCAGGAAATAAGAATATATTTCCCACCTCTATTCAGAATAAAAGTACGAGATTAAACTCACGGTAAACGCTGTTTTCCAATAAATATTAAAATGTTAAAGCTTGTAGTTTCCCTCCACAAGCTTTAAAGACGACACATGTTTAAGTCCTTTTGTTTTCATCTTAAAAAAGAGCAGTAGTGGAAGAAGAACTTAAAGAGGCCCTATTGGAGTTTTCCCTAAGAGGCGGGACATATTTGAGCTGTTGACCAATCACAACAGAGCCGGCCAGCTAACCAATCAGAGCAGACTGGGCTCTGGTTTCAGACTGGACTCTTTAAAGTAGAGACACTACATACTGATATACACCTGAACATCAGCAGGAGAGGACTCTTTAAAGTAGAGACACTACATACTGATATACACCTGAACATCAGCAGGAGAGGACTCTTTAAAGTAGAGACACTACATACTGATATACACCTGAACATCAGCAGGAGAGGACTCTTTAAAGTAGAGACACTACATACTGATATACACCTGAACATCAGCTGGAGAGGACTCTTTAAAGTAGAGACACTACATACTGATATACACCTGAACATCAGCTGGAGAGGACTCTTTAAAGTAGAGACACTACATACTGATATACACCTGAACATCAGCAGGAGAGGACTCTTTAAAGTAGAGACACTACATACTGATATACACCTGAACACCAGCAGGAGAGTACTCTTTAAAGTAGAGACACTACATACTGATATACACCTGAACATCAGCAGGAGAGGACTCTTTAAAGTAGAGACACTACATACTGATATACACCTGAACATCAGCAGGAGAGGACTCTTTAAAGTAGAGACTCTACATACTGATATACACCTGAACATCAGCAGGAGAGGACTCTTTAAAGTAGAGACTCTACATACTGATATACACCCTGAACATCAGCAGGAGAGGACTCTTTAAAGTAGAGACACTACATACTGATATACACCTGAACATCAGCTGGAGAGGACTCTTTAAAGTAGAGACACTACATACTGATATACTCCTCAACATCAGCAGGAGAGGACTCTTTAAAGTAGAGACACTACATACTGATATACACCTGAACATCAGCAGGAGAGGACTCTTTAAAGTAGAGACACTGTATACTGATATACACCTGAACATCAGCTGGAGAGGACTCTTTAAAGTATAGACACTACATACTGATATACACCTGAACATCAGCAGGAGAGGACTCTTTAAAGTAGTGACACTACATACTGATATACACCTGAACATCAGCTGGAGAGGACTCTTTAAAGTAGAGACACTACATACTGATATACTCCTCAACATCAGCAGGAGAGGACTCTTTAAAGTAGAGACACTGTATACTGATATACACCTGAACATCAGCTGGAGAGGACTCTTTAAAGTATAGACACTACATACTGATATACACCTGAACATCAGCAGGAGAGGACTCTTAAAGTAGAGACACTACATACTGATATACACCTGAACATCAGCAGGAGAGGACTCTTTAAAGTAGAGACACTACATACTGATATACACCTGAACATCAGCAGGAGAGGACTCTTTAAAGTAGTGACACTACATACTGATATGAACCTGAACATCAGCAGGAGAGGACTCTTTAAAGTAGAGACACTACATACTGATATACACCTGAACATCAGCTGGAGAGGACTCTTTAAAGTAGAGACACTGTATACTGATATACACCTGAACATCAGCTGGAGAGGACTCTTTAAAGTAGAGACACTACATACTGATATACACCTGAACATCAGCTGGAGAGGACTCTTTAAAGTAGAGACACTACATACTGATATACACCTGAACATCAGCTGGAGAGGACTCTTTAAAGTAGAGACACTGTATACTGATATACACCTGAACATCAGCTGGAGAGGACTCTTTAAAGTAGAGACACTACATACTGATATACACCTGAACATCAGCTGGAGAGGACTCTTTAAAGTAGAGACACTACATACTGATATACACCTGAACATCAGCAGGAGAGGACTCTTTAAAGTAGAGACACTACATACTGATATACACCTGAACATCAGCTGGAGAGGACTCTTTAAAGTAGAGACACTACATACTGATATACACCTGAACATCAGCAGGAGAGGACTCTTTAAAGTAGTGACACTACATACTGATATACACCTGAACATCAGCAGGAGAGGACTCTTTAAAGTAGAGACACTATATACTGATATACACCTGAACATCAGCAGGAGAGGACTCTTTAAAGTAGAGACACTACGTACTGATATGAACCTGAACATGAGCATAAAAGCACCTTTTAAGTAAAGTAGCACTGCCAAATGTAAAAATAATCTGTTGCAGGTAGCATTCCTGCTTTCAAAATCCTACTTAAGTAAAAGTACAAAAGTATCGGCATGAAAATATACCTAAGTACCAAAAGTAAATGTACTGTACTCTGTATGCAGAGTGCATTAATGTGTTCATAACAGCTCATAATGGTGGAACTAATAAGAATAATTGTATTAATGCTGCCGGATATTCTTACCGTTAGTTATTTGTTAATAATAAAACTAATTTGTAAGCACTTTTTACAGGAGCTCAAAGTCTCTTTACAGAGGTAGTAAAAAAAGGACAACAAATAAATATAGTAAAAGTCACATTAAAATCGAACAATAAAACAACAATCACACATTAAAAGCCAGTTTGAAGAGGTGAGGTTTTGTGCGTTTTTTGAAGATGGTGAGGTCATCGTCTATCGTCTATTCGATTTATATTTTGTATTAGCCCATAATATAAATCTGAAAGTAAGAAGTAGAAAGTGGCATGAGAAGAAATACTGCTTTAATAGTTCCCCAACATTGAGCCTAAGTACAACACTTGAGTAAATGTACTTCATTAAATTCCACCCCTGTAAAACACATACTAACACTGTCTGTGTTTCTGTTGCAGGGCTCTATGGGAACTCCAGGCAGAGAAGGACTTATTGGACCAAGAGGAGAAAACGGTGGGTCGTTTTGAATCACCTGCAGACAGGAGAAACAGCACAGTGTCAGGCAGACGGATAGATACAGACATAAAGTGGCACTCAAGTCGTTTCTCTTGCTGTCCTTACACATTCTCATCCTGTCCGTTTTGTTTCTCCCTCTCCATCCCAGGGCAAGCCAGGTGAACCGGGTCCATCGGGGAAATCAGGACTCCCTGGAACTCCTGTGAGTTATCTTTTACTACTTACATTATCTTAAATTATGCAACAGACACGTGGATGGCTGACATACAATAGAAACACCAAAACACTGCACTGTTTCACCACATAGCAACCTTTAAATAATAACAAACAAATGAATGACAGTGAACATAATTGTACGGAAGTCCTGAAATGCCAACTGTACTGTAAGAACAACTCATTTTGTTGATCTATTGTCCGTATCAAAGGAATCTGTTTTTTTAATGTTTTTTATGATTTTAAGAATAGTTGAAAAATAATAATGTGGGAACAAATAAGTTTTTTTTTTGTTGGCCACAAGATATCCTAAATGGGACTAACAAAATATTAACGCTGATGAATAGTTATTTCTTTAAACGAAATAAATTGATTTGATGTTACATAACTTTAACACGCAACATATGTATCTTGTTTTTGAGTGCATGTAGAAATTGCAATTAACCTGGAAGAAGTATCCTTTGTCTTATTGGTGAAGTTGTGAATTTCAGCCCCTTGTGGCCAACATGAGTATTACATCAACAAATATCTGTTACCACAAAAGGGTAGCAGAAATATTATCCTGGCAAAAAAACTTTTTTCACCTGTTTTTAAATCATACACACAGGAGAACAAATAACAACATTCAGATCACAACATGTTTTTTCTTATACTTGCCTCTCAGGGCTTCCATACATTAAATACAGGAGAGCTAATAGAATAAATAGAGCCTGCAGGGACTGTGTGTGGGATGTATCTGAAGGTGAGAGGAGGGTGTGAAGTATTTCTGGAGGAGATGAGTTGTCACCTGATGATGAAAGATGGGAGTAAATGTTGTCCTGACCTGGCAGGAACATCACCTCCCAGTGGGGGGGTCGGGGTCGAACGAGTTCACCGTGTTGTTGCCAGTAGAAGAAAACTGACTGACTGCCAAGTAATATCAGAGCACTGGGAACAGGTGGGAGGAGAGCATCTTCACAGGGAACAAGGTGTAATATGGCCTCGGCATGATGGGATTTAATAAGTGCATCTATAGAGAACTATTTATGTCGAATCCCTGGTGACAGAGAGTCTGAATTATATGATGATGCAGAATGAAGGGCATTTGGGGATAGCGATTGCCGCATGTCTCAGGGGGAAAACCAGGACTTTATTTAGAGATAGGAGAAAGAATAAAAGGGGATTAACGTGGCACCTTTACACCTGGCATTACCTGTAATCAATGTGGGTGGCATTGATTGAAAAATGCAACTAATCCAATGGTAAATACTTCCAAGTAATAATGAAGATTTAATCACCAGAACTTTAGAGAGTGGCCAGAACATAGCAATCGCTGGTGGTTTTGTAGAGAGCATAGATTACAGATTAAGGCGGTTTTATGACAAGGTAAAGTGGTACAAATATTCAAAAATAAATACATTTAAATAATTATTTTCACTATCTTGTAGTATTGGGTTCAGGACAGCTTTACTTTGAAATCAGCAAGCAGTCAAGCAGACCATTGTGTTGCCAACATTTGTGACAATTTATAAAAAGATAATTTTAGAAATTGGGATTAAAAACCATATCAGCAAGCGCCGTGCACAACTCTTTATTTCTGATCATTTTTAAAGCTACTTGTGTAATAAGAGCTTTACACGTGTCCTTTCAAAGAGCTGTCCTATTCCTCATTAAGCTTTAGGAGCTCCTTATGTACTCTCAAATGTTTCTGAGCTCACAGAAGAGGTTCATTAAAGTCAGCGAGGGTTCGGTGATTACTGAGTTTATTGGGTGACACTGGCTCCAGGGATGATGAGGAGGAGGAGGAGGAGGAGGAGGAGGAGGAGGAGGAGGAGGAGGAGGAGGAGGAGGAGGAGGAGGAGGAGGAGGAGGAGGAAGGCAGAGGTCAAGGTGATAGATATAGAATGTCACAGAGATAACAAGAGATAGTGGGACCTGAGTGTGAGGAGAATATTACATTTGGACTGAAATGGAAGGAGCTATACACTTCTTCGGGGAGAGCAGGGGTGTCCGAACTACATTTTGAAATGGCCTCAGCTAATTAAAAAAGCATAATAAAATATGGCCCACAAATAAAACTTGTGCTTGTCTTATATTGTACTTCTGAAATATTTATACGTGAAGAAAAAGCCCAATAACTTAATTACACACCAAGCTTGAAATAGACCCTTCATATTTCCCCTTTTTATAAGCAATCTGAGGCTTCTGTTTTAAGGAAAGAGCTTTTAACTAAATAAATGAAACCCTAAAGGAGAGCTATTTGTGTTTCTTAAAGCATTTTCAAGTATCAAGAATAATTTGCCTACATTTGATTGATGTTGCTCACTTATAACTAGGGCTGTCCCGAATACCATTTTTCGGGCTCCGGATATTCGGTAGTAATCAGCAGGGAACCGCTTCAACACGTGTATTTCGGTTTATTCACGGCATTCATTTAGTTATTCTACAGTATTGTTGTTTTATAGTTATTTGTTAATGTAACCCAATTTGTGTTCTTTGGAATTGAAAAGGATATCACATTGCGTTTGTTATTTTCGTTGCAGTTGTATATGTCTTAAGTGTAATTTGGCTTGGCTTCCTATTTTGTATGGACATGCTTTTATTTTGAAGGACAGTTAGCGCTGTTGACAGGAAGTTGTTGTTGCTATGGAAACAACGGGACGGAGATTAATGGAGAAAAAGTTATATCTACTTATAAAGACGGAGAAAGTAAAAGATAACGTTTATGGTTAAGTGTTAGCACCCTCCGAAGAGGCACAAGCTCTTACGTTGATATTGGAGATTTCAATAAATTCAATTTGGAAAAGAAAAAAAACGAATAACGAAATTGAAACCCGAATAGTACTCCAACGAACAAATATTCGGATATTCGGGTACAGTCCTACTTACATGTATAACTCACTTTATGAAGCAATACACCTCTAGTGAGCGGCCCAGCCCTTCGTATATTTTTCTGTATGTGGCCCTCGGTGAAAAGAGTTTGGACACCCCTGGATTAGAGGAAGGTTTCTCAGGAGGAAGAGGAGGAAGTTACTGCAGGGTGGATGATACGCTGCCAGCTATCAGAGAGGCGAGGATACAATCAGTCAGCAGAGGGAGCAGATGATCAGAAATAGCCTGGAGGAGGCAGAGAGGCTGGGAGAAGAGATGGATATAGATTTCAGCGGAGGAGAGAGGAGGTATTTAGAGGAAGGGTCAGATGTTTACCACACAGAGAGAGGAGGAGGTAGTGAAGCAGAAGAGGTAGTTTCAACGATATACAGATCAGTATGGAAGCTCACAGAGGACTTTCAAAATGCAAATGTAATTTCTTAAAAGAATCAACTTTCCTAAATATTAAAAAAAAACATTACTAAAGGAAAAAAGTGGTCAGCATTTTATTTTAAGTTGTATTTCAAATGTTTTAATTTTACATTCAAATTAAACAATTTAAATGTATAACAATAAATGAAATAAATACAAATGAAAACAGCATTAGACATTTCATTCTCAGACCTAACCTGCATTACAAAATATTGAATTTTAAGTAATTTGAATATAAAAAATGCGATTGTTGCAAGCACTACTTAAGTGACAATGTTCTAACTATTAGAAAATGAAATTTAAAACAGCATTACACAATTGTCAAAGACTTATCCTGCCTTATTGTGTCGAATATTAACATGTATGTTATTTGAAAGTTAAAATAAAAGGTAGCCTAATGTGCTTATTAAGGTCACAATTAAAATTAAAATGCAAATTACTAAGAACTTTAAAATTCAAATTAAAACATCATTTTACTTTTAACCTGCTCTACGGTGGAATTTACTCTCCAATACATTCCTTCACTCCAGCTTGTCTTCAGACCCATGTGTCCTCTGTAGATATGAATTGTAATCTCTTCAAGCTATCATGACCTGCCACAAGATTGGTTTATGAGTTGTTTTTTATCCAGGCCACTGTAGCATGTTGATAAGAACCCCAGCTAAATGTTAGTCTTCCTGAATCCTCAGTAATGAGCGGTACTGTACATGACATGTGATGAACGGCCATTTCTCTGATGTCACACAGGGACAGAGGTGGGAAGTAGTGGAGTACAAATACTTTGTTACTGTACTTACATATATTCTTCTGGTATCAGTATTTTACTCCACTGCTTATTTTTCTGACGACTTTTTACTTTCTACTTCTTACATGTTGAACTCAAATACCTGTACTTTCTACTTCTTACATGTTGAACTCAAATACCTGTACTTTCTACTTCTTACATGTTGAACCCAAATACCTGTACTTTCTACTTCTTACATGTTGAACTCAAATACCTGTACTTTCTACTTCTTACATGTTGAACCCAAATACCTGTACTTTCTACTTCTTACATGTTGAACCCAAATACCTGTACTTTCTACTTCTTACATGTTGAACCCAAATACCTGTACTTTCTACTTCTTACATGTTGAACTCAAATACCTGTACTTTCTACTTCTTACATGTTGAACACAAATACCTGTACTTTCTACTTCTTACATGTTGAACCCAAATACCTGTACTTTATACTTCTTACATGTTGAACTCAAATACCTGTACTTTCTACTTCTTACATGTTGAACCCAAATACCTGTACTTTCTACTTCTTACATGTTGAACTCAAATACCTGTACTTTCTACTTCTTACATGTTGAACTCAAATACCTGTACTTTCTACTTCTTACATGTTGAACCCAAATACCTGTACTTTCTACTTCTTACATGTTGAACTCAAATACCTGTACTTTCTACTTCTCACATGTTGAACCCAAATACCTGTACTTTCTACTTCTTACATGTTGAACCCAAATACCTGTACTTTCTACTTCTTACATGTTGAACCCAAATACCTGTACTTTATACTTCTTACATGTTGAACTCAAATACCTGTACTTTCTACTTCTTACATGTTGAACCCAAATACCTGTACTTTCTACTTCTTACATGTTGAACCCAAATACCTGTACTTTCTACTTCTTACATGTTGAACTCAAATACCTGTACTTTCTACTTCTTACATGTTGAACACAAATACCTGTACTTTCTACTTCTTACATGTTGAACCCAAATACCTGTACTTTCTACTTCTTACATGTTGAACCCAAATACCTGTACTTTCTACTTCTTACATGTTGAACCCAAATACCTGTACTTTCTACTTCTTACATGTTGAACTCAAATACCTGTACTTTCTACTTCTCACATGTTGAACCCAAATACCTGTACTTTCTACTTCTTACATGTTGAACCCAAATACCTGTACTTTCTACTTCTTACATGTTGAACTCAAATACCTGTACTTTCTACTTCTTACATGTTGAACCCAAATACCTGTACTTTTCTACTTCTTACATGTTGAACTCAAATACCTGTACTTTCTACTTCTCTCATGTTGAACTCAAATACCTGTACTTTCTACTTCTTACATATTGAACCCAAATACCTGTACTTTCTACTTCTTACATGTTGAACTCAAATACCTGTACTTTCTACTTCTCACATGTTGAACCCAAATACCTGTACTTTCTACTTCTCACATGTTGAACACAAATACCTGTACTTTCTACTTCTTACATGTTGAACCCAAATACCTGTACTTTCTACTTCTCACATGTTGAACTCAAATACCTGTACTTTCTACTTCTTACATGTTGAACTCAAATACCTGTACTTTCTACTTCTCTCATTTTCCAAACAGCTGGTTCCTTTAGTCTGAATGTGTGTTTGGTGCGTGATCATTATTCTTTAGAGTCATTGCGTGCCTATTGATTTGAACACGATCCGTGTATCCATCATTTCCTGGTCTTCTCTAAAGAAGAGGGACCAATGGAAACGTTGTCATGTTGCCGTTGTTCAGCATGGAAACATTCATTAGCTAACAATGACATTATTGTTCTATTAATATAAAGGGAGGTCAGGTACTCTTTAAAGCAGCTGCTAGTTATGGGTACTTTTTACTGAAGTACATTTCAAAGCCTCTTTACTTTTACTTGAGTAAAGAAGTTTAGTCAGTACTTCTACTTTCACCAGAGTATTTTTAAACACGAATATCTGTACTTCTACTTGAGTAAAGGATGTGTGTACTTTTGCACAGGGAACCCGGGGAGACAAGGGAGAGCCCGGAAACCCCGGATTGCCAGGCTTTAGTGGCCCTAAAGGCCCCTCGGTGAGTGGGACATTTTATATTATTTTGTTCACATTTTATATTCAGCTCAGAAATATGACCGGCTGTTGGTAACGCCAACTTTTATCTTGATTTTCAGGGTCCATCTGGTCCAGTCGGCCCAGAGGGAAAACAGGTAAGAACCTCATAAATCTGTATATGAATAATATGATATTATATTAAGAGGTTTGTTCTTTATATGTATGTGTTTTTGTGATTTGTAGGGTATGCCAGGCAGAGTTGGTGATCATGGTACCAAGGGAGAAAAGGTGAGTTCTAGAAATGGAACCAATAGGAAAAGATCATTCGAATATGCACTTTAAATGTGCTCAAAATAGATAAAAACATGTATCCTAAGTGACTCAACAAAAGGAACCAAATGAATCAGAGTAACACACATCTAGCGGCGCATTTCCACTACAGCGCGGTTTAAGCGTGCCGTGCCCAGCCCGTTTTTTGGTTGCGTTTCCACTTGGCGTAGTTCCGGCTAGCGGGTGCTTTTTCACAGTTTTCTGGCCCTCCAAAATCGAGGTTCTTTCCGGGCCAACAACCGGGCTGAGTATGCTAAACTAGAGAGAGAATCGCTGGCAACTCCAACAAGATGAACATATTTTACCGTGATTTAATTGTAATACACGTTTCAAAATGATGCCGAAGTAACAACATACAGATACCGGTTAGTAAAAACCATGAATTAATGCTTTGACAAGTCTGCAGACAGACGGCAGGCGAAACACCCTTTTACAATGCATGTTTTCTGAATGGAGATCGGCTAAGCTAACGTTATATATGCTCCGACCGTCCACACTCACAACAACGGCCTATACAGACATAAATAAACCAGCGACTGTACTCGCCATGACACAGGCAGTCTGTGGTTTGTACTTGTTTAACTTCTGTCTAGTTTCTGAACAGATATGAGGAGCTGTGAGCTCTGAGTGCTAAGAGCTAACGGCTGATGTTGGTTTTGTGTTTTGCATTGAAGATGACGTCACGGCTCCGCCTACACTGAGTTACTATAGTTACTGCTCCAGTTCCTAAACTGTAATGGAAACGCAGCATAAAGTGAGCCAGGCCTACCAAGGCCTAACTATACCGTACTAAGCCGTGCGAGGCCCTGCAGTGGAAATGCGCCATTATATGCACTGCTACACTTAAAAACATATTAAAAGTGAATAAATGGAAACAAAATTGCATTCTTAACTCAAAATAGTAGGTACAACGAATGTGACATTTTTAAACCTTGGAATAGGATTTAAAAATATTTTTTTTAAAAATTCTATATTGAACTATTGTAATAATAATAATAACAATAAATAATTAAAATCCAGTTTAAATTAATGTGTTTGTAAGACATTAAAACCATTTAAAATTGTAATTTAAAAAATAATTAAATGCAGAAAATGAAGCATTCTAGATCTTTTTTCATCAACAGTTTACGGTATCGTTTTTAATTATTTGGTCTTGAAGTCTGAACCTGTATAATTTCTGTGATCTAACTCAGGGTGACGGTGGTACGAAGGGAGATAAAGGACATTCAGGAGAGTCAGGTATGCCCGGAAACCCCGGATCCCCCGGCAGGAAGGGCCACACGGGGATGATGGGCATGTCGGGGCCCCCGGGAGAATTGGGCGCTCCTGGGTCACAGGGACCTTCAGGAAACCCAGGGATCCCCGGACAGAGGGTGAGTTTCCTGAACACAGGGGGGAAGAAGTACTTAAGTCCATTACAAGTAAAAGTCCTGGATACAAAAGTAGAAGTAGAAGCCAAAGGTACTTCAAATATCAAAGTAAAAGTATGCAAAATGGCTACTTTAACAGTATTATAGTATAGTATCATAAAATACCATAATTCTGTATTAAAAACTAGCAAATACCTGTCTTATAGATTTAAGGTAGTAGTTTGTCAATGTTGAGCTAATGTTTAGATACTGTACTCTTGTGAAATACTGGGTTTATTAAGTTAAGCAGGAAATATCACTCTTCTTCACACATGTTTACACACAGCCCAGGAAATATAGTGGAGTTTGAGCATATTGGAGAATACTAGTATAGAAATACTCAAGTAAAGTACGAGTATGTCAACGTATTTGAGTAAATGTACTTTAAGTCCTGAGACCTTTAATGTTGATGCTACAGTAATAAGCACAGTAAAAAGCCGATTTAAGATGTAGGTATTAATACATTTGTTAAATATTATTTTTTGTGTGTGTCAGGGAGAGTCGGTATCACTGGAGCAGATGAGACGCCTCATCCAGGAGGAGCTGTCCAAACAGTTAGATGGTGAGGACGAGATTTTTTATATGTGTCTCTTCTTTCTGTAAGATTTGTATATAAGATGACATAATACTTATACTGTCTGTTATGTGTGATTGCACCATGCTTGGAGTTTCGTTGTGCTCTGTGTAGTGACAATAAAGGAATCTAATCTAATAATCTTTTCTTTTGTGTCCAGCCAAAATGGCCTACCTAATGGCTCAGTTGCAGCCGGCCCATGTGAAGAGTACTGCCGGCCGCCCAGGACCCCCTGGTCCTTTAGGAAAGGAAGGATCTTCTGGACGCCCGGGACCCCCTGGAGAGTCTGGTATGCCCGGACAGAACGGAGGAGAAGGATCCAGGGGACCCTTGGGCCCTAGAGGTAGGACAAAGACTAAAACAGCACTTTATTTCATGCTCTGTGCTTATTAAAGGTCACCTATTATGCTAAATCCACTTTTGGCGACTTTATGATGTCATAACGATGTTTTGTCTTGTGTAACCATTAGCCAATCAGCAACCAAGGTAACCCCCCCCCTCCTTATCACCTGAATCTCCTCCTAGAGCACCATTGAGTTCTTTGTAACCAAATGTCTCTCAGAGGGGCGTGGGGAGGTGCTCCTTATTTTCATCTAAAGTAACAGACAGAGAATCAGCACTTTGGAAACAGGGCTGAAACAGAGGAGATTATGGGTAATGCTGCAATGATCTGTTTGGTGTTTCAGCCAATCAGAGACAGGCTCTGTATATATCTGAGACCTGTAATATATTGATGAAAAACAGTATGATAGGGGACCTTTAAATCCTGAACTCGATTACATGTATTTCTACCATCTATAAGATTCCTCGCAGTGTCTTATTCTGATTTGTATTCATAGGTTGTGACACACTGTTTCTGAACGTAGCCAAGTGTTAAAAATCTGTGTCTCTGGGAATACAGAAAGCTGTTTCACTGGCAATACTGATCGCAGTCATAACGGCTATTTTTAGCATGTCATGCACACACATGTAGCGCTGTGTGTGTGAATGCATATAAATAAGAGCAGTTTTGAAATGTCCAATCGTGTCAAAACAACGGGTTATGGGTTATTTAAGGTGAACTGACTATATCTAAATGCGATGTCCTGAAATCCTGTCATGACCGTGAGGTTGCCAGGCAACCAGCAGACTCTCAAGGAAGTGGTTGGCCAAGAAATATAATCTGTAACCCCCCGCCCCCCATCAAACCACATCTTGTTTTTCACACTGCGGTTTCAACAAACAAACCCGATCCGTGCTGCATCCATTCCATTAAACATGCATGAGTTGTTTTAACTCAGCTGATATCATCTGAGTTGTTTTTTACACACTTGACATTTTTTACTCCAGAGCTGCATACGATATTATAGCCTCCATTAGTTCACAGGCAGGGTAACACTATCATAGACACAGTGATTTAGTTTTGACATTAAAACCAGCGGAGTTTGCATTTTAAGTTGACTTTTGTCACCCTGAGATAGCTAAAATAAAGTTGTGCAGAGACAGCTTTAAAGGCTTGGTACACACACACACACACACACACACACACACACACACACACACACACACACACACGCACACACACACACACACACACACACACACACATACCATGTATACATCACTTCAGGGGACATTACATTGACTTACATGCATTTCCTGGAGACTTATCCTAACCTTAACCATAACCAACACATGCCTAACCCTAACCCTTACCCTTAACCTTAACCTTACCCTAATCCTAAACCTAACCAAGTATTCACCCTAAAATTAATGATTCCCCTTATGGGGACCTCCAATTTGTCCCCATAAGGGAGGCGAGTCCCCACACGTGACTATGTAAACAGATTTAGGTCCCCACAAGTATAGTAATGCTAGACCACACACACACACACACACACACACACACACACACACACACACACACAAAATAATGCTCAAGGTTGTAACAAGTGTTGATTAATAGATTTAACAGCTTTGAATGTGCAGAAATCACAAAACATATATTTTTTTCAAACTTCCAGGTGAGAAAGGAGGAAGAGGAGAAAAGGGCGAAGCTGGAGTCGGCGACAGAGGAGAACAAGGACCCGTCGGCCCCATAGGTAATGATTAATCTCTTTCTCTTTGTATACAATATTATTATGCGGTTGGTTTTACCCAATTTGGAGCCCCAGATTCAGATAAACTCAACTCTTGGATGTCCAGATCTTGGAACAATTCATAAACATGAAGATAAACAAGGGACCACCAGGGAAGGATTGATACTTTTAAGTGTGAAAAAAACTTTTATGGGATCAGAATTATCCTAATTTCTGTGTAACTGTTGCCCCTCTTTGGTATTTCCAGCTAGGTCTGGTTTATTTCATGGGATAAATAATCTCTATTAGTCTATGTTGATGCTTTTTAATACAAATCCTGCACCTTTATTACATTAAAAGCACAACAAAATTAAGTATTTTGAACGTGGATTAGATAATGGCGTTCCACCTGGCACCCTATGTGGCCCATTGAACTTTAAAGGTCCCCTATTGTGCAAAATCCACTTGTTCATGTCTCTTCTACATCAACATGTGTCCCCTCTTCTTCATGTCTCTTCTACATCAACATGTGTCCCCTCTTCTTCATGTCTCTTCTACATCAACATGTGTCCCCTCTTCTTCATGTCTCTTCTACATCAACATGTGTCCCCTCTTCTTCATGTCTCTTCTACATCAACATGTGTCCCCTCTTCTTCATGTCTCTTCTACATCAACATGTGTCCCCTCTTCTTCATGTCTCTTCTACATCAACATGTGTCCCCTCTTCCTCATGTCTCTTCTACATCAACATGTGTCCCCTCTTCTTCATGTCTCTCTACATCAACATGTGTCCCTTCTTCTTCATGTCTCTTCTACATCAACATGTGTCCCCTCTTCTCCATGTCTCTTCTACATCAACATGTGTCCCCTCTTCCTCATGTCTCTTCTTCATCAACATGTGTCCCCTCTTCCTCATGTCTCTTCCACATCAACATGTGTCCCCTCTTCTTCATGTCTCTTCTACATCAACATGTGTCCCCTCTTCTTCATGTCTCTTCTACATCAACATGTGTCCCCTCTTCTTCATGTCTCTTCTACATCAACATGTGTCCCCTCTTCTTCATGTCTCTTCTACATCAATATGTGTCCCCTCTTCTTCATGTCTCTTCTACATCAACATGTGTCCCCTCTTCTTCATGTCTCTTCTACATCAACATGTGTCCCCTCTTCTTCATGTCTCTTCTACATCAACATGTGTCCCCTCTTCTTCATGTCTCTTCTACATCAACATGTGGTCCCCCTCTTCTTCATGTCTTCTACATCAACATGTGTCCCCTCTTCTTCATGTCTCTTCTACATCAACATGTGTCCCCTCTTCTTCATGTCTCTTCTACATCAACATGTGTCCCCTCTTCTTCATGTCTCTTCTACATCAACAGTGTCCCCTCTTCTCCATGTCTCTTCTACATCAACATGTGTCCCCTCTTCTTCATGTCTCTTCTACATCAACATGTGTCCCCTCTTCTTCATGTCTCTTCTACATCAACATGTGTCCTCTCTTCTTCATGTCTCTTCTACATCAACATGTGTCCCCTCTTCTTCATGTCTCTTCTACATCAACATGTGTCCCCTCTTCTTCATGCCTCTTCTACATCAACATGTGTCCCCCTCTTCTTCATGTCTCTTCTACATCAAGATGTGTCCCCTCTTCCTCATGTCTCTTCTACATCAACATGTGTCCCCTCTTCTTCATGTCTCTTCTACATCAATATGTGTCCCCTCTTCTTCATGTCTCTTCTACATCAACATGTGTCCCCTCTTCTTCATGTCTCTTCTACATCAACATGTGTCCCCTCTTCCTCATGTCTCTTCTTCATCAACATGTGTGCCCTCTTCTTCATGTCTCTTCCACATCAACATGTGTCCCCTCTTCTTCATGTCTCTTCTACATCAACATGTGTCCCCTCTTCTTCATGTCTCTTCTACATCAACATGTGTCCCCTCTTCTTCATGCCTCTTCTACATCAACATGTGTCCCCTCTTCTTCATGTCTCTTCTACATCAAGATGTGTCCCCTCTTCCTCATGTCTCTTCTACATCAACATGTGTCCCCTCTTCTTCATGTCTCTTCTACATCAATATGTGTCCCCTCTTCTTCATGTCTCTTCTACATCAACATGTGTCCCCTCTTCTTCATGTCTCTTCTACATCAACATGTGTCCCCTCTTCTTCATGTCTCTTCTACATCAACATGTGTCCCCTCTTCTTCATGTCTCTTCTACATCAACATGTGTCCCCTCTTCTTCATGTCTCTTCTACATCAACATGTGTCCCCTCTTCTTCATGTCTCTTCTACATCAACATGTGTCCCCTCTTCTCCATGTCTCTTCTACATCAACATGTGTCCCCTCTGTGGAAAGAGACTCTGAAAGTTTCAGGAACAAAGATTCTCTCTCTTTTTGATCCATTTCTATAAAAACCTGTCTGAAAATGAGCTGATCAGATTTTGGCCACTTTATGATGTCATAACGTTTCTTTGTCTTGTGTAACCATTAGCCAATCAGCAACCAAGGTAACCCCCCCCCCACCTTATCACCTGAATCTCCTCCTAGAGCACCATTGTGTTATTTTTAACCAAATGTCTCTCAGAGGGGCGTGGGGAGGGGCTCCTTATTTTCATCTAAAGTAACAGACAGAGAATCAGCACTTTGGAAACAACAGCCAGAGACAGGTTCTGTATATATCTGAGACCTATAACTTATTGATGAAAAACAGTATAATAGGGACCTTTAAGTCACAATTGTTCTTCTTCCTGCTTTAGGTCCAGCCGGTCTGCCTGGTTACGGTAAAGATGGAAGCCCAGGACAGGCAGGGACCCAGGGAGAGCCAGGGAACCCCGGACCTCATGGTCAAACTGGTCCTTCAGGTCCTACTGGCCAATGTGACCCGACCCAGTGTGCCTACTACGCCAGCCTGGCACAAAGACCCCACACCAAAAATGTCAAGGGGACTTAAGTAAGAAGAGTCACAAAGAGCGGCTGTATTTATGAACTTGGTCAGAATCAAGAACTTTTTCAAGATAACCTCAGTACGGAGGGCTGAAGCAATATGTGCTGCCGGTCAGATTCTTAGTTTTGTGTTTTTGGTAAGGGGGATTAAGCATCAAGAGACTTTTTCACATTTCATATGGGGGTAAAGAGGGCAGCTAAGCAGGTTTTTCACTACCATGCTTCATGTAGGGAGATACCAATGATGAAACTCCCTCCTCTAAAACCCCATATCAGGAGGTAAGATTCGGGAGTGTGATATTGTAGCGTTACATCAGTAATCATGTTAAAAAAAGTTCAGCTTTTCTTCGATTTCTCGCAGGATAATGTCTGCACCATGGGTTTTCCTTTCTCTGCCTTACACCACTTTGCATCAGTTACCATTCACATCCACTGTCCTACATTTAAGCAATAGTTGTCAGGTACTGCTCACTAAATTGATCTCTTGCTGTGAGTCTATTGGTAATTACTCAGCCAGGGGAAATATCTGCTCTATTGTCGTTGATGACGAAGGGGGAGGACAGACTCACTCAAATTTAAAATAGTGATTTTGTGTAGGAGTGTTAACGAGTTAGTGTCAAGAGTGATGGATGACCACTTTTATTCACTTCTTGCTTCCAAGCATCTAGCAGTGTTCTTATTTGGCCTCGTTTTTTATCCAAAAACATGTGGAAAATGTAATTACTTTTAGAAAAACAACCACTCCCTTTTTAAAAGTTGAATGTAGATGCAATGTGATCTTTTAGACAGTAGCAGAGCAAGCATCAGCATATTGCTTCTGTCACAACTCAAACATTAAATCCTTGGAAACGTTTTTTGGAGAGATTTGCAGGTTCCATAATTCAATTGATTTGCCTTAAGAAAATGCAGCACACACACAACCCACACCAGGGCCGGACTGGGACAATAAGTCAGGCCGGGAGTTATACACCCAGCCAGGCCACTACCAGTTTTATTTGTCAATTTTTACAGCGTTGCTGCCCATAGTGATAGCCCTCTAAATCTACTACCCAAAAATAAACATATGGACATGGGTTACTATTTAAAAAAAATTGCAAATCTATTTAGGAACCTATGTGAACATATTTTAAGTGGGGGTGGACTTCAAATCCTATAGGGGGGTCCGGGGGCATTCTCCCCCGGTAAGATTTGTTTTATTAAATGTTGGACTTAAATGCATCAATCTGGTGCACTTTGAGGGGGAAATAAAGAAACAACACCCATATGAAACATAACTGTATACATTTAAATAATCATAAAATCATAAAAACATGGCCATAACCAATATGAAAAAACATTGAAACTTGTTTATTTATTTGTTTTTGGTTCATTTATAGTTGTGAGTGTGTCTGTGCTCCTGAACCAGCCTCTCCTGTCTCCCCCCTTTCCCCCTGCTCCTCTTTGAGGCAGCAGCAAAGACTAGTTTTAGCTCTCAACAAGTTTTAATAGTTTATCTTGCCTTTTTTCACCTAGTTAATGTTTTTATTATTATTATTCATGCATATTTTACTAATCACTCCCCCCTCAAATGGAAATATGTGTTTACATAAATGGTGACCAAACCGTTTGAGACCCACAGAGATAACTTGGACTAAGTTAACTATCTAAACACTCAGAGAGTCCTTTACCTCACCTGAGCTGTAGTTATAAGTCTCTCAGTCTGACTGGAGAGGACTCTCCTCCACCTTGTTCTTGAAAAAGCTCCTTATATCCGTTAGCGCAGCTAGCTAGCACCAGATGCTAACAACAACAATACACGTAACCGGTGCGTGCTAGTGATGGGAATTCCGGCTCTTCTTGGTGAGCCGGATCATTTGGCTCGGCTCACCAATAAGAGCCGGCTCTTTCGGCTCCCAAACGGCTCTTCAGTTTACCACTTATTATACCTTTTAATTAAATCAAATGTAGCCCTGTTTTGACTAATGATTTATATGTGTACACACATATCACTTAAATTATTCAATACATCCTTTGTATTGAAGTATTCAAAAGTAAAAATGACATGTTTAATATAAATGATTTGCTGTGGCCAATTGTTTTCATTGCATTTACAGACCCGTGTAACTCTCCGATACCACCCAATGAATGCATTGACTTGCTTGTAGAACCACGCTACACAAAACAGATAGCAACACCTATAAAAACTATTTTAAAAAAGGGGGCTACTCTATCGACCTATATAAAGTATATAAATATAGTTGTTTTTTTCAAAATACCAAAAAGATCCTGCATTTTAGCCATGCCTCATTTCGCTCTATTTGCTCTTTCCAGCGCTGTTTTTGCAGGGGGCTGATTCTGTGAGCTGCAGCTGACCACGCCCCCCTGCAGGAGAGGGGAGCGTGCTTTGAGATCAGCTGCTAGGCTGCAGCGGGGAGAAGAGGGGGACAAAAAGAGATCTCCGTCCTCCGTGTTTTATTCTTATAGAAGTAACGGGGCAGAAACCCTCCTTTTTACGCAGCGGTCCAGACATAGACATCAAACGGCGACATATTCAGTTGCCAGTTCCTTTGGCATTAGGGCAGGGATATCTAGATACTTTTCAAGGTCTGACATCATGAATTGTGCTACTTTTAAAGCAAGCAACGATGTTTTCAAATATGTAATCAAAAAGCTCCTCAAAAACACTATTGAAGCAGTTCCTGCCGTTGCTACGTTAGTTCAAACAGTAACAACGGACTACTTTTCTTAGCGGATGCATGTCAATTTAAATCAATACATAAAACTATTTTTTAAATCAATAAAATCATTTTCTAAATCCATAAAAGCATTTAAATTAATATTGGGAGTCATGTCGTTACTTTGTTGAGAATGTGGCCATGTAATAAGCGGGATGATGTGCACATTGCATAATGTGCCTTCATGCCGATCTAGATCCCTCCGCAAAAACAAAACAAAAAACGGCTCGTTCGCGGGCGAGAGCCGGCTCCCGTCGTTCACTTAAAAGTTTGCGACCGACACATCACTAGTGCGTGCGCTTTGTCTCACTCGCTCGCGCCACACATACACTAACACACACCCTCCCGAGCTTGAATGACACACAGAGACCAATCGAGGGCATTAGTACGATCTGTATGAAAGTGGCCAAGTCGGCAGGCCACATCATACAGCCAGTCACACTCTGTGAGGCAGAGTCAGACGAGTCAGACCCACATTTGCGCAGCGTTGCGTTCACAATACATACATAAAAAAAAAATCCTCAGGCCAGCAGGCCACTTAGCAGGCAGGCCATCGGGAAACCTCCCGGTCCTCCCGATGGCCAGTCCGGGCCTGACCCACACTATGAATCATATTGTGAGATGTTTGTATTACTTAAAGGTATATTTGAAGTGAAAGTCATTTGAATGTGCTTGAATTATGTGCGAGATGGTTATAAAATGATATTTTTGCATTATTCAGCTCACCCGCATAGTTACGTTTAGAAAGAAAGACAAAAGTTGACACAGAAAAACATGTCTTTGTTAGATTTGTACTCCTATGTTTAATGAAGTGGCTCTGGTCTTTCTCTTTCTGTGGGTGCATAGACCGGAGCAGTAAACAGCTTTTGAGGAGGAGGTATAATTGAAGCCTTTGTTCACCTTTCTTGAAAAGCTGCTTGTTTCTCAGCGCTTGCTCTAAATGTGTCACTTCCTTTTGGTCCGGTGAGGCTTATTAAGTGCCTGAGCTGCTTTTTTGTTTTTTGTCCCTGGAACCTAAAATTGGAGAGTTGCATCCCTGAATCTTGATGACCGCCAGACTCTTTGTGCTAACCATTTGAAAGATGTTTGGCCTTTTTGTCCCTCGTGGACCAATTACACTTCTCCCCAAGTCTCACTTGTGTTGCTCATGTAAAACGATGTAATAGCCTCTATCCTATTCTATTATAAGGAACTACAACCATGATAGCAAAAGTGATACGAGGGATTCATCTCCAAGAAGATAATATAGACATGTTATAACAGTATTACTAACAGGTCAAAGTTTATCTTTCGCATACTCATTTTTACTTGCACAAGTTACCAAATGTAAGGTCACCAATAAAAAAGTGAAGTTAAAACAACTTAGTTTTGAAGATGTTGGTAAAGTGTTTTTGCTGCTCTGGAGCAATTTATTGAGTTAAAGCTAGGCTATGTTGAGGAAGAAATATCTTACAAAAAAAGTTGAAATCAGGAGCAATAAAATGAAACCTTACAAAAGTTGGTACACTCAAGTGTTTTGTAAGGACAAGCCTCCCTTGGTGCGGTACACCATCAGCTAATAGTGGTTAATAGAGTGCCACAGTGAAGCGTCCTAAAACCCGGAAGTAAGTTAGCATTTGACCACTTCCGGTTCCTTTTCTCCATAGGATTTCGGAATATATCTGGAAATAAGGTCTGTGGTTGAGACACATTCAAGAGACGGATCACGTTTTGTTCTACGACATTAAATCCATCAGCAGTGACCCCACTGGTGATTTCTGAAGAGTTGACGTGTCTGAAAAACGATGGTTGTTACCAAGTGGCTGAATAGGACTACAGAAGTTGTCGAGGTCGTTGTACGTCATTACGCCGAACAGTAAACACTCCTCTAAGTTTGTTTGCCCTGTTCTGCTTGAAAGCAAGTAGCTGCCTCCTGCAAACTGTTCAAACAAACGCTTCAACTTGTACGGTTTAGAATCTGTAGTTTGAATATGGATCTTAAGTCGGCGTGACGTTGAAGCAACGACCCTGCTGTAGTTCGTTTATAGCATAACGTTAGCATTTTGCTTCTGGCGATTAGATATATGATTAGAAAAGGATAAAAGTACTGTAGACATGTGGAGATTATCCGGCTGAACAAAACGTGATCCGTCTCTTAAATATGTCTCAACCACAGACCTTATTTCCAGCTATTTTCCAAAATCCTATGGAGAAATTGCATTGGTTTTTGACGAAGGAACCGGAAGGAGTTTACTTCCGGGTTTTAGGACGCGTCACTGTGGCACTAAAAGCTAATGTTAGCTAATAGTGGCTAAAACAAGCTTATCTTAGCTAGCATTAGCTTTTAAAGGCTAGCTCATGGTGGCTAATCAAAACTAGTGTTAGCTCATGGTGGCTAAAACAAGCTTATCTTAGCTCATGTAAAGGCTAGTTGTAGCTCCTGGTGGCTAATAAAACCTAATGTTAGCTCAGTATGGCTAATAAAAGCTATTATTAGCTCATGGTGGCTTGTAGATGCCAATGTAAGCAAAACGTTGAATTTAACATTTATAATTATCAGGTTTATCCCCAGGTGGATGTTTTTTTTAACATTTGAGCAGCTCTGCCTCTTAGAAATGTCCTTTTTATCGTCAAATGTTTGTAGCTACAGCTAAATAAATGTGTTTCATGGAAGTGTTAATGAGCTGCTTTAAATGCAATGTACACATTTACAGTCACTTCAGAATCAGTGTGCGTTCTTAAATGTGTGATTTAGAATAAGTTACCTGCTCTGTCAATGGTATCATATCATGTAATAGTAGCTTCTTTGTCAATAGTTTCTTATTGAACAATTTAAACCGTATCAGTATTGCCCTTTTTTTTGGTTGTGTAAATGCTTGTAACAGCTACCAATAGACTGTTATTGGGAGGGATGGACACACGTACAGCTTCAAATGTTGTAATACATATAAGCCAAACATCTTTAAATGTTCTAGCTAATTTAAAGTTTTTTTTAAGTTATACCGCTAAATTATTCATGATTTGAACCATTAAAATGTGTTTTAACACATTAGCCAAACTGTATTAACCTGTTTTTTCAAACCCTGTTGTCCTTATGATTAGTGCTAAAATATGTTATCATATTGTAAGTATTTGAAAGACACATGTACTGTACTGTATAATAAAGACTGGAAAGGATTCATTTTATAATACAAACTTTGCTTGGTTTGTTTGACAGCTTGTCTCAACGTTGTTTGAAAGCCTCTGCTCTGTTCTGTCCATTTTCATTAATCAATCACCTGTCTTCTGGTAAATCAAATTTCACGAACCTTGTGAACCCTTTTTACCGATGCACACAACTTCAAATCCCCTGGCGCGGAGCCACGATGGAACCTATTCAATCAAAGTGATGTCCTTGGGACGCCGGCGATGTTAACTCTGTCCCGCAGCTTGCTAAAGGTCATGTTTGATCTGTGTGTGTGTGTGTGTGTGTGTGTGGTGTGTGTTGTGTGTGTGTGTGTGTGTGTGTGTGTGTGTGTGTGTGTGTGTGTGTGTGTGTGTGTGTGTGTGTGTGTGTTGGTGTGTGTGTGTGTGTGTGTGTGTGTGTGTGTGTGTGTGTTGCAGACAAGGTAGGGATGATGTTGTCTGTCCTTTGTCACCAGGCAACAGTGAAATGCCCCTCATGAATCCAGATTATATCCATAACAACCCAGGCACCTTGTTTCCAATACAACCAGGAAGTTCATCGATTATCCACTCTTTGGTGACACTAAAAGTGAATAGGGTGAATATTTTTAACTAAATGATATCACTGTGAAACTTCCTCAATTTAGACAATTGTTTTCTGTATTACACATTTTCTGAAATGTATTGTTTAAATATGCAAATAAGGAGATATCTTAATCTCATTTGCATCGGGACAAAAATCAGGTAATTGGATTCCTATTTTTGACATTTATGTTCGAGGTAAAAGGTTATCACAGGGGAAATGTTGGCTTTAGAAAAAAAGAAAAGTTAATATGAATTAGGATCTGAATGATACAGGGACAGACCTCCAGAATATTGATGGAAAGAAACTGGAACGTTTAGTGTCTGTTAGTGCTACTGAAGTGGAGATGATTTGAGAAAATGAACTTTAACGATATGTTTTGTAACGATCCTTAAATGTTGCAAAACCCTGCATGCACGGGAACATCCGGTATCTTTTATTTTTAGCAATAGATGCATAATCTAATGCTAACTATTGGTGGATTTAGGAGAAATCTAGAGACGCAAACTGACAACGTTAGTAACAATGAAGACCTAAATGTGTATTTTGGATGCTGTCTAATAGTGACTCATTAATACGTGCACATATTTGAATGTTAGTAGCTGCAGCTGCTCAAAGATGTTGATTGAATGGAAACAGGGATAAAAACAGTAGTGTGCCACCCTTCCAAAACATATCACTTTATTACATCGCTTGAAACAATAAATGACAAAATCAGGCAAACCAAAGGTATGATCGTAAATTAAAAAGCACATTGTTGGATATCTCAGCTCTGCACTTGAAGGGACATTTAGATACATAGTTCCACTTTACCAAATCCTGTTTGTAGAAGCGATGTGTTTCAGGGAGCTTATTCGAGGAATGCAAAAGTATATTCATAAGAGAAAATCAGAGAGGATGTAGCTTTAAAATACTTTACAAAATGCTGATATTGGTTTTTCTGAAGACTCGTGGGTGTCTGTCAAACAAGTTGCTTTGGCGTCAGTAGCAGCTTTCTTTCAACATGTGATAAAATGTCTTTACAGTATTCTACAATTGTGCCTTGTCTCTGTTTCCCTTTGCGTCTCTGAGCTCCACGGTTCAGATGGAGACTTTGAGGGGCTTCTAAAGATCTTCTGAAGAAGATGAGGAGTGTGTCTCAGTGGTGATGTCTCATGGTTTTCTGTAGCTGGCAGACTTCTTTCCACTGACCATGTAGAACGGGGGAATAGACCTGCTGATACAGGTCGAAGGATCACAAAGCCCCTGAGGCCCTGAAGGCCCTCTTGGACCGGAGGCTCCTGGGACTCCGGGGTTTCCTGTCTCACCGCGTTGTCCATCTTTGCCGTCCTTTCCAACGCCAGGAACACCTGCTGCACCTGAGAAGAAGAGACATTGGACATTTTTAAGAAAAAGTTAAATATTACTTGTAAGTGAAGCTTATGAATATAATATAGAAAGGTGTAATCTTTCACATTCACTTTTCAACTTAATATATCAAGACTTTTTTCAACATGGTATATTATTACTATGCTGTGTAATAAAAAATAAATAAAAATACTAAACCATAAACAATTTTCAACATACTATTCTAGGATTTTTTGAGACATACAATATTGTGACTTTTTTTTAAACATTGTATACTATTACTCTACAATAAAAACATTTCAACCGAGTATAGTATGATTTTTTTCTCAAGATACTATACTATAAAAAAAAATTCAACATAGTATACTATGATATTTTTCAAAACAGTATAGGCTACTTAAATATACTTTTTTGGGGGGGGGGGGTTGACAAACTGTACAGTGACATTTTTCAAAATGTTGCTAATAGTATAGTTGGAACATTTTATACTATGACCTTTTTTTCGAAATTCTATAATAAGACTTGTTGGTCACTTTGTATGCAGTATCATTATAGTAGATATTTCCTCAGACATTTTTTATTTGAGTGCCAGTTGTTACTAAAGAGGATCATTCTCAGATTGTGCTTTCCAAATGACATGACTGTATCCTCACCTCGTGCACCTGGTTCTCCGGTGCTTCCTTTGATTCCTACACCGTCCTCTCCCTTGGCTCCATTATCTCCCTTTCCCCCAGAGTCACCTGCAGGACACAACGTCACAAAGATGACGCACAAACTAATGCTGCAATGAAATGAGGAGGCCTACTGTTTCCACAGTTATGAAGGGAGCTAATGAGGAAACGTAATATCTCCACTCTGATCTTCCAGTGAATCATTGATTGTATAATGTCTTGCATGAGTGTTTCCTTTCCATCTGCTGTGGCAGTGTGAAGACAAAAGTCGAACTCTTGATTTTTAAGGCTTCGCTTAATTTCCTGCCACTGTGTTCTCTGTGTGAGTTCTGGATGCTCTCCAGGAAAATAAGAGAAAGGAAAACGCTATCACAGCGGTACAGCTTATCTTCCCCACTGCTGGTGAAACTCACGCTGTATTTCCAAAACACTTTTGCTCAATTGTGCTGAAATAAGCAGTTCTACTTATCTCACAGCTGGCTTTGATACATTTTTGGGTAACACTTTATATTAAGGTACACATATTCGCCATCAACTAGTTGTTAATTAACATGCATGTTGTGTATTAGTAAAAAGACATTAATGAAGCAAGGGACAGAGGATCAACCGGATCAACTCACGGGCATACACTTATTCTCTCAACATTGTATGTTACTCTGGTTACACTGCGCCCCCTATTGGCAGGAGTATACCAGAACACAACAATGCATATTAGCAGTATATTGGCTCTTTATTAGTCATTATAAAACACGTATTAATGCCTTATTCTACATGACCGTATTCTACAAGTAATAAGCCATTAGTTGAGAGTTTTTCCTCAATAACCCTCTAATTAATGCTTGTTTATTGTAAGTAAGGAAGTTGTTGTACATGAGTCTGGGTCTTAATATGCGCTGCTCAATATGGGCCTAATAAGGCAGTAGTACCACAAGAATAGTAATTCTCCCATAATAACACTTAACAAATATGATCTATTCTTATGTAACAAGACATGAAACAAATGAAGCTCAGCACAAGTTCAACCAGGACGACCTTCTCTACTCATTCATTTACTATGCTATGTCACTACTCTCTCTCCTCTCAATAAGTGATCGGGGGCGTCACTCCCCAACTTAACCAATCACTTCGCTCTATTCTCACAAGCCTATCATAGCGCTCCGCTAACCCTTTTAAATCTGCTCTCCCCCCTCTGACAGCTGTCATTTCAGGTGACTCTACACAACCCTCCTCCCCCCCTTTTCACCTCCCGTCCCTCTGAATCCAGGGTCAAGCTAAGCCCCTCCCCTTCAGACCGAACCCAACTATCCATTCACCACCACCAGGGTCAAGCTAAGCCCCTCCCCTTCAGACCGACCCCAACTATCCATTCACCACCACCAGGGTCAAGCTAAGCCCCTCCCCTTCAGACCGAACCCAACTATCCATTCACCACCACCAGGGTCTAGACCCCGGGGGGTTTCATTGGATCGGTTCTACCCTCCCGAATGATACTCCTGCACAACGGGGCCTAATCGCCAAAACTCCATTACATTCATTCGTGTATTCCTGGCAATAAATATGTATTCTTATCAAAACCATCTCTCCTGATTGAACAGGTGTTAATTGTGTCAAAATAACTCAAAATGTGGTATTTCTAACTCAGAATATGTTCCCTATTTTAAAGTGAAGTCTTGTTCATGACCAATAAGCTAGTAGTTTTACTCTAATATGTTGATGAACAACTAGTTGATGGTGAATATGTATACCTTAATCTAAAGTGTTACCCATTTTAGTTTTTTGAGCAGTGGAGGGTGAATTATTAGAGACTCACTGACCTGTCTTGCCTGGCATGCCTGGAAGTCCAAAGAAGCCTGGATGACCTTTGGCCCCTGCTGGCCCCGGGGCCCCTGCTGCTCCTGATGGTCCTGCTGGTCCTTCTGGTCCAGAGGCTCCTACAGGTCCAGGAGTACCAGGAGCACCAAGGGCTGAGGGCCTCTTCAGCATCTCCCTCATGAACTCTGCTAGTTGCTCTACAAAGACACAACAGAAAATAGCTTGAAACAGGAACGTATGAGGGATGATACAGATGTAATGAATTCATGTGAACATGTATGCACCTTCAACAACGACTGAGCACATTTCCCGAAGCTTGTCATCGTTCACTTTAGGGCCCTGTGAGTGGATGAATGAATGAATGGATGAACATCAACATTGCAAAGCCTAACATACTATGAATTCATTTTTATTGACAATTATATTGCAAACAACTCTATGACATTTCTTGTAACTATAACATATGATGAGATATTTCATGATACGATATCTTATTATACTATATTATGAAAGTATCAATGGACATTTTATACAACAATACATCTACATAATATGTGTTTACTATAGCATGGCGTTTTTAGGTCACACTGACGTTGCCATTTTTGTTATAATTCTCTTATAATGCACTGTGAAATTATTTTTGGAATATAATCTATATTTGATCATTTATATATAATAGTAGGTCAATATTGTGACATCCTATATACTAGGATTTTTGTAAACCTTTTTTACAACAGGCTAGCATGTTAACTTGTCTTTCCCAATAAATGATTGGATCGGATTGGAAAAATAGGTATTCAAATATTAACAATACAGTTTTGACACTAAAATTAAATGAATTAAAAAGTGACCCAAGTCTGTTTACTGTGTCTTTAAGAAGCTATAATATTTGAATTCACCCTCTTAGACTTGACTTATTAGCACACAGCACACCTGCACTTGATGAGAATGTATTTTTAGTTTATTATGCAGATTTTGTAATATCAACACTTACAGGTACACCCCTGGGGCCTGGGGTTCCAGGAAGACCTTGTTCTCCATCCAGTCCTCGGGACCCCATTGGACCGGATAAACCCCCGTGACCCGTCTGACCCGGTCTGCCTTCGTCTCCGGTAGCTCCTCGTGTGCCTTTGTCACCACGCTTCAGGTGGAAAAACAACATTTAGATCCCATTCAGAGGAAACTATAAGTCTGAAGGTTAGGATTTGTTCACATACAATGTAGGTCGCTTCCAGAGAGGGCAAAGTACACACATCCTTTACTCAAGTAGAAGTACAGATACTCGTGTTTTAAAATACTCTGGTAAAAGTACTGACTAAACTTCTTTACTCAAGTCAAAGTAAAGAGGCTTTGAAATGTACTTCATTAAAAAGTACCCATAGCTAGCAGCTGTTTTAAAGAGTACCTGACCTCCCTTTATATTCATAGAACAATAATGTCATTGTTAGCTAATGAATGTTTCCATGCTGAACAACGGCAACATGACAACGTTTCCATTGGTCCCTCTTCTTTAGAGAAGACCAGGAAATGATGGATACACGGATCGTGTTCAAATCAATAGGCACGCAATGACTCTAAAGAATAATGATCACGCATCAAACACACATTCAGACTAAAGGAACCAGCTGTTTGGGAAATGAGAGAAGTAGAAAGTACAAGTATTTGAGTTCAACATGTAAGAAGTAGAAAGTACAGGTATTTGAGTTCAACATGTAAGAAGTAGAAAGTACAGGTATTTGAGTTCAACATGTAAGAAGTAGAAAGTACAGGTATTTGAGTTCAACATGTAAGAAGTAGAAAGTACAGGTATTTGAGTTCAACATGTGAGAAGTAGAAAGTACAGGTATTTGAGTTCAACATGTAAGAAGTAGAAAGTACAGGTATTTGTGTTCAACATGTAAGAAGTAGAAAGTACAGGTATTTGTGTTCAACATGTAAGAAGTAGAAAGTACAGGTATTTGAGTTCAACATGTAAGAAGTAGAAAGTACAGGTATTTGTGTTCAACATGTAAGAAGTAGAAAGTACAGGTATTTGTGTTCAACATGTAAGAAGTAGAAAGTACAGGTATTTGAGTTCAACATGTAAGAAGTAAAAGTACAGGTATTTGGGTTCAACATGTAAGAAGTAGAAAGTACAGGTATTTGTGTTCAACATGTAAGAAGTAGAAAGTACAGGTATTTGTGTTCAACATATAAGAAGTAGAAAGTACAGGTATTTGAGTTCAACATGTAAGAAGTAGAAAGTACAGGTATTTGGGTTCAACATGTAAGAAGTAGAAAGTACAGGTATTTGTGTTCAACATGTAAGAAGTAGAAAGTACAGGTATTTGAGTTCAACATGTAAGAAGTAGAAAGTACAGGTATTTGAGTTCAACATGTGAGAAGTAGAAAGTACAGGTATTTGAGTTCAACATGTAAGAAGTAGAAAGTACAGGTATTTGTGTTCAACATGTAAGAAGTAGAAAGTACAGGTATTTGAGTTCAACATGTAAGAAGTAGAAAGTACAGGTATTTGTGTTCAACATGTAGGAAGTAGAAAGTACAGGTATTTGGGTTCAACATGTAAGAAGTAGAAAGTACAGGTATTTGAGTTCAACATGTAAGAAGTAGAAAGTACAGGTATTTGTGTTCAACATGTAAGAAGTAGAAAGTACAGGTATTAGTGTTCAACATGTAAGAAGTAGAAAGTACAGGTATTTGTGTTCAAAGTGTAAGAAGTAGAAAGTACAGGTATTTGGGTTCAACATGTAAGAAGTAGAAAGTACAGGTATTTGTGTTCAACATGTGAGAAGTAGAAAGTACAGGTATTTGTGTTCAACATGTAAGAAGTAGAAAGTACAGGTATTTGTGTTCTACATGTGAGAAGTAGAAAGTACAGGTATTTGTGTTCAAAGTGTAAGAAGTAGAAAGTACAGGTATTTGTGTTCAACATGTAAGAAGTAGAAAGTACAGGTATTTGTGTTCAAAGTGTAAGAAGTAGAAAGTACAGGTATTTGGGTTCAACATGTAAGAAGTAGAAAGTACAGGTATTTGTGTTCAACATGTGAGAAGTAGAAAGTACAGGTATTTGTGTTCAACATGTAAGAAGTAGAAAGTACAGGTATTTGAGTTCAATATGTAAGAAGTAGAAAGTACAGGTATTTGTGTTCAACATGTAAGAAGTAGAAAGTACAGGTATTTGTGTTCAATATGTAAGAAGTAGAAAGTACAGGTATTTGTGTTCAATATGTAAGAAGTAGAAAGTACAGGTATTTGTGTTCAACATGTAAGAAGTAGAAAGTACAGGTATTTGTGTTCAATATGTAAGAAGTAGAAAGTACAGGTATTTGTGTTCAATATGTAAGAAGTAGAAAGTACAGGTATTTGTGTTCAACATGTAAGAAGTAGAAAGTACAGGTATTTGTGTTCAATATGTAAGAAGTAGAAAGTACAGGTATTTGTGTTCAACATGTAAGAAGTAGAAAGTACAGGTATTTGTGTTCAACATGTAAGAAGTAGAAAGTACAGGTATTTGTGTTCAAAATGTAAGAAGTAGAAAGTACAGGTATTTGTGTTCAACATGTAAGAAGTAGAAAGTACAGGTATTTGTGTTCAAAATGTAAGAAGTAGAAAGTACAGGTATTTGTGTTCAACATGTAAGAAATAGAAAGTACAGGTATTTGTGTTCAAAATGTAAGAAGTAGAAAGTACAGGTATTTGTGTTCAACATGTGAGAAGTAGAAAGTACAGGTATTTGTGTTCAACATGTAAGAAATAGAAAGTACAGGTATTTGTGTTCAAAATGTAAGAAGTAGAAAGTACAGGTATTTGTGTTCAATATGTAAGAAGTAGAAAGTACAGGTATTTGTGTTCAATATGTAAGAAGTAGAAAGTACAGGTATTTGTGTTCAATATGTAAGAAGTAGAAAGTACAGGTATTTGTGTTCAACATGTAAGAAGTAGAAAGTACAGGTATTTGTGTTCAATATGTAAGAAGTAGAAAGTACAGGTATTTGTGTTCAACATGTAAGAAGTAGAAAGTACAGGTATTTGTGTTCAACATGTAAGAAGTAGAAAGTACAGGTATTTGGGTTCAACATGTAAGGAGTAGAAAGTACAGGTATTTGTGTTCAACATGTAAGAAGTAGAAAGTACAGGTATTTGAGTTCAACATGTAAGAAGTAGAAAGTACAGGTATTTGGGTTCAACATGTAAGAAGTAGAAAGTACAGGTATTTGTGTTCAACATGTAAGAAGTAGAAAGTACAGGTATTTGAGTTCAACATGTAAGAAGTAGAAAGTACAGGTATTTGTGTTCAACATGTAGGAAGTAGAAAGTACAGGTATTTGAGTTCAACATGTAAGAAGTAGAAAGTACAGGTATTTGAGTTCAACATGTGAGAAGTAGAAAGTACAGGTATTTGTGTTCAACATGTAAGAAGTAGAAAGTACAGGTATTTGAGTTCAACATGTAAGAAGTAGAAAGTACAGGTATTTGTGTTTCAACATGTAGGAAGTAGAAAGTACAGGTATTGGGTTTTCAACATGTAAGAAGTAGAAAGTACAGGTATTTGAGTTCAACATGTAAGAAGTAAGAAAGTACAGGTATTTGTGTTCAACATGTAAGAAGTAGAAAGTACAGGTATTAGTGTTCAACATGTAAGAAGTAGAAAGTACAGGTATTTGTGTTCAAAGTGTAAGAAGTAGGAAAGTACAGGTATTTGGGTTCAACATGTAAGAAGTATGAAAGTACAGGTATTTGTGTTCAACATGTGAGAAGTAGAAAGTACAGGTATTTGTGTTCAACATGTAAGAAGTAGAAAGTACAGGTATTTGTGTTCTACATGTGAGAAGTAGAAAGTACAGGTATTTGTGTTCAAAGTGTAAGAAGTAGAAAGTACAGGTATTTGTGTTCAACATGTAAGAAGTAGAAAGTACAGGTATTTGTGTTCAAAGTGTAAGAAGTAGAAAGTACAGGTATTTGGGTTCAACATGTAAGAAGTAGAAAGTACAGGTATTTGGGTTCAACATGTAAGAAGTAGAAAGTACAGGTATTTGTGTTCAACATGTGAGAAGTAGAAAGTACAGGTATTTGTGTTCAACATGTAAGAAGTAGAAAGTACAGGTATTTGAGTTCAATATGTAAGAAGTAGAAAGTACAGGTATTTGTGTTCAACATGTAAGAAGTAGAAAGTACAGGTATTTGTGTTCAATATGTAAGAAGTAGAAAGTACAGGTATTTGTGTTCAATATGTAAGAAGTAGAAAGTACAGTGTATTTGTGTTCAACATGTAGAAGTAGAAAGTACAGGTATTTGTGTTCAATATGTAGAAGTAGAAAGTACAGGTATTTGTGTTCAATATGTAAGAAGTAGAAAGTACAGGTATTTGTGTCAACATTTAAGAAGTAGAAAGTACAGTATTTGTGTTCAACATGTAAGAAGTAGAAAGTACAGGTATTTGTGTTCAACATGTAAGAAGTAGAAAGTACAGGTATTTGTGTTCAACATGTAAGAAGTAGAAAGTACAGGTATTTGTGTTCAGGTATTTGTGTTCAAAATGTAAGAAGTAGAAAGTATAGGTATTTGTGTTCAAAATGTAAGAAGTAGAAAGTACAGGTATTTGTGTTCAACATGTGAGAAGTAGAAAGTACAGGTATTTGTGTTCAACATGTAATGTAAGAGTAGAAAGTACAGGTATTTGTGTTCAATAGTAAGAAGTAGAAAGTACAGGTATTTGTGTTCAATATGTAAGAAGTAGAAAGTACAGGTATTGTGTTCAATATGTAAGAAGTAGAAAGTACAGGTATTTGTGTTCAACATGTAAGAAGTAGAAAGTACAGGTATTTGTGTTCAATATGTAAGAAGTAGAAAGTACAGGTATTTGTGTTCAACATGTAAGAAGTAGAAAGTACAGGTATTTGTGTTCAACATGTAAGAAGTAGAAAGTACAGGTATTTGGGTTCAACATGTAAGGAGTAGAAAGTACAGGTATTTGTGTTCAACATGTAAGAAGTAGAAAGTACAGGTATTTGAGTTCAACATGTAAGAAGTAGAAAGTACAGGTATTTGAGTTCAACATGTAAGAAGTAGAAAGTACAGGTATTTGAGTTCAACATGTAAGAAGTAGAAGTAAGGTATTTGTGTTCACATGTAAGAAGTAGA